ATATCAATTACATGCTCCCGTTAACCTAGTAACACACGTAGTCAACACTTGTCTACAATGTGGCAATATGTTAGAAAATCTATAACAGTAAACGAGAGGATTAATAGTTTCGGAGCGGACATCGCGCGGCGAGTCTCGCCCCATCAATCAATTGGCCGTGGCTCGTTGTACCGTGTGAAGTCGCATTGATGACGATGCAACGTGACTCCGACATGGGACGTCGGACCACGCTGCGCTTCCCATGCATCACGTCAAACACGTTCACATTGCACCATTTAGGTATTGGTGGGTACCTCGCAATTCGAACGTTTGACTCTATCGATACCTACGTACCTAGTTACCTAGATAATGTATGACTTACTGTTCTGGGGGACAAATACTGGTCATTTACAGTAAGTTGTTTTTTTTATTGGGGATACCTAGTCACTATATGACTTTTCCCGCCCAGGGTCGAGCGAGGCAGTCTCACTGATTAACAACCAACCAGAGGGCCTACCATGACGTGTTAAAGCGTGAATCTTCTGGACGAGAAAGAGGGATGGAACTATACGCCTTTTATAGCTCCATCCCTCTTTCTCGCCTGGAAGATTGATGCTTTAGCACGTCATGGTAGGCCTACTGTTCCTTCGACTGCTCCGAGCGCGTCATTTACAGCCAAATTATATATATCAAATTTAAGCATCTACCCAGAAACGAAGCTCATCGATTATAAGTCGATACCTGACGCTAGTTTTAGAGATTAATTTTCTTCATATGCCTTGTATTATGCAGTCAATTTTATTATTTTAATTTATTCATACAGATATTCTAAAAGGATATAAAAAATTCAAACGAAAATGAACGCTATTGTATGTAGCTTTCATACTGCCTCCAATGAACATACTTTTGAAGTGTTATTTATTTTATTAAATTTTCATAGTGGTCATAACTTTTACCGCACAAATATTTCTCGCAATTTTAAATTTATATTATATCGTGTCAATAATTCATTTCAGCATTGTTAAATTGAAACGTAGTAAGGTAAGCACTCGAAGCTCAGTTTCATTTATACAGATATTCGTATGGGGAGAATTTAATCCGAAAATCATGAAAGGAGTTTTCACAAGCTTTCAGCCGGGTAGTTCCAATAAATCAATTAAAAGTTTCAACCATACAAAAGGGGATTTTACATTCAATACGAGGCTCACAAGGCTAGCTAGAGCTACCTACTTTTTCTTCTTGCACTACGTTGGGAGGTATTTTTCTGTTTCCAACGTTCATGGTAAAGGATTGCCTCCTAATAAATATTTTAATTTTGCGACTCATTAAACATTAGGGTTTTATCTATATTTAGAAGCACTCGCTCCTCCACCGATCCCACCGTTAATATACATAAATAGGTGCTAACTCTGTTTTATACGCAACACACTCACTAAGTAATAGGAAAATAATATAAATCTGGCTCCAGACTCTGTTACTGGGCAACTGGCTGCCGTGGAACGTGTCGCGAGTTCGATTCCCGCACCGAACAACTATTTGTGTAATCCATAAATTATTATTCCGGGTCTGATTATGATGTGTATGTATGTGAAATTGTATATTTGTAACCGCACCCACGATACAGGAGACAATCCTAGAGTGGGACCAAGTTATTAAAAAAAAAAGATAAGGTTTGCGACCTTGTCCAATTTAGAATGAAAGAAACTTATATACAATGTAATTATCCCTTTGTTTTTGCAAACTCCCAATAAACAAGTCCTAATCTAGTTGTGGAACTAACCAGAATGTTTATAACAGTTAACTAAATTTTCCCATAGGTAGGTACCTACCTTTCCGTGGAATTGTAATTATTAGAAGCATTAAATTTATTAACAGGTTAGTATAAGGTAAACAAATTACTTAAGTAGGTACAGGAAAAATAATATACCTACTACCTAGGTGTAACACACGTAGAATATTTTTTATTTATACTTTGCCCCGCTCTGGGATTTTCCTTCTTGTCGTTATCGTTGTGGATGCGTTTACAAACATAGAATTTCACAGATACATCGCACCCAGACCCGGAACAACTTGGATGATTTGTGTATGCGTGGATTCCAGTTCCAACCAGAATATGTAGAACTCACAAAGCGTCAAATTATAAGAGCAAAAGCATTTTTTTATAATTATTTGTTCATTTCAAAGGAATATATTGACTAACAAGTTTCATGAAAAAGAAATATGTATTTATATCCCTACCTAATACAGGGTTACCACATTCATCAAATCCCTTAGGTATATAGATTAAGACCTAAGTTTTAGAACCTTCACGATTCCGACGACAATGAATGCAGTGGCAATATTTTATTAAATTAGTGTGGGTGCTCTACAGTCCACAGTAATGCACAAAGTTACACCATTAGAGGAAAGTTAAGAAAAAATGTGAAATTAAAAGTGTCTAGAGAGGAATGTCGTCCATTACCTTGATTCAATTACTCTGCATCGCTTCGTTCGGTTCACTATGCAGGGCGCGTCCACACTGCATTGTTTTATCGCAAAAATTGCGAGCGAAAATTTAAATTTAACATTCTAATTACTTCTGAAGAAGGAGCGTCGCGACAGCTGTAATGAATATAGAATGATTTTAAGATTATTCTTTTAAGTTTTTGATATCTTTTTTTACACTTATTCTTTTATGGTTAAATACTTTAGTTTTTTACAACCAGCGAGGTATTTTTTACTTGTATTTACCAACTTAGAACTAACAAATTAAGTGGGGGAGAGCCACGCTTCAGGACAAATGGGTTTTTACAGGAGGTAATTACAGGAGGTCCAATCCTTCCCCTCCATCATCTAACCCAAAAAAGCTCCAAAACCCTAATCCTAAAAAGGCCGAAAACGTACTCGTGAATACCTGGCGTTGCGGGCGTCCATGGCCGGCGCTGATTGCTTACCATTAAGTAATCCGCCAGTCCGTTGGACGACTCATCACAAACAAATATAGTTTTAAGGAAACTGATTTTGATCAATGTATCGTTGTCTCCTTGTAAGATCAGTCTATCGAAATCAAAGGGTAGCTAAATTAAAAAGCATATTATATTCACGTACCAATAATTTATTTTAATTTCATGGCAAAAATAACATAGACATGTCGCTGTCTCGCATAATATAGACTATATCTTATCTATATACAATTACACAGATCATAAATCATAAAAAAAATTGATCAAATCAGTAAATAGCGTGGGTGGGTAAACTAAAAGACACTTATTAAATAAATAAATCATAGTCACATTTTACTAAAAAAAATATTACAGCATAGAAATAAAATAAATAAATAGTTGAGTAGTGAAACCAGACCTTAATACCACTTTAATAAAAAAAGCAATAACTTTGCATCGAATGCTTTATTGACGCATTCTTCCATGCAATTTAAATTACGAACGAGCCAATTGGTTGCCCGTATGCGTGTATAAAATGTAAGGTTACTTTTTGACGCAACTCATATGTAGGCTGTATTTTTCTCTTATAGAAGTTTTTCAGTTACTGTTTCTGAATTTGAATAAGTACGTAAACTTACGTTATAGTAACTACATTAGATAGCTCGTAGGCTTTGTCATACATACTTATAGTAGTATTAAGGTCTCTTTCATCAGCTTATCTTAGCTGAACTAATGAAATCGATACTAATGTATTAAGATATCTCGTATTGACACATTTAGTACGTAAAAATAAGTGGCGTCATTTAAAATTGTAGAAAAAGTCTGATAAGAGAAAAAGAGAGAAAGGATGACATATCCTTTCTCTCTTTTGGTTATCAATCTCGAACCCTATTTTCTAATGCTTTCTATATGAAATGATAATTTTGTAACAGAGAAGTTTGCGTTATTATGCGAAACACCGACACATCGTAGTCTTAAATTATAATAAAACAAATTTGACTTAATTAATAAAATGTAACTAATATTTACAGCAACATTTTAAGCATATATGTGATAAAACGGATAGCTCATGATTAGCAATTTGACGATCATACGATTTTTTTAGTCCTTACGGCAAGAGAAAGTTCTAGAAATAAAATATTAGCAAAATCAAGAATAACTGTTTTAGTAAAATACTCGTTACATGTAAACTTTATTCGAAAGTGTAATAATACATAGTTGCCGCCAAGATTTTCAAAAAAAAGTTTACATGTCCCCAGTATTGCCAATACGTCATTTGATACAAAATCAACGTAAAATTTCGTCATTACAATTATGAGTTTTTGAGAATAATAGTACTGTTTATATAGATTTCATTCTTTACTCTGTACATTATGAAGTGTACCATAAAAACGTACATAACACGGGGCATAGACAATAACCTCTACTATGAGTTTAAAGTAATGGTATTTATCAATATCCAGTGACAACGACGTATTTCTTTTGCATGTCAAATTTTAGTTCTGCATCTGACCGTTAGAGGCGCTGTAAAATTTGACATATAAAAAAGTCACTGCACTCGGTCATAGACAAATACTATTTTGTCCTTAATACTTATTGTAAAGGTATGCTTTGGCTCCTGACCGAACCTACTTAGTACTAACCAGATAAAATATTACACACAGATGTTAATTGACTCTACACTTTACGCTGGACATTTTAAGAAGGAAAAATCGAATTTAAATAGCCAATTATTGCTATTATAAATTTTATACAATTGACTGAAAAATTGACACGTTCAAATAGAATGATAGACATCAAATTTAACGCGCATCAAGCAAACACATTTATATAACGGGAAAGCCCGACGAAATACTTACATAAGTCTATGTAATAAGATATAATTTGCAATGCAGGCGTATATACACATATACATATAACCACATCACGTCAAATATATAAATCGTATTGTAGTAGAGTACAAACGCAGTGTTCAATATTTATCTCGAGTAACTGTTCTTAAGGAAATTCGTAATGCATTATTGATATTAGAGAATTTCTTTTCCACAAAATGTTATGTATAGAAAAAGCCATGTAACTGAAATCATTAACAAATTGTATCTGCCATACTTATACTTTTAATAATTAGTAAAACAATTCATTCGTTGAATTTGTTTTGTAAATAAATGCTATGGGTTGAGTTACTATTAAATGATAAACGGTACAGCAGCTTAGTTTGATGTCAAAAATCAACGGATTTTTGAGAAAATGCCTGTTAAGAATTACTGTAAGGAACCGACGGGTGAAAGGAACCAAAAATAAGCCTATGCCTTGCTGATTTTCAAAAAAGTTGAGCTGATTGATTTGTAAAATGAACAAAATATATAATATAAAAAAATTCAATAAAATAACATATAGGCAATTTTTGATTAAGAAAAATAAGGTACACAATAAAGTTCACATCTCATACTAAAATCTTATAATAGAAGCGTTTTACCTACCAATAAAACGCATATTAATTTACTTACCTTATTCGAAGCTTATTTAATTGAGATAGGCACTACGTTTCCCGCCTTCACATTTCTATATATATCCATCTCTTTCTAAAACCTCACTTCCGCTTGGCAGTGGTAGGGAGGCTCGTAAAGCGAGCCTCGCCATTTTGAATTCATTGAGTCCAATTACCAGGCAGAACTTGTTCATAAGCTTCGAATAAGGTAAGTAAATTAATATGCGTTTTATTGGTAGGTAAAACGCTTCTATTAATTTGACTTGACCGTTATTCGAAGCTTATTTAATTGAGACGTGTTTGTTATCGCCTGGTGGAAGTGATGAAGACGCCAATGTGATATAATTAGGTAATTTGATATCAAATTGATATAGGCATGAATAAGTAAAACATAAGTATTAGACAGTTTATATTTGATGATCAAGACAAAAAATATAAATAATAAATCATATTGAGTTTACAACATCAATTATAATGATTATACAAAAGATAAAGTAATTATATTATTTCTAATCAACTGGATTAAATAATGCTGTTATTGACACACGGTTAGTAGCGGGTCTAACCTCGCGCTTATAAAATTTTCCAAATGTATTTTCGGATCGCCAATTTCCTCTAGCAAGAATTTCCTCGAGGGGGTAATTATCGACCCAATTTTTAGAGGCAACAGCTGACCTAATACTCCCCGGAGATGCCCGAATACCGGCTTCTGTTAACAGGGACTTGATCCAGCCTGCAATGAGGGTTTTCGATGCAGGTTTAGGTGCACCTCTAATGTTAATAAACAAATTACTACAATTTGCAGCATTTCTTCGATTTTCGAGAAGCGAGATCGAATGCTTAGCCCAATAGACCGGGTCTAGATTTTTATTACATTTATTTGAAATTAATCTCCAACCAGACTGTCTGTAATCTACCGTATCAGTTTTCGATCCAAGAACCGGCCAAAAAATTACAACATCATCTTGATTAGAATAATTATTTGAGTCAACTCTGAGTAAAGTCAAATCATGTATTCTTCTACCGGAGCACAAGAGAAGAAGAGCAGCTGTATGTCTCTGCACTTGGAAAATATTATTTTCATCGATGCGTTTACTGTCCAGGAAATTAGCGAGGTCGTTTATGTTCCAAATAGGGGGCTTACCGTGAGGAACTGATTTCTGCAATGCTATAGACTTTAAGACATGTTTTACTAGGACGTTTGAACTTAACTGGCCGGAAGAGTCTGGGTTACAAAGGGTTGAAACCACAGATTTGTGTAACAAAATAGAATTGTACGATAATTTATTTATTAAATGGAGATCCGATAGAAATCTAGCTAAATCGCTTGCTGTTGGAGTTGAAGGGCCAATCTGATGCGTTTCGCACCAAACTAGCCATCTCCTCCAAGCAATACCATAAACTTTACGTGTAGAGGGACGCCACGACTTCTTAAGAAGCTCTAATTGATTATGATTCCAGGATCTTAACATCCCAGACCACCCCCACATTTCCAGACTTCCAGAGTCATTTTGTGGACGTTCGGCGGTGGTAGTCCTGTTGTCGTGTCGATCAAAACTTTCTCTAGGTGATATATTGTGAATGGGGCTGCTAGGGCACGCGATTTGATATCGGGTCGCCAAAACACTCGCTCCCACCGAGGTACTACCAGTAAGTACGTTCCCTGTGCTTGATTGAGGTAACCTAGGACTTTGGGAATCAGAAAAGGTGGAGGGAACAACCACGCTAGATTGTAATTCCACGTTCGGGAGAATGCATCGTAAAACAGGGCTTGGTCGTCTTTTTGGTCTAGTGACACGTAATTCGACACTACATGAGCTCGCTTGGACGCGAAAAGATCGATCAGTGGAACTCCCCATTTGGAGAACATTTTGTTCGTGCATTCTACAGACAGATGCCACTCGGGAGTTATGCGAAACCTCGACAGATGATCTGCGTGGGCATTGTATATACCTGGTATGTGAAAGACTTTCATGTGCATTTGATATTGTTCTATGATTTGGAAAACCTTGCAGGTTAAGTCCAGGAGAGGAGCTGATTTGGTGCCGCCCTCGTGACGTAGATATGCAACTACCGACTTGTTGTCGCTCTGAATCAAAATCGTCTTGTGTTTCAGGAGCTGACAATGATCTTCCAAAACTCTTAGGATCGCTATCATTTCCTTTTGGTTGCAATGGAGATCTTTCTCGGCTTCTGACCACAGACCCGACAGTGAGAGATTGTCCAGGCGAGCTCCCCAAGCAATGTCCGATGCATCTGTTGTGAGGAAATGCATAGGAGGCGGCATGTGTATGGCTGACGATTGCTCGCAATTTTGACGCCACCATATCAGGTTTTCTATAGCACCGCGAGGTAAGTTGTGCAATATCCTGTGATTCGACTTCAAAATTACGTTCAATAAGCTCAGAAGCGCTCGAAAATTGAGTCTTCCTTTCGGAACAGTGAAGCTCGCAAAATTGAGTAGACCCACGAGGCTTTGGAGCTCCTTGAGTGTCGTGCGCTCCTTCCGCAGCAAATGATCGATTTTCGATACAAGCGCAGGAATTTTTTCGTCGGGAAGTCGTTTGCGATTTTCCCATGGATTCCAATAAATCCCTAGAAAGACTAAGTTCTTTGAAGGCGTGATGATCGATTTTTCGTAATTGATCAACCAGCCTAACGTCTCCAGGGTATTGAGCAAATTTTTTACATGACCCCGGAGCTTGATTTCGTCCTGGTGAGCTATCAAAAAATCGTCGAGAAAGACTATTATCCTCACACCTCGTTGCCTGAGTGTCTGGGCTATCCAATTGGTTAGCGTGGCAAAGGTCTTGGGCGCTGTGCTCAGACCAAAGGGTAAACAGGTCATTTCTAGCAATTCGTTGCGATAAACTAGACGTAGAAACCTTCTGTGGCTCCGGGCCACAGGTACATGAAAATAGGCCTGAGAGAGATCGATTTTGCATAGCCAGTCCTTTGGTTGCAAAAAATCCGGGATGCGATTCACATTTATCAGTTTGAATCGATCCGTTATGATGTAAGAATTGAGTGTCTTTAAATTGAATATTGGTCGACTCGAGCCGTCGCCTTTGGGGACAAGAAACATCGATGACAGGAAGCTTGGCGAAGCAACCGCCCGCTCCAGAATGCCCTGAACTAGCATTTTGTTTATGATACTTGTCATTTCGGCAGACTCTGGAACATTTAGGTTGGTTCTGACAAGGTTTGGGTAAACAAGCGGTGGTTTTTGGCAAAAGGGTATGCGATACCCGGATATTATTTTTAGAATGTACTTTGGTGCATTCATTTGTTCCCATTGGTCCGCAAAATGCAGGAGACGGCCTGCTCTGAACGAGTCAATACTTACGTCTTTTATTGTCGTTATTCCGCTGGGGAGATAACGCGCGTTTTCGCACATGCTTCGATTGATTATTTTGCCGAGCATTCGGACGGCCACGAAAATTACTGCGATTATTCGGTGCGACCGAATTATATTGAGCAGCATGACCACGAGGGTTAGATTCACCTTGCGGAGGTGGATTACTGTGGCTGCAACCACCTTGCGAAGGTGGATCACTTCCAACACATTGCGAATGTGTGGTAATATGTTGGCATGCCTGAGCATTGCGAGAAAATCCTTGCAAGGACTTATTGTAAGGCTTGGACCCCTGCGAGGGGCCACGAAACTTATTTGGATCCGCCTGCGAGGCAGAAGACGTGTTACCTTTTTGCAACGGCCAAAAACATTTTCTTACTCCGCCAGATTTTTCAATAGCAGCAGTGAACTTCTCTGCGTTGAACAAATTGGTACACGTTGGAGGAATTTTCTTTAAACTGGCCTTCATCAACGGGTCCTTTGCCTGTTTAGTGACACAATCTCGTCGCATTTGAAGGATCTTAGCACGATGCCCACAAATGATCTGTAGTAAGTCTGAGGAACATCTACTATAATCTCCTGTGGAAAAAAGGTCACTGACTTTTTGAAGTAAAGTGTCATAACTAAGCGATACACTATTTCTTGCCCATTGTAGGAGTTCTTGCAGGGTTCCTTGCAAAGCGTCCCTTTGTTTGAGCACACACATGGTCAAGGCTGCGAAAGCCTTATCAGCATGCACGAGATGACGAGGAGACTCAAATGCTTTAACTTCTTCATTCATTTCAATATCTGTGTAACCCGGTGAATAATTATATAATTTTTGGGTTTCTGAATACTGATTTCATTCCAGTCACTTTTACCTAAATGCTGATAATCACATAACAATTTTATATAATTTTCTGGAGCCTTTGGCATAGAAGGCTCTTTTAGCTTAGTTTCGAGAGATAAGGTAAATTCTTGATCACCACTTGCACTGAAACTACTAGGTTCAACATCAAGCATTTGTTCGTAACTATTTTCGTTAATATTAGACATTAGAGAGATGGCATCATAATCCAAATTAGTACTCACGCGTTGACTGCTATCCTGGCTAGCGATTCGCCGATGAAGGTTTCGTACTTCTTTAGTGAGTTTTCGAAATTTACGTTTGGAGAGCCGCTTACGCTTGCCCCCCCTTTTCTTGTTGCGGCGACTTATCTTTGGGCTGCCTCCGCTAGTCGAGGAACTGCTTTCAAAACTTGAACAACTTGAACTCGAGCTGCTAGAACTCCTCGACCGAACTCGCCGCTTCCGCGGTGAAGAACGTACTTGAGGAACCGCACTAGCCACTCTATCAGCATCATTATCCAAATTTTCCATATTTAAAATTATTAAGATCGAAAGATTAAACTTTGATATAAATTGAATATAAATTTTATTTAAATTCAAATAAAACCGTTAGGAATATTTATAAAAAAAAATTAGATTTGCTAAGACGTGTCGTCACGAGACGACCGATCACGGCGGGAAAAGAGACGCCAATGAATTCAAAATGGCGAGGCTCGCTTTACGAGCCTCCCTACCACTGCCAAGCGGAAGTGAGGTTTTAGAAAGAGATGGATATATATAGAAATGTGAAGGCGGGAAACGTAGTGCCTATCTCAATTAAATAAGCTTCGAATAACGGTCAAGTCAAATTAATAGTCCTGTAGGAACTAAATCCTCTACAACTATCGACTTCTAGATCTTTCCCAACTCTACCCAAACGCAGTCATTAGAAAAAATAAGGCGTTATTTCATCCCTATAGCACCGATACTCCATTTGTCAGTCTATGTAATCACAATCCAATTCCTCAACACATCGACGACGCGATGCTGCGAAAATTAATAATTAAAAAACAATTTTATAAAATATTTCCCAATCATATCTAAACAATTATAAATTTCTAAAATAATATTACAATGTAGGCTCTCGTTACCCGATTACATTTTTGTACCTATCTAAAATTATAATTACGTTATATTTGTCACAACAGTGAATTGCGAAACTTACAATAATGCAAATTAATAAAATGTACACAGCTAATAAATCTTAAAATTATTTGATCTCTAGTTTTTATGTTCATATTTTAATATCATCTTTGGTTTTATAGTGAATCGGTCTCGGCGACCGTTCTACGTAGTGTGCGTGTTAGTATTTCGTTGTCATCTAGTTGCAGTATTGAAATGCATACAAAGCCATTCAACGCCAATATTTGTTCAAACATTTGTGCCAGTATTACATTTCTAGGATGGTTGGACTAGCGAAACTTACACACTGCTTGCTTACACAATATAATTCTGCTTACACTACCATTGACTCATCATTTAGTCACAAATACACGGCAAGTATTCTGTACGTCAAAAAATTCACGATAAAAATACATAGTCAAGTCAAATGAAATATACAAAACACGAGGACAAGAACATTAACAAAAAAGACATCGACACTGAATATAAAACGTCCACTCACATTATGATTGCACTGAAGACATACAAATTAATAGATTCCACATGATTGAGATACATAGCATTTACGAATATAACATTTGTATAAATATTTACAAGTAGCTTACACTATAAAGAACTAAGGCAAATGCTTCGAGGAACCACAAAAACACATACTTAAATAAACGATCGATTAGCTAAAACCGTTTGTGCAAATAACGTATCAACAAAGACAACGTGTCAAATATGGCCTCCAAATATACGACGATATAAACATCAGAAATATAGATTCATTCCAAAACTGTACCCCTAGTACATACACAACGTAAAAATATATCAATATACTGATATCTTTTCTCTCATAATATTTATATTCGGGTATATTCCTCAATGACGCACTAATTATAAGCATAGGCAATTTATAAAACATTCCCATTTTGAAGCTGCAAAGATACTACCAGATTTGTGTAAAAAATCAAATAAGGAAAAAGGAACTTACTTCTTGTTATAATTAGTACGTTATTTGAGAAATTAATAAAAGCAATGTTCTACTTATATTCATCCATGAATCGCTTGCACATGTGAACGAGGTCAATGAACTTGGGTCGAAGGGTGGGATCCAAATTCCAGCAGTCCTTCATCAGGTGCCTGAATATCTCTGAAGGACAACCTTCTGGTATTTGAAAGCTGCAATAGAAACGTATATTAAGTTTCAGGTTTCACCAAACATATCACAATTCGTAAAGTAAATTTTGTGCTGATCTTTTTCGCTTTAGTGATTTACGTTTGTCTAAGCAATATACTAACCAGGAGGCTCGTTCCCTAGGCCGCTCGGGGTTGAACTTGGGCACCTCCTGCCGGGCGCGGGTGAATATCTCCCAGGCGGTCACTCCATACGACCATACGTCACTCTTCGTCGAGAAGTGCCACGGCTCCACCGCTGACTCGGGAGCGTACCTTTATACATACAATGGGTGTTTAATTATTAACTTTTAAGTTAGTACTTCAATAACGCAAAAAACGAGACTTCGGAGAACCTTATTGCGCTGACTCGCGAACCCGGTCGATATGCAAATTGAAGTTATCCTAAAAAATATGGTGCAAAAGTCTTACCAATTAATCGGCAGTAGCCGTTCAGTCTTAAGTCTGTATGCGTTTTCTTCCTTAGGTATAATCCTGGCGAGGCCAAAGTCCGATATCTTAACGTGGTATTTGTTCACGACTAGAATATTCCGCGTGGCTAAGTCGCGATGTACCACGTTCTTAGCTGATACGTGGTCCATGCCCTGTAATAAATAATCCAAATATGTCTGAAATCTATCAGTGTAATAAGTGAGCAACAATTTTACTTAAATTCTTGTATATAATATGTTTTGAAATTATATATTTCAAAACATAGCGTTTCAAGACATAGAAGACATAATATAACTCAAACGAATATTTAATCGTTATAATCATTGTGTGTAAATTAAAGGGACTTCCCTTGTTGAGTTTTTTACTGAGAATTTAAACACCCAAACAGGGTTGTTTGGGTGTTTAAATTCCTTTAACTTTTCCTTTAAACCTTTTAACACAACAAAACCTTTTTTCAGTACTATTTACTTATGTTTCAATTTATCTATCGTAAATTTACACTTGCCCCAAAAGAAGATCTTATTAGCAAAAAATATAATGAAATAACTTAGAATACATACCGTAGCAATATCCCTCGCGTACTTGAGTAAGTGTGAGATCCTTAGCTTGTCCCCTTGGAACTTGAGGTAGTAGTTGAGAGAGCCCTCCTCTAAATACTCCATCACTATGAGCACGTCCGACCCGTGGTCCCACGAGTAACCCAATATCTCTACAATATTGATGTGTTGAAGCGACTGGAACAAACAAGGTCAATAAGAAAAACATATTTCAATTAATTATTATGTTTAGTAAGTTTTAAAGTCACATAACTGCTAGACAGAGGCGCTCGACTACTTTCAAGTCACGCTGGGGGCTCTTATTCGATTCGTGGGCAAGAAACATTTATGTTTCTACACAATATATTTACCACAAGGTTATTATCAGTATAACTAATTTCCCACATACACACATTTCACATAATACACAATTGCCTTCTAATTAATGACGTCTAAGGTCAATAGAAAGTAAATACAATAAATACCTTCATAATTTCCAGTTCATTCTTGAAGTCTTCGTAAAGAGTGCCATTCCTCTCGGAAGCCTGTCTCGTCAACTTCTTCACAGCCACCTCCCTCCGTTGAGATTCTTGGTTGTCGCGCTCCATCCAACCCTTGAACACATGCCCGTAGTTACCCTGCCAATAAACATTTCACATAATATTTATTTCACTTACGAAATACGAAATTTCGATTATGCCTTTATCTGTTAATCTGTAACGAACGTATTTGCGTGTATTTCTATGATTTCTTTACTACAAGATTATAGCAAAAGTCGTATCGTGGTGGCCCGATGAGCATACTTTCTAAATGACACCCCTACCGTATTATGATCAATAAATATTTATTTAGGGTTTGGGCACACTCGTGTCTGAGTTTCAGGTGATTACTTGAAGTACTTTTTAGAGGCATCCCCAATGACGAATACTTAGTTAATAACACTCCTTTTTTTGGGCAGTCGTGTAAAATTTCTCATAAGGTGGAATATTTACCTAATTAAAAAAACATAATATGAATGTATATAAGAACTTTTTTTGTGAGGGGAATATCATCAAATTACTTCTCCCGCCCAGGGTAGGGCGGGAGGGAGTGTCAGACTCTTAAGTTGACTAACCCCCCCCCCCTCCCATTCCTTCTCCTGCTCTGGGCCGAGGTCGCGGTGCCTCATTGCGCTTACTCCGCAACCCCGGCTGATGTATTATAAGAACTTACGCTGCCAATTTTCTTAGTGAGCGTGACGAGGTAGGTCTTCCCCTGCGAGACGATGGACTCCATGAGCCTGGGCGCGGGCGCGGTGTCGGCGTCGAGGTCGTCGTCCAGGGCACGCGCGCCGCATGCGCTGCCGCTGTTGCGCGACCGCAACTCATTGCGCAAAGAGTTGCGCAACCCGTACGGAAGACCGTTCATACTTTCTAACGAATTTGAGCTCTTGTTGTCAGCGAACTGGAATCATAAAAGGTTTGTTGAATGGTTTTTTTTCCAAAAATATATCAGAAATGTTTGAAGATTTTTGTAATGTAAATCAAAGTTCATGTTGAACTAAGCATTAGAAATCAGTTTTGTACTTCTTAAGCCGAGTATGTTAGACAGTAGACCTAAGAAAATCTTTGGTGAACAAATTTAATAGACGACATTTTATTGTAACTTGATAGAAAATTTGCTAATTACTTACTGGATTGTCATATTGATCAGACATAGTTCCGTTCATAGACAGCACGCTGCTGTCTGATATTAAGGACTTATTGCTGCCGGCGTCGCTCAACTCACTCGGAATAAACCTATCACCTGCAATAAAATAACATTTCTTTACAAGAATATCCATAACTAGATAGCATTAATTTTTTCTACATTCATTCATACTACGTAGTTTGACATTTAAAACAACAATGTTATGGTTTTTTGAAGAAGAGAAGTATACAGGGTGTAAAAAGACACTTAACGAAGCCGTTAACTACGCATACTGCAGTTTAACTAAGTAGCTTTACGCTAAAATTATCACTGGGAAACGACTTATATTTTTAGGTATCAAAAATAATAATAATTTTATTGCGCGCAATGTAAGGCTTCGTGTCATTGTGTGCGTAGGTTCACAGCTTAGCATGAAAACGCTATGATAAGTACGTAGGTCGACGTTTTACTTCGCAACAACAAAACAATTCTGTAAAATATTAATCCTACTGAGATGCACGATGTTTTTGTGCGGGTCTGCATTTATTTATTACGTACATTACTGTTCGTAACTCCAAATGCGTAATTTATTTAGAAAAATCGAAAATTCAGGTAATGTTTGTTTGGAAAAAAGTTTTGTAATAATACTTAGAACTCGATTGCGCAAAAAAAAATTAAAAATGCAATTTTGACCTTCAATATCTCGAGAACCCGTGGAGTAAATAATGGCTAGAATACGTGGCTTTCGGCTTCGTTAAGTGTCTTTTTACACCTTGTATATAAATCTTGAAGGAGTAAATGAGAAAATAAAGGCCATGGATTTACTTACACCCGGTTTCCGAAAGGCCGATCAATGTTAAAATCAATTTAATCTCTTGTCAACTCATCTGATTGGTTGACTGAATTATCAACAACCAATCAGATGACTTGACAAGAGATTTAACAGGAGATTAGTAGTTAATTTTAGCGTTGACAAGCCTTCCAGAAACCGGGTGTCAGTGTCGGAAGCATATTGTGTTAATAACTTACTTGAAACAGTTTCTGCGTGCTCCATGTGTTCAAGGGATATCTTTGGCTCTTCATATTCGTGGATTGGCACATACTCTGGAAATAAGAATATACAAAGATATACACAACAGTTTTATGATCCAAAGTATTTGTTTGGATTAAACGAGTAGTGGACAAATACGGCTGGCGAAAGAGAAACAGATTTACAAATAATAAAGAAGAAAACAAATAATTTGATTTCAATAAATATAAAGAAAAACTTATATCTTCACTATTATTATCTCTGGTGTTCGTCTGGAATCGTTTGACCATTTGAGTTGCTCATGAAGATATATGTACTCAGAAATGTGCTTTTTCGTGAGGGGAATATCATCAAATGACTTCTCCCGCCCAGGGTCGGGCGAGGGGGTGTGTCAGACTCTCACTGACCAAAATCCTCCTTTCTCCTTCTCCTACTCTAGTCTGAGGCCGCGGTGCCTCATTGCACTTGCCCTGCAACCTTGGCTGAACACTCAAAAATAAAGAAGTTTTTATACCTAGCCGGAGTTACGGAGACAAGTTACCACAGCGAAGCTCGGAACGAGGTGGTTTTTAGCCACTGAGAGTCCGACACTTCACCAAGAATGAAAGGAGTCTTTAATTGGTTTACCGCCCCTCAATAAAAGGTATGTTACCTCGATGCAGCATATGGTTCATGTCCCGCATGATCTCCTGCGGACGCAGCGGGTCGGGCTGCCAGCACTGGCGCACGAGGGCCCACACCTCGCCCGGACACCGCGCCGGCCGCAGCAACCGGTCGCCCATCTCGTAACTCTGTGATACGGACAATATTCATATAACATGTAAATAAATACTGTTGCAAATAACGCTAACAACCTTCTTCTAGGAACTAACAACCTTTTGTATCAAAAAGATACCGAAATAGCCGCTAGAACAACGCAACCACTGAAAATTTGTAGTCGACGCAGGTAATGTGGGCGAAAAAAATTACGTTTTCGTATTGATAGAGAATTAGTTATTTTATATGACGATATCTATGGCAACTTGCTAAATGCTAATTATTATCTTGCTATGCTTTTAAAATCGTATAAAACTCAGCATTAAATCGTAACAGCATTTATTTTGACTAAACTATCAAACACATCATTGTCCCCATTTGTATTACATCCCTATCTATACAAAATAGTCGCAATACCTTACAATATACATAAAGAACACTCACCCTAGCAGTAAGCACGGGGTTGGTCTCAGTGGGCGACTGTCCGTAGGAGAAGACCTCCCACAGCGTGGTGGCGAAGGCCCAGATATCACCCGTCACTGACCGCTTCGCCAGACTCATGTCCGAAAAGAATTCCACAGGCATCCAGTGTACGCTAGAAATGTAAGAAGATTCTTGAAAAATACTGCGCTATGTTGTACCTGGGCCTCGGCTTGAAGCAGGAGAAGGAGTGGGGTGTATTTTAGTACGTTGGAATCTGACACTCCCTCTGGCCACATCCTGGACGAGTAAGAAGAATGGAAATAGAGAGAAGAAAAAATATTTGACACTTCCATATCACCCTTGGTGAGTGAATTTTTACCCCGCTAAAAAAAGTTGCATGTGAAAGTCAAAATCGTTTATTCCAACTTAAACATAAATAGGTACTTTTGAAATCTCAAAATAGAATTATAATAATAGTCTCTCAGTCTGTTTGTTGATGAATCTAGGTGTTCGTTCCACAGTTTAGATTTGACGGAAAAAACGAACAAGAAACTCTTTTTAAATTAGTTTCACATACAGATTTGGCGCAGCCGTGAGGCACACAGTTATGTAGTTCTCTTTATTTTTTCTTTTATATTAAATAACCTTTTTGTTACAATGTCTGTGTGCACATGGTTTGTGTTAATAAACTTTTTCTCTCTTTCTTTCTTTCATTCCTTTTACAAACAGTTGGTTCAATTATGTGAGAACAGTGGTGGAGTTGCGCTTACAGTTGCGCTAAAATGCAAGGTATACGTACTCGTGTTGGGTGTAGTGCGAGAGCGTGGGCCCGGAGAGCTTGACGTTGATGCGGTCGGCGGTGTGGGCGGCCAGCAACAGTCGGCGGCAGCGGATGTGTCCGTGCACGACGCCGGCCTCGGAGAGGTCCCACAGCGCGCGCGCCACCTGCGCCGCCACCTTCTTCAGGTGCAGCGGCTTTATGCGCTCCTCGTTCTCTCTACACGTACGTACAATAACGTTACTATTCAAATTGGGCACAATATTATACTTGTCACACCATAATAAGGTTGGGGAATACCAAAAACTAGGCTTTGTAGTACAATACGGTAGTTTCCAACTAGTCAAATTCAATTATTTTATCTAAATATCAAAAACCATACTTTTCTTCATAGAAATGGTTTTTGATGGATGATGGATAATGAAAGAAGGATAGATGAAAGTATAAAACTCGAAATTATGACGTCATAATATTTTTACGTCAAATAGCTTATTTCTTAAACGGTCGCCAAAAAAAATCGAAAATGTTGTGTATCGACAGACCGATCAATAAAATTTTGGTTATTTTTCAATATTTTATTGTATTGAAACATCAAATTATTTTAATTTTGAACTAGAAACGACTTGCTTAATTAAATTTACATAATTTAAACTTCAAATTATTTGATTATAATATTCCGTATAAATTGTTGGAATTGGGTAGTTTCCTAGGTCAAAAATAAATTAATTCGACGTTTTAATACGAGTAAATATTGAAAAATAACTATGCTTTTATTCATCGATCGATCGAATCACTAAGTTTTAGATATTTTTAAGCTAATTTTTTAAAAATAAGTAAGCTATTTGACGCAAAAATGCTATGACGTCATAATTCAATGTTTCATACAATTTTCATAGAAAGGTATCTAGTATTTTGACATTTGGATAAAAGTATTGAATTTGACTAGTTGGAAACAACCGTATTGTTTAGACTACAATAAATCTAATTGTCATCATCATAATCCTCTAAATATTTCTTATTTAGGAGATGAACTAATCTCATAAAAACACTTATTAATCCGATTACTGGCCTTTAAAATAAATAATTACAATTATCAAAAAAAACCAAGAAATAGACTTTTAATAAAATACTAATAATGCTTAGTATTTTTGTTAAAACTAAAATAACTTATATCAGCAATAAAGACATTGAAAACTAAACTCTATTACCAGTGACAATAAGTGAAAAATTACCGGAGATAATCATCAAAAGGTCCGTAGGGTAAATACTCGAGAACGAGGGCGGTGGGTGAGCTTAACGTCACTCCGTACAGACGCACCATTGAACTAGACTGTACACACGCCCACTTACTCGCCAACTCCACAAAATCCTGCCACAAAACACAATGAATTAGCATAATATCCGCCAAACTTTATCATTACATATTCAACTTTATTGTTTTGATATAAATACTATATTCCTCTGAAAAGAATTGGTAAGAAAACATTGCCCTACTGGCCAAAATAACAATTGTCACATAAGTCACACTATTTTTAGAATATAGAAAGTTTTTCTTCGAAAACGTATCTTCACGTAAGTAGTTTTGTTGCTTAAGGAAAATAAACCATTGAATCTTAATTTTAAACCTTATTATCCTCATGATATAAGATTTCAAATCACTTATCAAGGTTTTTGCCAATTGAAGCGCCATAATTGTTTTATAACATACGGTAAAAAAATAATTTAAAATATTAGACACATATTTTTACGAAATTCTTTCACATTGATTGAAATATCGTGTGACGTCACAAATAAACACATTTACAATTCGCAAAGACGTAGGTAACTTCTATTGAAACTTAATTTGTTTCTTTTGTTATGTATGCAACAAAATAAAAGAGGGTCTTATTTATTTTTCATTATGACTAAATACATTTTTGATACCCCGTATTCGTCTTGATCACTGTAAAATACTTTAAGAAGCAAGAACTTGCCAAAAAACCACCTTAAAAGCCTTACCTTTAAATGATCATTAGCCTTTTCTCTCTGTAAAGTTTTGAACGCGACCACCAACTTCTTGGTCTCGTCGAGCCTCCACAGCGCTTTGTACGTCGCCGTGATGTTCTCTGAACCGACCTTTTCTGAACCTAAGAACAAGTGTGAAATCTTTACAAGTCAAATCCAGAATAGACTACACAAATAAAAACTTAATAAACATATAAAAAAAATAAAAAAATGTCGTTAGAATTGTTGAAAAAGGTTTTTATAAGACAAAAAATAGTAGTAAAATAGAAAAATTATTCAATAATGACAGAAGGTTTTCAAACATGACAAACAGCTGGTAGTAACAATTAATTAACTTTAACAACAACACTTTCTTAAACACTAAAAATATCAAAATTCCATTAAGAAAAATAAAAAGTTAATTTATACATTATCTTATAGGCCCTCATTAACCAAGTTTGTATTTAAGCATGACATTATATGAAGAGGGTGTCAATTTAATTAGTGGCTTATCATACCCGTGTATAGGAGAATGTCCTTATTGGGCAGACATCGCGGGCTCTTGTTGTCCTTGAGTATGTCTTGTAGCTCAGCCTGGTCGATGCGAACGCCTCTCTTCACTGGCTCCCCACACAGCAGTAATTGTGACTTATCTATACACGGAACAAAATAGAATAAACAATAATCAGCACACAAATTATTTTCAATACATATAAAAATGTTGGTGAGCGCATAACTCAATAATGCCTGGACCAATTTTGCCAGTTCATTTTTGCGGATGGTAGAGAGAATGTTCTTATAAAAAAAATATTAAGAAAAGTAAAGGGGCAAATCGAGAAATAGCGGCCCTTTCGTCGTTAGCGAGGATACCAGTGCGAAGTAGGGGCAAGCCGCTAATTTTCCTAAAAAAAATTAGTTGAAGAAAATATAAAAAAGGAAGGAAAAATCTGTTTGACTTTTTCTTATAATTATGCTAATGAACGCATTTGGATGAAACTTTTTTGTTGCTAATAAGAGACAATATAAAACATAGAAATAATTTCTTTTCGAAAATGGAATATCGTTGAAAATAGGAATCACCTTTTTCTGCGAACTCGCTGTCGGGAGCTAGGGCAATAAATAACACTTCAACATTTACAACGAAGATCGTCGCATCTAATAACGACCCTAGGCCCTAATTAATACTTTTCGCATCATATAATGAATGCATCACCTTACATATATGGGTAAGTAATAAATTATGATAAATTGGGTGACGCAAAAAGCCTATTAACTTTACAATTTACGCGAACACGGGTTGATTCGTGGAAGAATATTTACTTCGATGAGCGCAATGAAACTTTGCTAAAGGCAATCCTTAATGACTAACTTAGAGAGCCTGCTTTACAATTTCTGGATAGCCAGTGTGTACTAGAGAATTTAAATGTAGAACACGTGTTTTATTTACTATTTAGTACAGGGTGCGTAGTACAGGGCGCGTTTGAGTTACGTTAAAACCGCGTCTAGCCCTCTATTGGTTAGTGAACGTTGAACTGGCCAATCAGGGCGTCCAACGTCAAAAACTCGATCGTATCAACGTTAAAAACATGCACTAACCACTGAGAAATTTATCGGGAACTTGTATGAATTTGATGAAAGAGTTCCTAATACAATCTATACTAATATTATAAAGAGGTAAAATTTGTAAGTTTGTATATAGGGGGTAATCCTTGGAAACGCTGGACGGATCGCCAAAATTCTTTTACTGACAGATAGTTACGATCTGGTGCGGGTAAAACCGCGCGAGAGTAACTAGTATTACAATGTAGTCAAACAATACAATCAAAACTTTTAAAATCATTATTTCTTTCGAAAGATTATATTTATACATTGCGTGTGCAATAAAAGTGTTTGTATGATACAAACACTTTTATTGCACACGCAATGATCACGGACACGGGTGAAATATTCCGTTAAAATCATTCAATTCAACAACGGAACAGATTGAACGTTTTTACGCAGTACAATATAAATAAAAACAAGAGATTAAGCCAGTAAATAAGAATCAAAATGAATGGACTGTATACGATTACAAAGTACATTTGTAAATCTTCATTTTAAAACGATCTGAGATTAAAATCTAATCGCGTAGTTTAAATGAGACACATGTTTGTCTGTGTGTCTAGAAGACTCGCCCGTAATGCTAGGAAAGGTCATAAAAGTTTGGCGAACCAAATAACGAATGGTCGAATCAAATTCTATTTATTTAGAACTGAGATAAGTTAACATTCCAATTTAGAGTAGTGGGAACCTTTTTTTAAGTAATAGGTCGGCAAACGAGCAGACGGATAACCTGATGGTAAGCAATCAGCCCCGCCCATGGCCACACGGTGTTATGATTGTGTTGCAGATCTTTTGGGGATTAGGGATTTGGGAAGGGGAAGGTTTGAGCCTTTGGTAATCTCAATCACACGGTAAAACACAACGCTGTGGTTTTTTCACGCCGATTTTCTGGGAGGCCGTGGTATCACTCTGGTCGAACCGGCCAATTCGTGCCGAAGCATAGTTCTCCCACACTTACACCACACACATTGAATTTTTTTATCCTGAATGGCCGTCTCGAATACGGTGTTGTCAAAAGTTGAAATCATTTATTTTTAAATACCCTATTATCAACTACCGAAGGACGATATACATACAAGGATACGCAAGCATATTATATCATAAACATAACAAAAAATAGACAAAAATAATTACCATATTCCGAAGGTGGTATGCATTCGTTTAAGAATATCCTTCCCTCTGGGTTCTGATGGCATCCGACTAGCCTCTCGATGCTATAATACTCCTCGTTGTTGACCACATAACAATGACCCTTAAACTCTATCCTGTAAGTCTCTGTTGTGCTGCAAATATAAATAACAATCCAATAGTAAATTTGTTACAGTTTCACGCCTCATATAGTGAAGCAATCTACGTGAAATTTTGCATACATAGTTGGGAGTAAGAAGATTCCCCGTTCCTTCTCCTGCTCTAGGCCGAGGCCGCGGTAAGTTATTGCACTTGCCCCGCAACCCCGGCTGCACAACGGCCTTGTAGGAACCATCTACAGTGGTCTACTAGTTCTTTAAGAATCTACTGGCTCTTTGAATCCCCCTTGGATTGGAATCTACACGTGATTTTTTTAATTCGTCTCGGTCGATGCGACCTCTTATGCAGGTACTAAATATTATTTTACTTTCCTCGAAATAAATTACTTTCTTCATTTAAGTATAAAACTATAAAAGCAACTAATGAAACTGAGTCAAGTACTATTCAACTACCTGTATAATAATAGCCACACATTTCATATTAAGGGAAATTGTGTATCACATGTTTTACAGATACTATTTATAGCTCTGTATAAAATTAATATGAGGCGCATTTGCCTTTATACACGCCGCCACTACATCAAACCATAAAATGTCAGATGAAGTATTAAAAATAAAATGTGTTATAATTACCTGTTTTTTGTGCAAACGTCTAAATAATAAACATTGTAATCGTCCTGGCACTGTCTCAATATATAACAACCATGTTTCTTAGCGCGTTTTTCTTCCAACTTTCTATACGAAAACGCGCCCCTACAAAGTTAAAAGTTTTTTTTAAACAAAATTCTCGGTAACAATTACATTAAATATGTACCCCTTTTTACTGGCGTCCTATGTTCTGTAGTACTTACCCGACCGGGCCGTGACATTTTATTCTTTGTAACTCCTTTAATGATGGTGTTTCGTCGTCTTTGGACAGGTTAAACGTCCATTTCACCATTAATCTGTTGGTAATTAATAAATCACATTATTGAGTGTTTGTTGTACAACGAAAAGTTCAGAAGGGAATTAATCATTTACAAGTATGTATGTTGTTTAAGGAATTAAACGAAGTAAAAATGGCGGTATAAGATTCAAATTTTGAAAAGTTGTTTATAAGTTATACATTTAAATTCACAAATTTATACAAATTGAAAAGGGGAATAATTTCGTTGTTTATTTGCCTTACATAATATAGACTTTTATCATTACAAAGTTTTCTTGTAAATGTCGGTTTTTTGTGCGGTCGTGATATCACTCCTGTCGAACCGGCTTATTCGTGACGAAGCATGGTTCTCTTAGATTTTATTTTTTTATTCCCTTTATTCCTGCAGTGTTTGGACCTGCATATGAATTCCTCACGGGAGAAGCCACGGATGTAGAGATTGAGAGCTAAGTATACCTAAATTAGAGTAACAATTACCTGTAATATCCATCGCAGAGTGATATAAATGAAGATATATGCTCCTCAGATTTGAACTTAAAGAACAATGGGGTCCCTCTTCTAGATATCTCTAATGAGTTTTCTCCATTTCTTGTAATATAAATTAATTCCTCTATTTTACACACGTGGATCCACTGGAACAAAGCCATTATCCTAGTTTATTTTGTAAACTTTTTCAACAATAACTCTTATTCATAATTAATTTTATCTTGAGTTAATAGATTATCATATTGGGAGGGTTCAAGAAATTGTCAGGTCGGCCCTAATTTTAGTATTACATAGCTAAACTTAAGTACTATCAGTAACCAATTCTAGAGTAAAATCATTGGATTTTACTCTTATTATTTTTCTCTTATTATTGAATAACGTAATCGTTGAGCAATTCTGATTTAAACATTGTTTCGATTTTGATTTTGGGCTATACAATGAATCTGGTCATGTTTAGAATATTTTTTGAGAAATATATAATAACACTAGATTATTTAAATAGTGTGTAAATACTTTTACAATAAAATTGTTTTGCTACCCCATTTCTGACATCCTATAAGTATATTATATATTATATTATATAAAACTGAAGAGATTAGTTTGATTTATTGAACGGGCTAATCTCCAGAACTAGTAGTTTGAATTGAACAATTCTTTGTTTGTTGGATAGTTCATTTATCGAGGAATACTTAAGGCTAAAATACATCACGCTACAACCAATAGGAGTAAAGCAGTGAGAGAAATAACGCGGGAGTAGCTATCCAAATAAGAAAATACATAATATTAAGTAAATATGTACTTACATCCCGTTTAACAGTATTGAAGATCCTTATACCGGGTTGGTGGGGATGGAAGGGTGCGACCACAACGTTCACCGGCGTCACATCATTGCCGTTCTGCCATAGAACATTGTCATATTCCTCCGCCAAATAGTTTGGCGCCATTATATACAGTTGCTGTAGGTATAGGTTCTTTATATAGCTGAAAATTGTTTTAATGTTAACTTGTGGAAATGGCTAAAAGGAGGAAATAGACAAATGAGTATTTGGAAGGCGACTTTGCTCCAAAGAAGGTCAATTTCTGTTCTTCTTGAGTACGGAATGCCTTTTTATTTTCAAGCAACGATAAATCTAACCGTAGAATATTACTCTATCGCCATTTTCGTAGTATAAGTACAGTCCTTTGGTAAAACAAACCCCCGAACTAAGCGTCTTTTTTTCATAAAAAAAGAGGCATCACAAGAAAGTTAGCAAAACTCTTATCATTGTCTTGAACAGGGACCTCGAAAGGCGTGGTGGTAACTTACAAAGCCCCGTTACCTTACCTACCCTTCACGCTGAGATAAGATAGAAAACTTATACAAAAAAAGCTAATTGTTGGCCGCAGTTGGAAACATCTGACCAGCCAGTGATACAATCTTCATCTTTTGTTTCCATTGTGTTGGAGTACGATAAAAAATATGTTTACAAAAAAGGTTACAAGTCGCGGCAAATAGTGTTCCCATCTGTGTAGATTGTGCTGCGTATTACTTACTTCACATTGTGGCCGACTGAACAAAGCTTTGGTAGTTGGTCGTGAGCATGTTTCTTCGCGACGTGACCATGTCTTCTAACGATCACTTTCGGTATATATTTTTTGTAATCCCTCACCACATCGTTTACCGACAATTTTTCCTCGGCCGTGGCGCGTGTCCTGCATAAAAAACATTTACTTGCAATACATTTGTTAAGCAAAAAATCGCTATTTTTGGAGATACTACACGTGAATTCATTCTAGCCGGTAGTAATTAGCATAATCTTAGATCGAGACGCGATGCGCTTTGATATTGTTGAAGGCGCTTTGGGTTTTATATTGGAAGAAATGATCCCGTCAAAAAGATTACATACTTATTAGAGGGAGAATCTTTTCTATGGGATAGGTCGACAAACCAGCAGACGAATTTCCTGATGGTAAGTAATCGTCGCCGGCCATGGACACTCAAGACACTGGCAAGCGTTATACCACGAGGATTTTCTATAAGGCCGTATACTATCTCAATCTGGTTATGTCGGTCCATTCATATCGAAGCAATCCATGCTCCCACACTTAAATCTTTTATTCTGTTGGCCTGGTTCCAACTGTGAACGTACTTATTTATTATGGACATTAAATACATTAAAGTCACAGGTAACTTAGTACTTTACGAGAATCCTTCATACCATATCCTCGATAAAATCTAAAACTGTCTTTAGGCACTAAACAAAGAAAAAGCAAAGTATTCGGGCTAAAATACATACATACATATACATACTTAAGTATGGGATAGAAAAGAAAACCTCAGTTACAATACGTCTCAAAGAAGTCTTCATATAATAAATACAAATAAAAAAACAATATGTCAACCTCTTTAGTTAGATCTATTAAATTGAACTGTAAGTGAGCACATCCCTTTTCTCAATCACAAGTGGTTAAGGAAAGTACAGGACGACGCCGTCCTGTCGTCTGCAATTGTCAGCACTTAGAACTCGACAGATAAATATTGTAGGTACCGCACAGGAGACATCCAGACTCGCCCTTTTGTACGTAAACAACATGATACAAATTATGTAAGATATCCTTACAAAGTTTAAAAAGACACAAAAAACAATTTAATTCAAAAAGAATAGACGGATTTTTTTAAAGACCTCAACACTCGATTTTGTTTGATGTAATATGTTATGTACATATGTTGATTCCTGACGAAAGTTCATGTGTATAAATGTTTTGACCGCGGCAGTGAAGACGCTGTTACGAAGCGAATCACTACATAGAGTACATAGTACAAAACCAAATCGCTTTTTTTGTCCCTATTTCCCTACGTACGCTTCAATCTTTAAAATTCGAACTTTAGGAAAGCAATGGATTTTACGATGCTTTTTTTTTAATGGATAGAGTGATTGAAGAGGAAGTTTTATATGAAACAAACATCCGTTAAGTAATGGAGAAAAGTATCAACTACCGGCCCGAAAAGGCAGGGAAGGTCAGTAGTTGTATACTAAAAGATAATGAAGTATGATAGTATATTTGATTTATTGAGGAAATGCTTGAAAAGACTTCAGTGCAAGTCAGACTTGCCCATGAAGGACTTCAAGGGCCTAATCTCTTATTTAAGATGTTACAGGAGACACGAATTTTACCACTTTAGACGTACCTTCCGCGAAAAGTATTCAGTTTAGACAACAATATTGTTAAAAATCTGGCTGACATAGGGACGGACGGACAAACGATATCACGGATCTATAAGAGATCAGTTTTTTGCCATTTGGCTACAGAACTCATAAATAAAATGGTAAGAAACTACTAAAACACCTTTAGGCCTAACTCTTGTACGGTCAGTTTTATGAATACGATGGAAGGTAAAGAAATATTTGAGTATCGTTGAAAGTAGCTGTAGGTAAGTATTAGCCGAAGTAGATGCAAGTACAATGATATACCGAGACCCCGGCTCGGAGTAGGAAAAGGTACAGGTTGGTTTTTAGTCAGTAACTAGCAGATCGCCCCTGCTTCGCACGTCTACCCGAGTACCCTGGTGTCAGTCATTTGTTTTGCAAGCGAACGGCCAGGGCGTTGAAATGTTAATTGTTAATTACCGCTATTCCCCTTTACTTTTCTAAAGTTTTCTCTCGTAAGAACCTTCTTCTTATAATAACGAACATAACGAACATAGCAAAAACTGTCCAGGCGTTTTTGAGTTATGCGTCTGACACACCGTCTCGCCCAACCAGAGAAAGAGAAGTAAGCTGGGGGCCAACAGGGCCGAAGTTTAGGCGGGGTTGCGGGACAAACGCAATAAGGTTTTAGGTACCGCGGCCCCTGGCTGGAGCAGGAGAAGGAACGAGGTTGTTTCTATTCAGTAAGTCTGACACTCCATTTCGCCTCAACCTGGGCAAGTCATTTGATAACTGTCCGCCCTAAAAACCACTGTTATGGGTACCTAGGTATATTATACGTGATTTGTGATAAGATACTCGTAAACAAAGAGGAAAACTATAATACAATAACAGATTGTTGATAGTTGATACCTTTCATACCTAACAAATTACACTCGAATCAAATGGCCGAGAAAAAAATTCAAAAGATGTTGATCATTTTGATTAGCTTTTGCCTGTTATCTATTCCTAACAAACGTACGGACATCGAAGATTTCTTAAATTATGATTCATAAATGAATGAATAGGATTTTGAAGCAAAATAATAATAATAATGCTGTATTGCCATTTTACCGTTAATATCGCTTAGGTAAACACCAAACTCTGCTAACAGAGAATTAGCTAGCACTTGTTACTTTTTATAAGTAAAAAAAATTTTCTCAATTTTTGTATTTTGTATTATGTTTGTTTTCTACGTCTATGGTTAATTGTACAGTTGCAGTCTTTTTCTCGAATGTTATAAAACGCAAGTGTATAAGTTTTATGTTGAGACACAAATTCGCGTTTATAATGAATGTCTTTAGCTTAAGTACCCAGTTATACCTATTAGTTAAATCAGTGTTACCTCCCAAAACCACAAATAAAGATGTAGGATTTGTAACACAATGTATAAAAAAATAGAATAACTTATTAGAACCATTTCACATATAGGGGGGTACCAGGATATCAGGGCAGTTGTATTTAATAATCGACAGCAGAATTTCTTTGCTAAAAAAGAGCAATGAATTATCGTGATTTTTTTATTTTATAGGACGGAAAACGATCCGGCTAATTACCTGGATGGTAAGCAACCGGCGCCGCCCATGAACACCCGCAACGTCAGAGGAGTTACGAGTGCGTTGCTTTTGAATTTCGGAGATTTACGGATTGGGGGAAAAAGGATTGGACCTTTTATGATTTCAGATTTAACGTTTGAGAAGACTTCTATCATACGCTAAGAAGTATGTTTTCTTCAGAAAATATCCTACTCTCAAAGAAGCCTGTATCTGTCATTAATGAATTGTGTACGCAGATAATAAATGGCGACAATACCTATATGTTTGACACGTGACCTCTTCGCCTTGATATAATGTCACTCATAGTTAAGACCATTGAGTACTTTGACCTGCCTTTCCATGCCATGCCATGGGTGCCCGACAAAATAAAAAAAATAAGGGTTCCTAGCCTACTACGTAACCCTAAATACAATAATATTATGCTCCTTTTCAAAACTTGCAAAATATCACAAGTTACATTTTAAGATATAAGTATAGCTAAGATAATGTATATTATGAATACGCCGAAGTATCAACGTTGCGCGTTCAGGGTCGCGGGTTCGATTGCCGCATCACCGAACTACAATAAATATTTGTATGACATACATAAATAAATAGACTTGTCCAGTCTGGACGTTGTATTACGTCACGCGACACTGAATCTTGATGTTTGAACTATGTATTACTCAATCGTTCTGATTAAAACCATTTTTTTACAAATTTATCCTTAACTATGTTTTAAGAAACAGCGTGAACAACGTTTAGAGAAAAAATATCAAGCACTAGCTTCCGCCCGCGGCTCCGCCTGGATGCTATGTTGATAAAAAGTAGCCTATGTAATATTCCGGAGTGTATCCTATGCCTGTGTCAAATTTCATCCAGATCCTTCCAGCCGTTTTGGCGTGATTGAGTAACAAACATCCAAACATCGTAACTTTCGTATTTATAATATTAGTAGGATAAGAAGTAAGATACCCAATGTACATTTTTGGTGTATGTTTTGCCGAAGTAATTAACAAGGAGATATGGTATCTACCTGATCTTCTCCCCATAAATTTTGCCACAATATAGGTTGAAGAAAACAGTTTAAAAAGTTTAGGTTTTATTTAGAGACTAGCGATTCGCCTCGACTTTGAACGGGTGCAATGTTGGTAAGTAGGTACTAAATTTCTCCAATTTTTTAACTTTCTATTCGAAACATAATAGAAGAACAAAAGGATCGCGAACGCCGGCGTTTGCTTGGGGTTTGATAAATTAATAGAGATTTTACATATAAACCTTCGACTTGAATAACTTAATACTTTTAAAAAAACGGCGACAAAATCCGTCGTGTTGTTTTAATTTAAGCATATATTAAGTACTACTAAATTTAAGCATACATAGGGATTTAGGGACAAAAAAAATTAAAAACGTAAACAAGGCAAAAACGGACACATTAAAGGTAAACAAATTTTAAACACATCTACACAAATAAATAATTAATTGACATTACACTTGTGGTAATATGAGACACAATAGAAAGACAATAGGTGCACGAACGCCGGCGTTAGCTTGGGGTTTGATAGATTAAAAAAGAGATATGTGGTGCAACATGTTATAGAAAATGACATAAAACATTTAAGCTTGAAAATTAACTCCCGGTTTCCGAAAGGCCGATCAATGTTAAAATAAATTTAATCTCTTGTCAAGTCGTCTGATTGGTTGACTGAATTAGCAACGACCAATCAGATGACTTGACAAGAGATTTAACAGGAGATTAGTTAATTTTAGCGTTGACAAGCCTTTCAGAAACTGGGTGTATGAATATCACTTGTTAATTGAAGAGTTATAACCAAGGGCTATTATCTCATAGAATTAGACAGAGTAATTACATGTTTATAGTCCATTGTTCTATGAAATTATGGTGCACAATAATAATTATACTTGACAATTTATTATCTACTGGAACACTTTTGTGGCTGTACTACTTTGATACATAATGTTTTAAGTGTGGGAGAGCCATGCTTCGGCACGAATGCGTCGGCTCGACCGCAGTAATACTACGGCCTCACAGAAAACCGGCGTGAAACAACCACAGCGTTGTGTTTCGCCGTGTGAGTGAGGTTACCGGAGGCCCAATCCTTCCCCTTCCCGGACCCTTCCCCAATCCCTAAATCTCCAAATCCCTAATCGCTAAAAGGTCGGCAACGCACTCGTAATTCCTCCGTTGCGGGTGTCCATGGGCGGCGTTGATTGCTTACCATCAGGTAATCCGTCTGCTCGTTTGCCGACTTATTACATAAAAAAAAATGTGGTAAAAAGGTTATAAAAATAAATATCTATGAATGATGGCTACAATTTTTTTATTTTTTTATTATATTAGCAATATGATTAAAGCTCAACTATCTTGGCTGCATTTTTAGTGCAGTGGTTGGACAACAGACTGCTGAATAACATGAAGCATATTTATTTGATACATGAAGTAGATGTATGATGCATATGTAATTTTATTGAAACTAATATTATAAATGCGAAAGTAACTTTGTCTGTCTGTGTGTCTTTTCTTCACGCCTAAACAACTGAACCAATTTCTGTGAAATTTGGTACAGACATAGTTTGGAACTCAAGAAAGGACATAGGATAGTTTTGTTCTAAAAATCTGCAGGAAGTCACTATTTCATCAAGTTACGGGCAAAAACTTTTTTATAAATGCACTTACAACACATTGTAAAACCCTACTGTAGAGCCTTTTTTAAGAAAATATAAAAAAACTGATATATTAAAGGTGCTGGCTTTTTAATCAGAAAATAATTACATGTTTATAATGTGTAATAATTGCATATGGATTTATCATATTATTATTATAGTAGATTAATCATTGTTTTAATTAATAGGTATAATAAATAAATCAATTAATGTTTTGTAGGCAAAATATTATTACCTACTGCACATTAACTAGACAAATTATTTATACTTTAATCTATTTAATAATTAATCATATTAATTATCATCCACAAACTTGATTAAAAATTTAAATAAAAAATTAAGGTAAATAACTTACATATCAGCTATTCCAAGACCAAGCATTTCTTTTTTATGTTCAGGGTATTTGATTTCAGGAATTCTGTTCTCGTAGACATCACTCCTCGCTTGAAGGAAATAGTAATCATAGGTAGTCTCGTCCAGGGTTATCAACAATTCTAGTCTTGGTACCTGTAAAACAATAAAACCTTTTTTTGAACTTCTATACAATTACAGAAACCTTCTACAATCATGATGATAATATCTTTTATTCCCTACTTACTGCCAATTTTTTAATAAGTGAATGTACTGCCTAATTTGTTTCTCAAAACCCCTGAAGGCTGTAGTATGTGTTTCAAAATATTTGGATAGCCACTAAGTCAAAAATAAATTTGAATAAAGAATATAATTTGTATGTACTGTGTATTGTGCTGATTAACATTGTGAGGTAGGTATTGGTATGTATATGAAAGTGAAACTGGCCCTCAATATTATTCAAAAATTTATGTAAAATTACAACTTTATGTTCAAGGCTAATATTAAATTTTGCCAATTTTTATTGGATAGAAGCATAAATAAACCAGTTTATTTTTAGATGGTGACCAAAATTATATCATGAAGAATAATACTAAGCTTGTTGTAGTCAATAACTGTAATGTAACTGTGTAACTTTCAATTTGTGACAGGTAAATTGAGTCACAATAGAAAAACAATAGATGCTTGAACACCATCATTAAGTTGGGATTTGATCAATAAAACTCATGAAATATACCAAAACAAATTATATAAGAAAACCCTACCTATGGCAACTGACTTAGCCTTGAATATATGCAACTTATAACAACACTATACTCGGACTTTTAATTCTATTCCAGATTTGACAATTTCAGTGTTGCAACGTTATGACACGTATTAAATAGTGACGTTGCGAAATTATTCGATATGGAAATCGAATATTTCTGAATCGATTCCTCTCGTTTATAAATTTACTCTCGTAAACTAAGTTTATCAGGAAATAAAATATTTCTGAACCGATAATTTAGTTTTGACAATTAATTAACGATCTGAGACTTTTCTTTTGTAATTGTGTGTGAAATTAATTAAAAATGTGATCATGAAGGAACGTGACAAATAAAACAGACATTTTACAAATTGTCGCCGTCATCGCTATCGCTATCGCCGTTACTCTATGTAACATTTATTATGAATTGTGTCTTTGATATTTATTGTCAATTATCATATCTAGCTTACTAATTTTTTCCTCTTCTTTGAAAACATGGGATACACATTTAGACCATTCGGTAGCCGTAATTTTTTGAATGCCTTCCTGAAACTGATTCACTGATTGTTTATCGATTTTTTGTGTTCATCACTACACTGTTATATGTGGTATCATTATTTCACAAAATGACAGTGGTCAATGTCAAATCAGGAATCGAATTAAAAGTCTGACTATAGTAACAATTTATACCTCACTATAAATTAAATATAATATTTTCAGACTTATATTAGTGAAATCTAATTAATGTTTAATTCAAATAGGCATTACATTTCAATCTATTTGTTTGTATAGGAACCAATAGTTTCATACTCCAATAGATTCTCTGCTCCTTTACTTCACATTAATAATTCATCAATTTAATTAATGCACTCTGGTTTCTACACAGTTGCAAGACTGATTTTTAACTTCATAATAAGCAAAATTTACCTTATAACGTATTCTGAGCTCATAATCTCTGGTGCTGGACAACACTTTAGCGTTATCTTTGAGAAAATAATCTCTACCTTTGACTCGTAACGCGAAAAGCGTCCGAGTAAGTGGAGGAATTTTATACTTTTTACATAAAATAATGCACAACTCCTCCGCAGTCATTGTACTGGAGCATCGTATGATATTAGGCGAGCGGTCAGTCACCACTGCCACTTTAACTGTCTCTTCGACTGTTGCCATTGTGAACTTGAACCATAAAAAACAAGAGGACGCCAACAGAGATAAGACTTAAACCCACTTTGATAAATGCATCGCTACGTTAACACCATATTTACAAGAAAAAACATTATACACCACTCTCACTCACAAAAACACTTGGAGTACACACTAAATACATAAATGTAAAGATGTTTATTTATAACGTTAGCAAAATTCTTCTATTCGGCGTAGTATTTTCTTCGGAATATTTTCGGTCACTTATGTTATTTTCCCGTAATGCGCTTGAATGGTTTTTGACATTTGACAGTAAGCAGTTGACATGACAGTCACGCTGAAATTCTACTAGAGACTACCAATTGTTGGTAATTTACCTAATAGATTAATATTACATATAAAGTACTTTTAGTTTTTAAGATGATATGAAATACTTTTAAATAGTACTCTTGAATGTCTCTTAGCATAGCAAGTGTCAAATAGGCTTGAGACCATCCACATTACTCAACGTGTTATGACACGACACGCCATAGTAGTCCGAAATGCAGCGAGACCCCTGTAGGCTGTAAGCGTAAGCATGGGAAATAAGGTGGTAAGAGGCTTCAAATCTTCTTATAGTTTCTCGAGTTTGTACCTTGTATCCAGTTTGAACCAGCGATGTGTTAAGTATCGTTCATCATCATGAAAACAGTCACATTCTATGCTACATATAAATGATATATCAAAAAAGATTGCCCATCGAAATATTACCTCAGTTCAATAATACTATCTATAATTATTTAAGTTCAAATTTCATGACATAATTCGTCATACAGAACTCCCGAAAACTAAATAAAAATGAAAATCTTTGAATACTGAACAGAAAAAGGAGGTACACATTTTTACGATTGCAACCCATGATTTATTTATCTATGCTCCTGCTCCTCCATTCTTTTATGTTTTATCTGGCAACTCTATTTGTAGACTTCCGCCATTGCTTGCTGCTGGCGTTTAGCTTTCTTGGCGGCTGTTGTCTTTGTTCAATTCTGATTGGAATAGTTGATTTTTATTACGCAGATTACAATTAAGTAAGCAGTTTTTTTGGTAAGATTCATCATTTATTTTGTTTGTCCTATAAACACCCACTGTTATGATATTATTCGTTTAGCACGTGCGAATGGTTGACAAAAGCCGGTGCCGGTTGTAGCATTTTTTTCTTGTTGAATTATTAATAAACAGTAACAAAAAGATCATGTAAAGCTTCCTGTTTTATTTATGCAAGTTCCTACTTTCTAAGTTAAGTTGTTTCATGAAAATTTATCAAATTCAAATTTACCTCTGCTAACGATTTTTTTATACCTACACTTCTCAGAAACAAAAAAGTCCGTCAAGACGATTTTCTGTAGATAATATTGTTATTACTATAAACCTCTTGGTTTCTTCAATTGGTAGGTATTATAATAACTCAATGTTAAGCAAAGCTCCAATAAATAAAAACCTACGATTGTGCACCGACCTGAGTAGGTATACAAGTACCTACCAGGAACAAATCTGACGAATATATTTGTAACTTGGTATCATCTTACGTCTAATAATAACGTTATTGGTTGTGATACCAATAAACAATAGTTATTACTAATGAATAATAAAAGTTATATTAATATGATGAAATAATAATAGTTACCTACATATGAATGGCATCTCTCTTTCCAATGTCAAAGTATGCTAAATTCATGATATAGATTCCTTTAATTTGTACTTAATATAACAATTTGTTTTAGAAAATGGATGATGAATGGGATGATTGCTGTGCTGATGTGGTAAGACACTTTTGCTAATATTATCTTGCTCTTTTGTCTTATGTTGAATTGGAGTTCTAGAATTTATAGAGAACTTTTTTAAAATCTATTGCACACCAGTTTTATACATTCGTCTTGTCCCATTATTTGATTATATGGTTGGTTTAGAGTGGAAATGTCTTTTATAAATTCGTTTTGATACAAAATACTAGATTTGTTCAACTAAACCTATAAATTCTTAAAAGTGTGACAACACAACCACTGAACATCAATTCATCAGTATTGGTTACTGAGATTGTTGAGACAATTAACATATTAGATTACTTTCTGCTTTAACATATTTTACTTTCCTGGCTGGAGCTTTTTCAGACATGCATTTAGCGGATGTTGATAATATTGCCATATAAATATACTAATTCAAAGCTTAATGTCATTACAGGGTGTGGTATCAAACAACTGCTCAAATATTGATGAAGGACACAGTCTTTCTAGGGGAAGAGGATTCCAATCATTTAATGAAAATGGTACTTGAATGTCATTACTTCTATGACTTCTGTGCTTTATAGCTATAATTTCTTATTTGATAAAACATCAAAAATAACTGTTGAAAAAAAAATGTTCCTTTACCACTTACACAATCAGTAAATTCCCAAGTTGCCCTAAAGTGTTTGTAATAGAAATATTTTGTCAAGTGGCTTATTTATGTATAAAAAACTTGAACCACTTACTCAGCTTAGTGTCATGTTACATTTGGACTCTTATACTAGGATTTATGTGCTGAAGTGGGTGTTTGCTTATTTTTTTAGAATATGATGACTGTAAAGTAAGCAGTAACGACTTCGGAGAACGACGGGGTCGTGGCGGACGAGGCGGGGGCCGCGGAAGGGGAGGCAGAGGTGGACGCGGCGGCGGACCCGGCAGGGAGCCAAGGGACTATGAAAATGGTGAGTTTTTTAATGCTCACATATTTGAAACAGCCATTTATAGAAAAAAATGTATATAACAACTCGCAAATGACTTAATGGACTGTTCTATGCTAAAACCGAATACGCGAAATATTTACACAGCAACTTTACGGATTTTATCATTGAGATAAATCCTTTATGCTGATCATGTCCTACCTATTCGGTTGTGACAGAACAAAGTTTAATGCAATATATTATGGTCTATCAGTTTAGGTAATAATTTAATATTGGCCTGTCTTTTCATTAAAATGTTGCTTTAAATTGTATGTAAAAATGTTTACAATCAGGTACTCACCTAAATTGATGTTAGCTAATAAACTAAATTTAAATAATCTCTGTATGTATTTATTATCATTTTATACTTTCTATTTCTATTTAATATAAAAAGACAACATTGTTTACCTTTAGTTAACCAACTAAACCGGTAGAACATAGCGGACATACTTAACAACATAGCAATTTATTGGCTTTGTGAAATTGATTTTACAAAAACTATTAACCATGTAATCTGAAATATGGGTATGGTAAACATGGTAGTATTATTCGAAATCAGGTGACGGAGATGATAGACGGGATCGAGGTGAGCGTGGACGCGGACGTGGCCGCGGAGGACGTGGTGGTGGTCGAGGTGGAGGCGTGAGTGGAGATGGCCCAACTGAAATTGGCGAGGATGGCGAGCCGAAAAAGCCCCCAGTAACATATGTTCCACCTCAACCCACTGACAATGAACAAGAGATCTTCAGCAGCACTATTAGCTCGGGCATCAACTTTGATAAATTTGACTGCATTGCTGTTAAAGTAAGTGCACTATAAAACATACATAGATTAAGTTCCATTGAGTAATAATAATTAACATTTGTTATAATTTAGGCAAATTTTGACCTTTATATCAAGGTCTTATCTGTTATTATACATTCTAACCTTGAAATCAGGGGCCCAGTTATTTTAATGGTCTCTCTTAAAGTTATTAGTAAAAAAAGTTGTTGTTTAAACTTTTATGTTTTATTTTTTACCCTAGCTTATACAATGTTTTGTAAAGTACCTCTTATAATACCAAAGAACAAAGACACCCACTTTGCCAGATGTAAGATGACCCCATTTGAAAACTGAGAAAGCTTTTTATCTTTATAAAAACAAATTACAAAGTACTTGCAGCTGTTGGCAACTGTTATAGCAATTTAATGCACTTGTATGCATATGGCACACACATGAACACCCACATACCTTGTGATTTTTTTTTTCTATAGAATTAAATATTAATTTAATTTTACTTAGGTCAGTGGTGAAAATCCTCCACGTGCTATTGAAAGCTTTGAAACTGCCAATCTTCGAAAGTATGTGTTGGATAACATATTGAAGGCTGGCTACAAGAAACCCACACCCATTCAGAAACACGCTATTCCCATCATTATGGGTGGACGAGATCTAATGGGGTGTGCTCAAACTGGATCTGGAAAGACGGTAAAACTAATTACTTCATGTTTTGATCATAATTAGATAATTGAAATATTTTTCTCAATAATTTTTGTTTTTCTAGGCTGCTTTCCTTCTCCCAATTATAAACACACTTTTGCAAGATGAACGTGAACTCATTGTTGGACCAAATGGATGTGCTCAACCACAAGTATGTATTTTTTGTAAGAAGACAGTCTTTTGTTTCATCATAAAGACCTTTGTTAACCATTTGTTGCTCTGTCTCAGGTCGTCATAGTGTCCCCTACTCGTGAGCTGACACTGCAAATATTTAATGAAGCTAGAAAGTTCTCATATGGATCCATACTGAAAATTGCTGTAGCTTATGGTGGAACAGCAGTTCGTCACCAAGGCGATAACATCTCTGTAAGTTGTAACTAGTTATATTGATGAATTGTGTAGTTTTTTACAGAATATGATGTGTTTTGTGAAGACTGCAATTATATCATACTATCTCTAAGAACCAAAATGGCACTATACACACTAGCAACTCCTTGACTTGAAGATCTTCATAGGCGGCGGCGATTTATTACCATTCAGTTATACGGCTACTATATTGTACACCTATATCTTAAAACAATCTTTTTTTCTTACTTGTAGAGAGGCTGTCACATCCTCGTGGCTACTCCCGGTCGTCTCCATGACTTCGTAGACCGCAACCGTGTGTCTTTCGACAGCATCCGTTTCGTAGTGCTTGATGAAGCAGATCGTATGCTTGATATGGGTTTCATACCAAGTGTCGAAAAAATGATGGATCACTCTACGATGGTCCCAATTGTAAGTAAACTTGACCATTTGAAATACAAGTAATTCACTATCCTTATTGCAATGCTAATTAATTGCGTGTATCCTAATTGCAGAAAGAAAGACAAACGCTCATGTTTTCGGCGACGTTCCCGGAAGACATCCAGCATTTGGCTGGCAGGTTCCTCAATAATTACTTGTTCGTCGCCGTCGGTATCGTGGGTGGCGCTAGCACGGATGTTGAACAAATATTCCACCAAGTTACCAAGTATGAAAAACAAACTACGTTGAAGAAGTTGATTGAAGAAAATGGTTAGTAGCAATCATAGATTTTCATATTAAAAAATATTAAAGCAATTATTGTTGTAAAATCATAAGGTTGCAATTTACAGTTCCCTAAAGAGCTTATTCTATTTTCAGATGGCAAACGCATTTTAGTATTTGTTGAGACGAAGCGTAACGCAGATTTCATAGCGGCGATGTTATCGGAACAACAAATGCTGACGTCGTCTATCCACGGCGACCGCATGCAACGCGAACGCGAGGAGGCCCTTGATAACTTCAAGAGTGGTAGACATTGCATCCTTGTTGCTACAGCTGTAGCTGCCAGAGGACTTGGTAAGTTTATTTGTCAACCCCATTTTTCCATTCATTATTTGTAATAATATGCAACTGAAATATTTTTTTCTTTTCCGACAGATATAAAGAATGTTGACATAGTAGTTAACTATGATTTGCCAAAGAGTATTGATGAGTATGTGCACAGAATTGGTAGAACTGGTCGTGTCGGTAACAGAGGCAAAGCAGTATCTTTCTATGATGCTGACCAAGTAAGTAATATTTTTATTTAAATCCCTCAAATTTTAAGTCCATCTAGCATTAAATAATTAATTCAATTATTTCTTTTTGCACAGGATATGCAACTGGCAGCTGACTTGGCAAAGATCCTTAAACAGGCAGATCAAACTGTACCTGACTTCCTGCAAGGAGGTGGCACTGCCTCTTACAAGGGCAACAAATATGGTGGCAGTGATATTCGAGTAAGTCATTTTTTATATCACCACATAACTCTTCCACAGATTACATCCATAATCTCTTATGCCCAAATAGGTGAAAATTTGGTTATAAAGGTGCCTTTGGTTATAATGATTACATAGTTTTCTGAGTGCTGAATTATTACATATTTCTTCTATCTTGTAAATGAAATCGTTCCATAGGCATTTATAATTCATACTTATATATATAAATTAGTAAATATTTGATTTACTCAAGACATTTGATTATAATACTTATGCAATATTTTGTGCATGCAAACCATAGACTGATGGAAATGTAAGTATCCAGAAAGACAGTACTTTAAGAACAATTTAACAATATTGAAATAAACTTTTACTAGCATATTAATATGTCAAATATCAGTTTTATAACTCAAGTTAAACTATTGTATTTTTTTCTAGGACTTCAACAATGCCGTGTCTGCCGTTGATCAAGGCCTGGAGCCTGAAGAAGAATGGTAAATTTAAGGGACTTCTTGATATTACTTTCGCCAGTGCGCGTATAAAGTGTTTTTTGTTTAATTTTCTTTTGGTGCATGTGAATAGCCAGTGGCGCTTATGCGACAATCTTAATTACTTCCTGGTGAAGTTAATCCGAATTTGTTCCCAGTTTTAGAAATAGTTATTGTTCTTAATTTAGCAGGCCTCATTATTATAAGACTGTACATTATAAATACTAGTATTATAACATGTATGTAATAGTTCTAAGTTTCCTTTGTTTTGATCAAGCTATTATAACATTTATTTTGCATAAGTTCCATTGCTATTAACACAATTTGTTACACTTGTTATGATTCTTCATTTTATTATTTAGCAATTAGGTTTGTTTTCATTACTTTTTTTTAAATATTTAGTGTTTTTGTTTTTTGTGTGCTGCTTCCATACCTAAGATTAGGTAGCTACAAAGGTTTGAAATAATGTTACAAAATTAAAACTGGCTGATCTGTGATGATATAAGTGTAGAGTTGCTCACTTTAAATTTTAAAATAAATAGTCTATAGATACATACCTAGTTATAGGCCACAAATAATTATAAGTCTACTTTTATGTGATGTAACCTCGAGATTCCTATCTTTTAAAAGATATTTCAGTTACAATTGGGGAAAATCTTGAATCTCGATAAAAGTATATAAATTACTTAATTTAAAAGTTTTTGTTTAATACACTGTAAGTGTCTAGGCGGCCGTTTGCCTATAAATTTTGTTCCGTACAAAATCTAACCTGACTTGAAGTTTTAGAAGAATAAAATTTGTAATCTGTGATGATTATTAATATAAGTAGAATAGGTTCACATTTCATACACCCGACGCCATAAAACATTTCAGTTCAAAAACATGTAACAATTTTTGAGCCATTACATCAATACTCAAAATTGATTTTCATACAAGTACCTGGTAACTTGTTTTTCTATTTCATATGATATTACAACATTTTTTACTATGTTGCGGTAGAAGACAAAAAACCAAGAATTAATTAGACTTAAGACATTATAAATAAAAGATACAATAAGAAGACACTGGTTTTATTTGTTTTAATCTTACAAATACATTATATGCTTCATATATTCAATACGTAGTCAACGTGTAAATAAGGCATTTCATTCTAAGTAAGTACTACACAGTCAAACCCGAGGTAAAAGTATGCGAACTGCTTTACGCTAACGCGTTCAAACCCCTGATTGGTTAGTTTATTTTGATAAGGCCAATCAGAGCACCAAACGTCATAATCGTTCTCAAGTGCTAACGCTGAACATCACCTTATAATTAACTAAATACATGCTATATAAAAAAAATCGAATACCTTTCGGGTATAAATTCTCAATTGTATGTCATAAAAATAAAAACATCTGAATCTTATAACAAATTCTAAATTATATATCACATTATTTACTATCACTAAAATTGGATACTTTTTCGAACACCCAAGTTCCATAATACATTTTACCTTACAACAAAATAAGTCGCAAATAATTTGTGTGCTCAGTTATGTACTTATTATAGTTTCTGCTGCTTTCTAATCTTATACTAATATTTGTATATAGTAATTCTTAAAATAAAAAGCATGTACTGTCGTAGTAACTTATCTAGTTTCTAAGCTGCAACCAAAGTCTCATATGGGGTTGTAACATTCCATCTGAAATACTGGACCGTTCTGAAAGGAAATCAAAATTACATTTATTAGGTAAATGAATCTAGCACATACGAATTTGCTGTAGTTACAACAGTGACTGGGGAAATTGGCTGCTGCGCAAAATGCAGTTCGTTAGCTATTTAGAACAACTCTGTCCCGGACGTTTGCGATTTTTGTGAATGTGTATGTTTGTAAACGTACACACAACATATGGGGAGACTTTTTACAATCGACCTTGACCAGTCTCGTAACTATTAATTAATATGTATTATTGTTTGGCTAACAATGCCATAATAATACAATTTTATTACATCCATTTGTATGTTATTTATGAAAATGTAATACAAAATCAGATAACCATTTTAACTCTTTCAACAACAAAGCCTTGTTTAAAGGCAGATAAACTTACAAAAATATATGTAAAGTAATAAAATACAAAAAAGTTCTTGGCACTTAAGACGAGATACAGAACTTTTGTCGTTGTTATTAATAAAAAAAAGAAAGTATGAATGTTGTGGTTTGTACCTAAGAACAGGTCTTGTAGGTTTTGTTTTTAAAAGGGCAGAAATCTGAGCTTGATTCCAACATTCAGACACATCAACACAAGTAAATGTTAAAACGAAATCAACTGCAGGATATGTAGTTATAAGTACTTTAGTTGATCACGAAAGGTCATAGGGCCATGAGGATTTAATTGAACTCTCTGAAGTTCGTGTTTGTTAATATCTACCTTTGTAATAAAATTGCGCGAATCTTTTAGGGCCTCTTTTACATTGTCACTGCGTTGTCAATTTGGCATAGTTTTATTTCGACGCTCTGATTCAATTGCCTACAATTAGCGTATTTTCCTTGTACTTTTTTTCTATTTTCTCTTGCATCGTGGTTGCTTTACTAAGTAACAAATTCCGTTCGAGGATTGAACCCATCATAACTACTTAAATATAATTATAAAGTAATTGAATTAAATTAATAGAGATACAAAAAATACTTACGATATGCAGATAACACAGACTAAAGTAATAGCACTGCTGAGTATATAAATCGATCCCGGAAACACTGCAACGGTGAACTGGTACAGCGAGTTGTACATAAACGGTGAGATCAGGGGACATAGACCTTCGATCGCAGACATCAATGCGAATACTTTTGCTATATCCACAACGGGCAGGATTTTCGTCAAGAAGGACCTGATTAATGGCGCTGAAAGACCCTTTACTGAAGCTATGGACGCACCTGGAATATAAGAAAAATAAGAATTTAGTAGTACATTAATAACATTATCATCATATGGACAAGACGTCTACAATTGACTGCAGACAAAATCTGTTGAACGCTAATCCACCGCTAACATCGGACACTATTGCCCAACACTGCATTCTATGTTTTACCGAACCTAGCACTTTCGCATTCAGCAACCTTGAATATCTATTGGACTTTAAGCTTGAAATACTAATTGACGGAGCACATACGTAATGTCAACTATCCAAAATAAATTAATCATTAAGCGATACCTACAATGAAACAAAGCACAAAATCTCTGCATTGAAGTGATATTATGATGCGTCACAATGATTAGTCACCACGCTCGCAATAACAAAATACTATACCTACTTAAATATTTCGTCTTTATGGTGACCGCAGTTTAAAATGATTATAGTGATTTAATGTAGTAAATACATTGAAAAACATTAAGTATTTGTAACAACACAATGAACTAGAATTTTTTTATACTCGTAGGCGTCAAATGAGCGCAAATATTATTTAATCTTTATTTACTTATTAATTAATGACTTGTATTAATTATACTTACCCATATACATATGCCAAGACTTGGTGGCAGCTGTTCTAATAAGATAGTCAACGATTCCCGATATAAACGCTACGTTAGTAACGAACAAATCACTTCTCTTCAACAGTTTTTGTAAAACAATAATTCCTATAGCTGAACCTACGAAAGATATTATGGTGCCCAAAGCTGAAAATTGTGTGTAATCCTTTATTCCCCAATGCAGCTTTTGTCTTGTGAACATGTATTCTAAGGGAATCAATCCGTAAAGAATAAATATTGATAAGCTGTTTGCTATTGTCAAGAGGAGTAATTGGGCTCTGCCATTGTTTGGTCGTCTTTTGAAACATTCTCGTACCATCTCTTTGACTAATAAGAAGTCAAGAACCGTCGAGAGACCACCCTGGAACAAAATTATTTTAGTTAAATACAATTTGAACATATCTAAAACCTTTAAGCACTATTTTGCAATAAAGAAAAGACGAACACAGCGAGCGAATGCTGAAGGTCAATGTCGACCACGAGAGGCGAGATCACAGAAAAAACTGCAAAAATCCCCTACATCATAATTATCTGTTCGGCGTTCCTATAATGAATAGGTACCTACGTAAAACAGCATACGGTGCCTACATAATATTGTAACTAGGTATAACTTTGAAGTGTGGAAACATTACTTTTTCTACCGTATGATGTCCGTTGATCGGACTCTCCTATTTTCGATTAACATTTTGTTGCCAATTTTTATACTTATTTCTGCAATGCAAGCGGCAAATGAGTCATGGGCCACCTGAATAATGAACAATAAGGACAATACCTACTTAACGATATTTCGGGAAGTAACAAACATGTTTTTGCGATCAGGTCAATCAGTAGATTATTAAGGGTTTATCTGATACTAGCTGTTATGGAGCAGCTGCAGATAAGACATGAGACATTGTCTGATTACGATGATTCAATACTTTATCGCTGATATGACATAAAAACAATTGCGATTAGTGAACGTGATGGACGTAAGTGGAACATCTATCTAATGGGGTTCCCGGTAAATCTATTTATAAAGATTAATTAATCCTTTTTTTACCATGGTCACGTCATAACAATTATTTTTGAACAGAACAAATACTAGGCTTTGACAAAAACTCCTGATTAAATTATTCAAATAAGTACGCGGCGCAATTATCTACTAAAACCAAAAGTGGGCCAAAATTAATGATAAACATTTTACTTATTCGATATAATAAGTATTTATAGCTATTTCATGTTAGCACGCTATGTATCGTGACTCTTTGACGACAAAGCCGATTATATTTTGTGGAGAGACCTGCATGACTGTCCACCTAATTTCAAGCCAGTCGATCTACTAGCTCATAATAGCCTAGTCACTATAATCGAACCATGTTTTCGAAAATGCCAACAAACTAAACACTATTTATTAAAACTTAACACTAGTTAATTGCTATTATGTCAAAACATTAGCCAATTTCAACAAAGACTCCAACTAAAAGCTTACTAATTCATCATCATCATCATTGTCAGACGTCCATTTCTGAACAAAGGCCCCCCTTTAGTCCTCAAGTCGAACGACCACTCGCCACTTGCATCCATTCCCCCCGCGACTGACCATTCGCTCCCCGCGACTGACGTTGTCGTCAGTCCGCTTATCGAAAGACCTGCCCCTGCTATGTTTTAAAGGTTACCCGGAGTATATAAGACATTACATTACTACATACACCTATTTCAGCAAACGCTCACTATTTTGTTCGCTACCAGTCAGGACACTGGTTAGATGCTAAGTAAGCACAAAAAATACTTTTAGACAATCACAGCTTACCTCTATAGCTCCAACCAAGGATTCTCTTATGTATACGTTTGTAAATGCGTAAGCTAAAACGTTTAATGCTGTAGCTATTAACACAAGATACACGTTTCCGACCATTCTTAACACGTGCGGACTCATAAGCGCTCCTACTACACTTCCTAAACCCACAGCTCCTTCCAATAACATCATCCTGCAGAAGAAGAAAAAACAATTCATTTAGATCTTAAAAAGTCCTAATAACAAAAATTCTGCTTACCATTATTGTATATTACCTAATAGATCTATTCTCAGTCGACGTGATGTCATTCAAATAACAAAATGCACCAGTAAAGAATATGGTAAAACCTCCACAGAGGGATTGAGGGATGGCAGTCAATACGAACCACCATGGACCCAAATTGTCCAACATACAGTATACGACCACCAATCCAGCAGACATCGAGAAACCTAAAATTATAAGAGACTGCAGTGTTATGTAGTGAAAAGCTCTTAACGACTCTACCACTTGGTTATTTATAAGTATCGTTCGCTCTATTATTATGTTGCCCCTAAACGTTCTGTCGGCAATGTAGACTAAAGATGGCAAGACAAACTATAAATTCACTTTAGGCCGAAAATTACAAAACACGCAAAATTCATCTACAGCCATATTGTTGCTTTTTATTAATCAATAGCCGTGGCACGCTTGATGCAATCAGCACCGATCCCAAGAACAATTTCAGGTGATGCGAAACTAGATAATAATTGGACCTTTCTAAATAAAAGGCCCGTCTTTTGCTTCAAGTTTCGGTTCGTTCTGGCGCCCCCGTTTTCGGTTTTGCAAATCTACCACCACAGCAATTAAGAATACCAGTCGGGATTGCGCGTCTCAACCTGGATACAGCCTCTCTATATCTCAACCCGCTCTTTTGAACAGGAGAAGGAACGGGGTGGTTTTAGTCAGTAAGAGTCTTATCTAACAGTTCCTCTCACTCCACCCAGTGAGAAAAACAATTCAATGATTTTCCCACTTCAAAAAAAATATTAGTAGGTATGTCATGTATGAACATTTTATTATACGTCAATTATTTCTGCTGCAAACAAGATTCTACCCAACGCTTCATTGCAGATAGTAATTGCAATTACTAATTTGGTAATTAGGTCAGATATGAGACCAGCGGCTGTGATAGATATACTAGGTACTATTAGAACTAAGTACCTAATCTGTATGAATACTATAAATAAAGAAGCATATGTATTATGACATTGAAGCTACAAAGGATCTGATTGGGCATTCAATCAACAAATAGATACTTATTGATTACTATTCCTCATTGTTCGTTAACCTTTGAGATGTTATTTTAGGTATCTACCTACTTTAGTATTTAGTTTACATAATTCAATAAATGTTGTATGTTTTATTAGTGATTAGTAGTCTGACGGGATGTTTTAACCGCACGCGTGACCTGAGACTGGATCTTGGAAATCTTAATATTGACATATGTACTTTAAAACAACGTATTTTTGAGAAGTGTTATTTTGCTCTCTAGATTGAAACAAGCAGAAACTAATAAAATCAAATTATGAAGACTATCTAAATAGCTTAAGATAAATTTGTTGGTATTATCGTGGCGAAGATAAAGGTATAGCTAACAATGACTAATCAAATGCCCTGTTTGCCAATTCTAGACGATTAAGGTCTGATGGAAACTCGTGAAATTCAAGCAGATTTAGAATGCCTACAACGTCAATTTTTAACTAAAATAGTACTTAGGAGACTTTTTCGAATTGCGGAGTTATGTTAACGATAAAACATAAGCGTGGTTTTATAAAAAGTAGGTGTAAGTGTGTGTTTTATCATCATGTGGTGAAAGTTACAAAAAAAACTATGTTTATGTGTATATTCCCTCGATGAATTGACTATCCAACACATACAATTTTCAGTAGGTATTCAGTTCGAATGAATATTTCCGTACCTACATTAGTGTGTATAAATTAACAAAATACCTACCCAGTTAGGTTTTAAAAAAATACCAAAGTATTTTTCATTATATGCCAGCGATCAATTGTCCAAAAAATATAATTAGATTTATAAAATTATACAGATACTATGTTTATATTTAGTATCTGCAGACGTACAGGTAAGTACCTGATGATCATCCATTTACAATTTCAAATACAAATTCAGATAAATAGGTACCTAGATATTAGATATGTACATTTGCGCACTTTGTAATTGAAGCGAGATAAAATTATATACTCACATACCTATTTGTAGATATGTGTGTACACATAGTGGATAAGAATTGTCATTTTGTAATCACAACAGACAATATTTTGTGGCTTAGCGTGGTTCAGTGACTTTTATTCGGCCGTTTTTATTTTTACTTCAGTATCAAATTGATGACCTTAAAAGGGTTAGAATTAGCATAAACGAATAAATACGAGAGGTATGGGCGCAAACGGGTTAAGTCGGTCGCATTTTTACTATTTTTGGTAAAATTTAAAGGCCCGGTAAAGTGGAAGAACAGGCCTAAGCCAAAAAGGTAAACACACCCGAAAAGGCATTTTGAGCACCCTTTAATTTATGTACCTCTAAAACCGAGGAGGTACACCAAAGTGGAATTCATATTTATTGGTATCCTTAAACGATGTTTTGAACAACATTTTGGTTGAAACAATTAAGATATGGCAGATACGACTCAAATTCAAAATCACAGTATTTCTAAATTGCTCGGTGACTTTGGCATCTAATAAAATATTCGAAGCCTCAAGGGCTGCGACCAATCTGTTTATCTGAACCTTGAAGACAGCTGATCTTGACGGAAACATTTCCGTACTCTCGGATAACATCAATCCTCATACATTTTCCAGAAAAATATAACAAGCATTTATTTAAATACCTAATTATAATAGGTAGGTTTTGTTCCATTACTTACCAAAAAGTGGCCAAACAACGAGCGGTTTCCTTCCATGGGTATCGGACCAAACGCCCATGAAGAAGCAAAGTATCGCGGGTACCACCGCTTCAATGACACTCCTGACTGTGCCCACAACGGTGGCATACTTCTGGACCTCAGCTTCCAAGTGTTGTGTCTCATTAGTCTTGTCTATTGACAGGAATGGCTTGCATTCGTCCACGGAATAATGTAGAGCGTGTACGCAAGTTCGGTACAACACTACATTACTTATGGCCGCTCCTACAAATTATTAAGACAATTCAATATAAGAAGAACATGGCAAATATTGGGTATTAGTATCTAGTATTTACCTATTAAACTACTAACAATCGTATTAAACTAAGTACTACTAATGATAATAAGGAAGATATTTAAGTACTTATACCAACCTAAATGATACATCTAGGCCAAGGTCTGTCAGGACCCTTTTCCCAATAAAGTAATCTGAACCTCGACTTAAAACTAGATTTTATAATTATCATGTTACATACCATAGTATCACTACATTGTTATGGTCTTTGTACAGAAATTGATGTTATTCTAGTTATAAGTGTCGTACAACGTTGGGATAGGACATGGGAACAAGATAAAGGTTTCCCAAATAATATACATATTAGGTACAATCGGATCTGCCTATGTAAAATTCCATCATGCACTACACTACAACTGAGATAACTAAGTTTTCGTGCACCCCTGCGGCGTAAACGCTCTTATTTTCGGTTTCGGAGTTTTTGTAAACGAAGGGATTAAAAAGATTTCATGACTATATTACGCATGAGTGCCAAATTTTATTCAGTTTTTGACACAGTTTTTTCATGTTTTTGACTCGTATGTTTGTACGAAAACCCGTGCAGCGTAAACGGTCTTGGATGAACAAACTGATAGTATACCTAATAGGTAATAAGTAGGCACGAATCACCAGTCATATCAAGTTATTAGTTTCGTTGTATTAGCGCCCCCTATTAGGTATATTATATACTTATGACTAATAGATACAAAGCCACCTGGAACAACTCGTGCAACTGGGCAGTCAATGTATGTGATAAGCCCTCCTTCATATTGAGAGATAGACAATAATGGATTACCGTGAATCACTAAACACCTTTTTTAATCCAATATTTTACTCTAGACCTGAGTAAGTCTTAAAGGGTACGGATTATGGAAAACTCTTTACGTGAGAGACCTTTGTTAAGATATGGTCGTCTCCTGGCTGATGACTATGTATATTATCATTGTTAAATATACAATATACCTCGTAAAGATTTGCCTATAAAATAAAATAAAATATTTATATTTTAGTTTGAACGTGCTCAATTTAGAGTGGTGCAATGGTTGGAATTAATACCAACTTTTACAACTAATTCTTCTTAAAGCTCTTAGCACTCCCGTGGCATCACCGTGGTAAGTATTATTTCTTATACCATCAGCAAATATTCTTAACAAATAAGTTATGACTATCCATGTGTTTTATTTTTAGCTCAACCAAATATTGGATTAAGCAGCAGAAAGATTAGGATAAAATCTAGTTACACTAAATTCTGTTGAACCTAATATTATGAAACAAAAGGCTTATCATACTATAGCCAACCAGGTGTGCGGATATCAGCGTATCTACCTAACAGCTGCGACTTTTTCGTAGTATCTAGTCTATCTATATCTAGTTCTGACTTTTTCGTAGTATAATGATCTCAAACTTTTCTCATCCCGATATATTTTCTGTTTATTGATACGCTTTTCTTGATTAACTAAAAATCGCGGCTTACTCACGTGTATAATATCGATAAAAGCTCTACTAGTTTCGAACCACAGAGGGGTTCGGCGGCGGGGCGACCGTCGCCACATCGCCGTGTCCGCGTACGCTGCTCATGAGGAAGAACCCCTCTGTGGTTCGAAACTAGTAGAGCTTTTCTCGATATTATACACGTGAGTAACCCGCGATTTTTAGTAGATTTAGTATGTCTCACGATAGTTATTATAAAAACGCTTTTCTTGATAAACATCCTATGTGTAGATTCAATTTATTACTCTCGAGACCTACGGGGATACCTATAGATATGCAGTTTATTGAGAATTTTTATTATTGTTGGAGAATTTCCGCTTTAAATACCTACATATTTGCAACAAAGGTGAAAGTCTAGATTGATGAGCTGTTCTCGGTGCCTACATAAGCGGAAATTCAATAATGACACAAAGAACAAAATTATCGTCAATTGACATTGAAGTTCGTGGTGATTCATCCTTGGATTAATTAGAACAAAACGAAGTTTTCTTACAGTATACCTATACAAAAAAAAAAATGTGTAAGAAAGAATTTACAGTTTCCTGAATGGATTAAATTCGTCATGATGATCCTCGAGTACTTATCTTATCTGAATACGCATGTTGCTGTTTGTTAAAAATAAGTAGTGATATTTATTAAATTGGCCACCTAACGAGCTCAGCGCTTGGTGTCATTTGCTTTCTTTTGTTAGCGTGCTATACGGCCTCGGCCGGCAAGGGGCAGGAGAAAATGGGGATAGTTTATAGTCAGTAAGAATCTCATGTCTCGTCTCACCTAGGGCTTGAAAAGAAATTCTACGATTTCCCTTCTCCCCCCTCCCAAAGATCAACATGCAAATGAGTATTATTGCAAATTTTTTTCTCTTTATTTTAATTATAGTTAACAGATAAGCAGTTGACGTTATTTCTGTGTATGATAATAAACATAGATAGATACTTAGATAGGCTTATTATTGAATACAGGTGGCTTGTTTACGACTACCCACTACTCAAAACTCATAAACTCAAATAAAGAACATTTTTTTTTTTCATTCTTAATTTTTTTTTTCATTTTTCTTCATTCAAATCGCGTAACCTTTGTTGTTTCAAAAATTCAGTGAGTGCCAATACGATTAATTTATTTGTTTAAAGTCTCAAAAGTAGAGTAGACTACAATCCAAATTATTAATTGCGGTCTTAATTTGTCTATCAAGATGATAAAAAATATTTGACGTTCTGCTATTTTATTTCAGTTGTATATAGATGTAGTTGAATAGGTTGATAATAACAAGGGCGTCGACAGTTTCGGTTGATAGCCCATAGTTCCGTCTGTATTGTCAGTATTGTCATGTCATAGTCATTGTACTATTGCCTAAAATATAGTAGATACAAATTCATGGATTCTTGTAATCAGAAATTAAGTATATTAGTGGTAATGGTAATTTATAATTATATTTTTTCAAGAGGCCGTAATCGCACAGAACTGCCGAGCATGGGATGTCAAGTAATTTTTCTGGTCAGAAGAAAAGAGTATTGGACTTCTTCGTTTATCAAAAAAATCTTAATAAAAACACAGCGTCTTGTAACTCTAGACTAGCACCGCGTCAACCGTGTCCACTGCAGGGTTGGTAAGGTGGCTGCGCAACCGGCTGCCACAGTGCCGCGCAACGTGTAGCGGTTGTCGGAACAACTCTTTGTGTAATCCACGAATTGTTGTTCCGGTGTAATGTGTACCTATGTAAAATTGTAAGTTAGTGTTGTTAACGCACCCGCGACACAGGAGAAAATCCTAAAGTGGGGGAAATGTTCTTTTTTTAAAAGAACATTAGAAATTACAAAACACGGAATATTTTTTTGTTAGACTCGAGAACCGAACCCGACAACCTTTCATCGACATTCGTGCTGTAAGAACGACGACAGCGCGAGGCCGTAACTTCAGTGAATAACTATGTAATATTATAGTATTCTATAAAAATAGTATGAAATTATATGCATACAAATATAAATTTTTCAAACTCCTATTACCCATACATACATACCGGATAGAACATATATTATCAATAAACCTAAATACATTTAATAGACAAACTACAATAAATAAGGGTTAATAAATAGATAATATTATTCTAAGTAATACTGATAGAGTAAGTAACTACCTAAATATTATGTTGCCATACCAAATTATGTTGTTGGAACCATAACTGGCTGAAAAAAAAATTATATCACAATCTTTGTTTTTTTTATTATCATAATTGTATGACACATAATGGAAAGTTATCATTGTAGATGTTTTAAGTGATATGTTTGTATAATAACTGATAAACAATTGAGCAGCTTTAATTTCTTTTTCTTTCTTTTTCCACTGTTAAGTAGTTTAAAGTAATTCTAATAATTTAAAGTAGTCCTATTGATTTAAAGGCTTCCTATATTTTTCTGTTAAGTTGATATATTAATTGACAGGTAGTATCATTACCATTACCATTATCTTAAATAATAAAAATAGTACAAGGAATTGAATAGTCATTTGTTTTACCTGAGCATGTTTTGTGCTATTTTAAACAGTACTATACAAAAAACATTAGATGAGAAAAAGGATGACTTTCAAATTGTGCCATCATAAATTTCAATTTCTAAATAACAAGACATTACACATTTTAATCTTTGTGTCTTTTAGGACTTGTTATTGTTATATGCCATGTATAAAAATAAAGTAGCAACACTAACCAAAAGCGAAATATAATAAATACTACAGTGGATAAACCTATATGCATTTAAAATCAAGTTATATTATTTTTCAAATTCTGCATAGACATTATTTCATAATGTCTTGATTTTAATACAATTTCAGAAATAATAACAAATAGCACAGTTGAGATGAAACTAAGTTCCGCAAAAGTTAAACAAAAATTTAAGTAATTGGGATAGAAACTGTAAACTTTTAGTTGTATATTAGTCACTCAGTTATTGAAATGAATGATTATTCTTCTGACTATTTATTCAAATGCTTTGCCTAATGCCTAATGGTAGGAAGTATAAAAAGTACCTATTCTAAAAATATAATATTTTTGCTAGTTAAAATTAGGATATAATTAATTCCTAGACTTACCACATAGAGACATCCCCATCATCACAAGAAACAATGGAAATTCCATTGTAATAGCATATTTTCTTGCTGGTATCTCACTAATTGTATTAATGTTAGGTTCACGTTCAGTTAACTGTTCCTCTTCTTGAGCCATTGTGCTAAAATATTAAAAGAAACTGATTACGCACTGCCGAAATTATACAGTAAAGTCATGACAATAACACAGACATTTCAAATGTAAAAATACTACTGTAATCATAATTAATTTAGCTAATTTTCAAAGATGATCTTTACCTAATTATTATTACTCGATATCTTTATAAAAACAAAGTATTTTGATACCCTTTACAAATTCGAATTTTATCATAACATTAAATACATGAATCTAAACTTTGTTTCTTTTTATTTACTCAAGGCTCACAACCACACATTGTTATCTCACGACTAACTTGTGATTAGTGAAGTCATAGTAGTACATTCCTTGCATTATATCTACAAAAATAAACATTCGCAATTCATTTCGCGGGGCCGGGACCATTGACATAGGAAATATATGGACTTGAAATACCTACGAAACAAAGGTGCCTACCTACAATCCAAAATGTCGCATAAGATGGCTGCCGTTGCTAGGGTTGTGCCGACTAAGTATTTAACGAGTATCGATACAATTTGAGTAAAAGTTCTACGTAGGTATAGTTTTAGGGATTAGCCAGCTGATTAACGGTATTTTTTATGGGAAATCATCTAATGTCATCTCCGGCCTTTTTCGGGACAGACCGTTACTGACTAAAATCAACTCCTGTTCCTACTTTGCCGTCGGCCTAGCTAGAGCCCGGAACCCGGGGTTAACTTAGTCTCTTGATTGGCTAATGATTTTCTCAAGTCGAATTTGTATTCATATAACTCTACGTAAAGCGTCTTTTAAAAAAATAGGACTGTGTTTATGAACAGCGTTTAATGGATAGGTGAAATAGAAAAAGAAAGTGTTTGTTAAATGTTTATCTTTATATATGTGGAAAACCTGTGGTATTTGTGAAGTGCTCGCGCACAATTTCGGCGCGTCTGATTAAGCGATGATATCTTCGAAACTACGTTAGCACAAAATAGATATGTAGTGAAGTCAATCTTATTGTATGTATCTCACTTTTTATTATTACGCTTGGTGGTCGCACTGGGATCGTCGCCAACGCCGCTCTATCAATCGCGCCCGTATAATTATAAAACATGATAATTTGAACTTCTACTTATGTAACTAAAACCAATACCAAAATACTGACGTCTTACTTTAGCGTTACACAAAAATGCGGAGACATCCATTGTTAAAATAGATTATTTAGTATAATATATGTTGAATTTTAAATGGTAGATTATATCGATACTTTTGTGAAATGGTACGTAACTATGCCATATTGACATATTATTGTAAACAAGAATTTTTTACTAAAACTGTCTCACAGACAGAAATAAAAGTAAATATATATACTTTGGCAATAGATTAAAGTATCCGTGACATTTTTTTCTATCTATGTGGATTATTCTAAGTAATATTTGATGAAAACTGTTTACTAACCTATACAAAGACAATTGAGGTTGATTTTCGTTCTTTTTTGCACCACACTGCACAATACAACACACAGGCATATTGTTTTTTTGTTTCACTATATATATTTGAAGTTTAAAAAAATGGTTCTTTGTAATTTACTGAAAAACCGCAATAATTTAAAACATAAACAACCGTTTGACAGCACAACTACCATGAAACTCAGGTACTCTGAGCGCTTAAGATGGCGGACATGGCACTTACCTACAACTTTGGTAATGTCAAAATGATTTGTTTCCATATTAAGCAACAACTTAAATATTGTTGTCCCTTTTGTCTAATACAATTATTGCCTCAGAAAGAGTGAGATAAAATAATATTTCATAGTTTGTTTCATATTTCCCTCATATTTGTATAAGCATGTATACTTCTATAGTAACACGGCGCCTCTATATATTTTCTATCTCAATGGCCGGGACAGACGTCAAAGTCATGTATTACAAGAATGACATTGACATTTTGTCTTTTTTTTTAATTTCCTTCCTCATCATAGAAGCAAGTCTTTTAGATGTAAACAGTATAAACATTTTTAGGGACAATGGAGACATTAAATATAGTAAAAACGACAGACCTAAGGTTCCGCCATAAATAGGCAGTATGACGTAGTTAAAGTAGTTAAAATTATATTAGGGAACTTTATTCTTTGTTCCGAGCCCACAAAACAATATAAAGTTATAAGTAGCAGATTTTTTTAAATTTTGATCATCACTTGGATTTTTACCTAGGACTAACTCCATCAATCGATTATCTCAATCAATCCATTGGAAACAACACATCTATCTTAGTATGAGTTAGATCTTAGAGAAAAAAATATGAATCGTTCCGTGCGAAAAGCGAATCCGCGACACTTTTTCCAAGCCACACAATAAATGCCTTTTATAGCACAAACCGTGCGGTACAAACAAACAGTGATTAATATATTATTATAGGTAATAGCAGTTGTTGTGAGGGGAAAATTATCAAATCAACAAAAAAAGAGTGTCAGAGTCTTGCTGACTAATAAACCCTCCATTCCTTCTCCTGCTATAGACCGAGCCCGCTGAGGCTTATTGCGCTGTGTTCTTTTGGCTCTTTAATCTAGTGCGGAGCGCAACGCGCCGTACGCTCGGTTCTGGCTCTGGTCGACGAGCTACCCTTGCTCGCCGTCCTCAGACCTGACCTTACGATGGCGCCCGGAGTGTTGCTTAATGCGGTCGCTGTGGCTTGAGGAGGATAGTTCCTTCAAAAGCGCCTCCTTCTGTTGCGACCATCACTGTATCGCAGGAAGATGAAACGGCTTCCCAGTTCTTCTCACTCCGCACCATGGCTTCGACTAAGGTCACTCAACTCCCCTGCTACAGTCACAGTATGCTCCACCTTGTCCTTCGGGTGGTCCTCACAATGGCGACACCCTGAGCTTTTTCTCCCACCGGATTTGAGACAGGAATACCGTCAGGCGGTAGGTGGCGGTAAGGTGAGGAAGCCATGCGTCTCTCAAGCCACTCCCTCGTTACCGTCGTTACAACAGCGTGCCCGATTATAAATAGTAGTTTAGAGATACAAATGAAACCCCTTTAAAAATTATCGTGTTGTTCTTGAGTGTTGAATTAGTTAATGATTCAAGAATAGAACGTTATGGAACTTTATGGGAACTTTTATGGAACTAATAGAAGTTAGTGAAAAAAAATGGTTAGACGTTTCGTTATTTTATATCGATGTTTAATGTAAATGTAAATCTACGGTCACGGCGCAAGGGTATGAGTTTATGTACGAAGCTAGCTTGTTTTGCGAAGATTTTATGAGTTCGTATTCCATCCACTAAATCCAAAGACATATCAAAGTACAATAATGAGTTTATTATAAATAAGGAAGAAAGAAAAATGGGAAATCATTCAACCAAAGCAAAGAGAATGTCTAGTTATTAAAAATGCTTGTGTAGTCTATGATACTTTGTCTATGTTTAACACGGAAAGAAGTACGAACACGGCGAAGCGTTTTTGGACAAGAATCTAACGTTTTTGATTGCTTTGCTTGTTCAAATAGAACAAATTGAAGAAGATTTAAACCTAGGACCACGTTATTTAAAGGTAATTTGTGTAATTACTATATTATTGCTGAATAGGGTGTGCCGAACTTTCATCATGCGGCGTACAGATTTTTGATGAGTCGTCTCGTCCCCTGTCATATTATTATCACCATATCCGTTGTAGCGGACGTTTACTGTTATTTTCTGTATTTGAAGTTCAAAACATTTAGAAAATAATCGTGCAGGTGTTTAATGAGTGGTTTGATACAACTTTGGGAGGTTTGTTGGGAAATCGTCACGGATATACCACGACCTATTTTTAGATCGGCTTTCTTTTTTCAGAAACGCATTGCTGTCGATTTAAAGCCGGTCTTATGGCATTCTTTTAATGTATGATTAAATAATGAATTAATTTAACTTTTAGACGAAAGTATTGGAGTAGTGAAGATGGCAGTGAACGTTTATTCAACGAATGTGACTTCTGAGAATTTGTCTCGACATGATATGTTGGCGTGGGTGAACGACTGTCTGCAGTCAAACTTCGCCAAGATTGAGGAGCTTTGCACAGGCGCTGCTTACTGCCAGTTCATGGACATGTTGTTCCCCAACAGTGTGCCCATGAAAAGAATTAAGTTCAAAACAAATTTAGAACATGAATACATACAAAACTTCAAAATACTACAAGCTGGTTTCAAAAAAATGGGTGTTGATAAGGTAACTATAGTCTTAATTATGTTTAGCTTAATAATAATTAGTTACAAGCTAATTGATAAAATGACACTATTCAGCAATTTTTAGCTAAGTGTTGTGAATTTTGTTTTAAATTAAACATTATTTTCTCTTTTAAGCTATTCCAAGCTTCAAGAGGCACTTTGAACACATTGTGTGTATGCACACTGTATACTTATATTCACTTACAGTAATATTGGAATGAAAGAATCTTAGATAATGCTGTGATCTTGCTATGATATGTCTTTGTGTGATCACCTTGAAACTTGATATGACATTCCAACTTGTTGTTTTACAATTTACCACACTCCGATAATATGCTTTATAGGTAATACCAGTGGACAAGCTGATAAAAGGGAGATTCCAAGACAATTTTGAGTTTTTACAGTGGTTTAAAAAGTTTTTTGATGCCAATTATGATGGGAGGGAATATGATGCTTTTGAGGCACGTGGTGGCATCACAATCGGGTCGGGGGCTTGTGAATCAGGAGTACCGTTATGTGGGGCAGTGCAGGCGCCGCCGCCACCCAGGGCTGCCCGCCGCCCAGCTCCTATGCACCATTCCGGCAGTATGCATCAGCCGAATACATAATGCACCCCACTCATCAGCTACTCATAGCAACACTTTTTGTAACTTGTTTCTGTAATAACATTGTGATGTCACTGTGGTGTTGCTATGTGTGCTCATCTGTACACACTATTTAGATATAGTCTGTTGTAGGCAGGTAGCGGCACTTTTTGTAGCATTGTGTTTCTTTTTATTTTTACCTTCACTTTTTCTTTTGTAGATAGTACCCATTGACAGACTGGTGAAGGGTCGATTCCAAGACAATTTTGAATTTTTGCAATGGTTCAAGAAATTCTTTGATGCCAACTATGGAGGCACGGAATATGACGCGGTGGCGCAACGCGAGGGTCTGCCTATGGGGCACGGGGGCGCCTCAGCCCCCCGGGCCGCGGCAGCAGTTGCCAAGAAACCGACGGCGCCTGTCGCCAAAGTCGCAGCTAGACCCCAATCCAGTACTATTTTGTTTTCTTTATAAACATTGATTTTTGTTATTAAGCTTTTATAATGAGTTGCATTGATAAAAGATCACAAACAAGACAAAGATAACAAGTATCTAGTTTATTTATATAAATATAAATATTGGAACCATTGCCCTATCTAAGTAAATATATTTTGCGCCCGTAATTTCATATAATAATTCAGTTGTACCAACATTAATAAATAGTTTTCTGTATAAAATGAGTAGTTGGTACATTTCAGCTAGCACCTGCACTATATAATACTTGCACATTTTATCATTATTATTCTTATTTACACAGCATGTCCTCATTGATCATAATATTTATCAGTATTTCATTTATTTCTGAATTCTTCTTGCACCCAGTTACATTATTTATATTAATATTGTGTTATGCCTATTCTTATGTACTTATTATAATTATTTTGTTGTTATTCATTTCATTACATGAAGATATTCATACATTTTCCTCTTTTATATTTCGCTTATTCATATGTTCTGAATTTTAATTGCTTTGTTAAAGTCAAATAAATATTATTTTCCATCTTATCTTGATTGCTAATTACTAAAATGTTTATAATGTTTTACAGTTGGCAAAGCAAACAGCACAGTAAGATCTCCCCCAGTTAATTTAGCCAGAATAAATCAAAGTGCTAAGGGAGACTCTAAAGTTATTGACGAATTAAATCATCAGGTAATTTGAGCAGTCTTATTTTAAAATTTAGAAAAATCTATTTCACTTCATTTTGATATATTAATCATAAATAATTTTTACAGATAAACGAATTGAAAGCAACAGTTGACGGCCTCGAGAAAGAGAGGGACTTCTATTTTGGTAAGCTCCGGGATATAGAGGTGATCTGTCAAGAAATGGAAGAACAACAGAATGCTCCAATTGTTCAGAAGATTTTGGATATTTTATATGCAACTGAGGTACAGATTTTAATATATATTTTTTTTCATTTCTTTACATCATAACATCCAACCACTCAATACATGCAATATCTTATCAAAATAAAACTAATCTTTTATGTTGTTGTATTAGTCAGAGCAATATTATCAACAACTGAGCTCAATACTATTCATTGGAAACAAGATGAAGTAAGAGCTTAGTGTACATATTAGTGATGGCCATTTTGCTTTTCCCAGGACGGATTCGCGCCTCCAGAGGAAATAGACGGCGACAACCCACACCCGCCGGAGGAAGACGAATATTGAATATCAATGTATTTACGCGTATCATAGTGCTCTTTGTATATTACATATATCAAAACGAAATTATCTCGCTTTACAATCATCGACAGTATCGAGTGCTTAGTATTTCACAGCCAATGAGTCGTATTTGAATCATGTAGGTTAAATGTTTGGAAGCAGTGGCCCTAAAATGGCTTAATGTAGCTAATGTTTACATATACCTGCACACTAGATGTAAAATGTATAATAATAAAATTTTACAGTTGCAAGGCTTGTACACATTTATTACAACTAATTGTTGTAAACACAACACGCAATATTATATTGTTGATTGTTGTTTCTGGAGATTAGTTAAATAATATTTAGCTGTTCTTTGCGTGTGTGTCATCCTTTTGACTATTTTTAAAACTGGATCCGCGTCTTTTCCTGTTTCACACCTGCATCGGGTAATGGACATCCCAATGCGCGGTGTGCTACGTGTGAAACATGAAAAATGTCAATGAGCAAATATTGTCATATGCACACACTGTAATTATTATTTTATACAAATTCACGTGGCTGTGTCATAACTAAGTGCATTCCTTCACACGGGAGCGTAGTTTCTTGACAGGAATTATTTCTTAATTCTGTATGCTCTCCATATCCTGCTCATTGAGTAATCCTAAAGCTATATAAGCGATGAAGTTTGACTGTGGACTTACAAAAGCTATCTTCATTTTGGGCCACTGGTGCCTATATAAATGTGCATTTAATAGGTTGTTAAATTATTGGAAGAGATTTACTGTTAATTGTTTAATTCTGTTATGATAATAACGCAGTTGATAAAATTATGATATTCGGTTCTAAATTATACCATTTTTTAAACCGTTTTAATAACAAGTGAATAATTATGAGATCTGAAAATAACTAACAAAATTTAACTTGTGATTACCGTTATGTGGTTGAGATGGGTAATCACTAATTGGTTCCAGGTAGTGTGATATTTACATGACCATTATTTAGGTTAATCAAAATACAAGACTTTGAATTTTGCACTATTATAACTTACTATAAGAGGTGTACTAATACATTATAATTCAACATATTTTTATTTAGTAGATTATTACATTCTTTAGACGCGTCGAAAGATACTAACGACTTGTTGGCGTAAAAAGATGTTATTCGCTGGTTAAGATAAATAGATAATTAATTTATTTACTTTAGCATTCATAAATTGCCTTAACAGCAGATTATTAATTGCCTCTGGTTTTCAGATTGTGAATGTCTTATCGAATAAAATAATAACTTTATTAAAATTTTGTTTATTTTATGCGCCTTCACGTAGGTATCCCTTACTCGGTTGCAAAATCCTCAGTTTCATAAAATACCCTTGAAACTATTTTGATTTAAATGTAAGAGCACGCGGCTGATAATTTCGTTCAAAACATTTCAATATCCATACATACACACACAACACACATCACCACTCACCAGCCTATACCTAAGTACTAGTGATGTTCCGAATATCCGTATCCGAGGAAAAATAAAAATCCGTATCCGTTACTTTACACGCGGATCTTTTTCAGTTAATCATCAGGTAGAAATAAAAAAAAATCCAGCTAGTTTTTTTAAAGAATCATATATTTTGCACCTATATATTGCAAACATTTAGATAATAGATTTTTATAATGAGAACAAGTTAAAACTTTACTTTTAGGACAGTGAAATAACTAAAACACAATTATTGTTTTCTATAATTAAATGAGGTCAATATCAAATCAAGTTATAATATCATTTTATAACAACCATGGTCAAAACAAAACTTAAACTGAAAACTTCTTTTATATATAATTAGGTTCAGCAATATAATAGCAAGTTATAACATACCAAAATGATATTTTTTATGTCAATAAAAAAAAACTAAAACTTAAACCTTCTGTTTATAATTATGAGATCAATACGATAGAAAGTAATAAATCACTTTTATAAGAATGAGATCACGAGGAAACCAAAAATAAATCAAATTAAATGTTAATTCTAATAAAGTAAATTAATACTATGTGTCACATAAAGTTTAAAAATTAGCTTACATGAGCAAGTAATCACAGACAAAATTAGAGCAGCTTTAAAAAAATATTAATCATAATTAAAAATAAGTAAGGGTTAATTGTATTTAAAAAATAGCAACTTCGCAGCTTTTTCCCCCGAAAGTCTGTTACGATGAGGATCATAAACAATACGGTAGTTTCCAACTAGTCAAATTCAATACTTTTATCCAAATGTCAAAAACGGTATTTTTCTATGAAATTTGTATGAAAAACTGAGGTATGACGTCATAACAGTTTTGCGTCAAATAGCTTACTTATTTCTGAATAATGAGCTAAAAAAATCTAAAACTTAGTGTATCGATCGATCGATGAATAAAAGTATAGTTATTTTCCAATATTTTATTGTATTAAAACGTCGAATTAATTTATTTTTGACCTAGGACACTACCCAATTCCTGCTGCACTGAAAAATTATTCACTTGGAACGCTGGTTGCAGGTGTAGATAAATATGTACCCACACCCGCGCAATGCAAGTCAAAACATGTCGTGTCTGACGTTGCGGCGAGCGAGACGTCAACTATCTTTTCAAGGCCGCGCGCGGCCGGCGACACTAATCTTATGAGAAATTGAAGATCCGTATCCGTATCCGTATCCGCGGATCTTGACACTAAATATCCGTATTCAGATCCGTATCCGCGGATCTTCATTTTTAGCGATCCGGCACATCACTACTAAGTACCCACTTTTGTTGAGCAAAGGCCTTTTCACACAAGAAAATAGCGTTAGGCCATCTGGCACCCACCCTGCACCGCCTCGTCTCACGATGTCCACTCGTTGTCGACAGGTGGTCCACCGGTGGACGTTATCACCAAATAACGTCCTGCGGTCAACCAGTAAATTCAGATTTGTTTTGACATTTTCGATAGTACTAGTGATCAAAGGGGATAAAAGTCACAGCTCATTGGAGTCACCTGCTCCGCACCGACTCGCCTTATGCGGCTAGTATTCTTTTTATGGTCTTGTATGGGCATTCACCCAGTACATCGACTCCGCAGCGTCACCTACCAGATCTCCTCGGTTTTAAGCCCTGCACGCGTGGACTACGGGTGGATCACTCCGTTATAATTCGCTGCTTAATTGCTTGCCTTCCGTTTTGTGGGCGTTGATAACACGTAGGTAGAATGCGCGCTGCCCTAGTACGCGAACGCGAAAATTCGTGGACCAAGCGTTGCCCACTTGTTGACTACACGGCGTTCTCGTTGACTGCGTCGGGTCCACCAGTTGACCGCAGGACGTTTATTGGTGACAGCGCGGCGTCCACCTGTGTGACTACCTGTCGTCAACGAGTGGACGTCGTGCCGATGGCTCTAGTGAGCTATGATCCTATTCATCATTATCATCAGCCTATAAATGCCCACTGCTGAGCAAAGGCCTCTTCTCATACGGAGAAGGTTAGAGCATTAATCACCACGCTTGCTCAATGCGGGTTGGCGATTTCAAACTTATAATTAGAAGTTATAAGTCCAGGTTTCCTCACTGTGTTTTCCTTCACCGTATGTCAGTGGTGTCTAAATAATCATAGAAAGTATATATAACTCGGAAAAAGTCACATTGGTACTTGCCAGGTTTCGAACCCACACCCTCATGCTTGAGAAGCGGGCTCCTTAACCTCCGGGCCACCACGACACTATGATCCTATTAAACGGGGTTTTAATGTTGACTTATTGGAAACAAACACCCTATATTATTAAATTCATAAAGACATAACTAAGTTTAAAAAAGAAGTGTACGTCGGACTCGCCCATGAAGGCTTGCCCAGCCTTACTGTTATTTAAGAAGTTACTTTTTTTTTGTGAGGTGAAAATCATCAAATGACTTCTCCCGCCCAGGGCCGGGCAGGATGGAGTGTCAGATTCTTACTGACTAAAAACCCCCTGTTCCTTCTCCTGCTCTGTGCCGAGGTCGCGGTGCCTCATTGCGCTTACCCCGCAACCCCGGCTGAACATCAGCCCTTTAGGGCCCCGTCTGTGGTGGTCCAATGGCTCTTTGAGACGCGCGCGGAACGCTACGCGCCGTACGCTCGGGCCTGGTTCTGGTCGGGCGGCGAGCTGCCCTTACTCGCCGACCGCAGGCCCATGCTTACGGTGGCCGGAGATCGTCCATCGATCCCCGACGCCCGTAGTGTCGCCAGTTGCGGCTGCTGGGGCGTGAGGAGGAGGATTGCTCCCGCACGCGGGCCGCCTCTCTCTTTGCGAGCATGACTGCTTCACAAAAGGAGGAGACGGCGTCCCAGTTTCTCTCACTCCGCACCATGGCCTCGACTAAGGCCGGGCGCGAGAGGTCGCCGCCGCCGATCACTTCCCTGAAGATACGGCGGTGCTCAGCCCAGGCAGGGCATACCGCTCCCGTATGCTCCACCGTATCCTCTAGGTGGTCCTCACAACGACGACACTCGGGCGTTTCCTCCCGCTGGATCCGAAACAGGAACCTACCGAAGATTTAAGAAGTTACTGGTGTCGCGACGTTTGACCGATTTGAAAGCGTTCCTCGAGCAAACTGCTTCAGGATAAGAAATCTCACTATCATTTTTGAAGACCCATACTAGACAGCCCAGACTGGTTTGCTGGAATAAAAATGTTGAGTACCTACCATTTCTATTTTCTATTTAAGGTTCCAACATCGGGGTTCCAGGAAATTACTTAGTTTTTTTTTATTATTTATGTGACTGACAGCCAGCCATGATGAATGTACCTATAAGTTCCATTTTTACCATTCAGTTTGTAAACAACTGAAAGTTTCCATTTGGTTGTTTGCATTTGACAGGGAAAATCACAAGATGTGAAGGCGAAAATGCCATCATAGATCCAGCATGGTATGGGGTAAAATACCAATAAGTAAAACAAAAAATATGTTTGAGACATTTATTTTAAATCTTATAAATTAATAATTAAAATCATGTTATTCATAGGTAATTCATTAGTGTCCACTCTATTCCTATCTACAAATTTTAACATTAAACTAAGCTTCTACAATAACTTTACATAAATATGCTAATGTATGTAGGTACTCAATATTATTGTCTAATATACTTTGTGAGTAAAAGTTTAAAGTCAAGGCACATAATTGAAATGTTATTACATTAAACTCATAATAGTATCATAATTTAACATTTAAAATTGTAAAATAAGTCAATAAAAATCTTTGTACTAAGTTGCAGCAGATGTCACTGCCATAGATTCTCAGAAAATAAAAATCCAAAGTTGTATTACTTACAAAATTAAGTATTATTCTATATTTATAATTAAAAACAATTCTGGTGCTGACAAATCAGTTTAAAAAGTGCAAAATTCTCATAATTTACAGAATTATAGACAGTTCAGACATTTTACATAGTCTTCAAACCCACAATTAAAAAATAATAATATACATTTCACTTCAATATTATTCTACCTTCTATGCCAGTAAAAGGCTTAAAATCATGAACCATAACGAAATTATACATAATTTACCAGATTTAAACTATAAACTAAATTCTAAGTTTTTCTTTTCCCTTTGTTGAAATCGGATTTGTTTCGCGCGAAACATTTCTTTGGTGTCGGCGTTTTCTCGCCCGTCCCTAATGAGAATGATACATCGCTCTTTCGTGTACTTATTTGTGAAATATTTTTATTGTTGATTATTTTTTTCTTAGGTTTGATTTTTATTGTAATGTTTTCGATAGATGAGGACAAATTAATGACCCTCGAACGAAGACTTCTATTATTTTCTAATGAGGTGTCGAGTTGTGTAGATCTAGAAAGTTCAATGGATCTACTTTGGCTTGGGGTGCGACAGGACCTCCATGGTCGTCCACTGAAAGACGTATTTTGTATAGAATTGTTATTATTTGGTTTAGGTGGAACTCTATTTATTGTGGAGGATCTATCTTTTGATTTGGACTGAGATTTAGCTTGAGGGCTTTCCTTTTTATTTTTTTGCTTTTCATTTTGTGGTTTTATTTTAGAATTATTGTTTAATTGTGTGGTATTGGTTTGTTTTTTAATAGCAGTTTTATTATTAGACTGTTCAGAGTTATTTTTTCTATTGTCAATGGTTGATTTGTTTGTCTTAGATTTTAAATCAGATTTTTTGGTATTTTTGTTTGGACTAACAACTTTTTTATTTTTGTTTGGACTAACTGCTTGTTTATTTTTATTTGAAGGTTTTTCATTAGCATTTGCATCAATTTTTGTCGCAGATTTGGGTTTGCTATTTTTCTCAGATTTAGTTGTTTTAGCCTTGGAAATGGTTATGGGATTATTGGTGAGTCTATTTTCATTCGGCTTATTTTTTTCTGTGGATTCTTCTTTCGACTTTTTAGACTTATCTTTCTTATTCTCGATAGTAATTTTGTTATTATTGTTTACCTTTAAATTGTTTTCACTAGCACAGGTTTCATTGCAGCATTTATTTTTTTTAGTCACACGATGTGATCGGATGCTCAGTGTGCTGGTGTTAAATTTACGCACAGTGCTATCCATGGTATTATTCATTACAGTGCTATTCATGGTAACATTATTGAATTGTTTTGGCTTCTCAAGATTTTGTGATTTTTTTAACATCTGTGAGTTGGCATAGCCTGTAGGCTTTTTGATTTCAGTAGACACTCCCAATGTCGTATTTGCTGAAACATGAAAATTTTATGGTGTTAGGAATGTAACTTCTATCTAACGAAGTAGGATATACACGAGATAATATCAAGGGAAAATACGTTTATATGTTTACCTTTCTTAAGGCTAAGTGAAAAGCGCTTTGGTAGTATAGGCTGACATTCCGCATCACTTTCAAAGTCTGTATCCCAAAAGGTCTTAGCTGAATTCTTAACATTATTTACTGTGACATCTGTAAAAAAGATTAAACATGATCATCCTGTTGTTAAGTAATAGCTAAACACCACAAGAATATATTTATACTTACTATTATGAGTTAGGTTGACATCTTTATTAACAACTTGCTTCTGTACCATATTATTAGGTTGCATCTTTTCCACCAAAATCTTACAATCTTTTGGCACAAGTGTTTTATTTACATTTATTTGGTCAGGAGGTACTATTTTGTGAATTAAATCTAATAGATTACTGTCATCTTGAACTTCTCTATTCAGACACGACTGGTTGGTCACCAACTTTCTAGCTTTATTTTTCTCCTTCTGTAGAAGATAGACACCACTCTGTGGGCTGTTTGTGCTGTCACTGCTTATGTTTGATTTCTCTGCAACATCCAGTTTTTGTGTGAATAGTTTTCTTTTAATAAAGCTTGGGCGTGAAGAAATGTCACTTTGTGTTGCTTCAGATTGGTCAAGCTGAGACAAATTTTCTGTGGATTTCTCTTGGGCCACATTAGACTGTGTGTTTTCTACTGTTTGGACAGTCTCTTGAACTTTATCAGGAATTGGCTCCAAGAAGTCTGTTAAAGGTACTGCCGATTTGGCTATGAGCACTTCTTGTACTTTTGGCTTTGATTTTCTGACTGGTAGAGATGGCTTGGCAAATTCAAAGCTATTTGATAATGCAACATTATTTGGTTGATGATTCTTTAGTTTAGATGGAGTTCTTCTATTATTTGGATCATTTTTAACCGGTGATGTCACTCTACTTTTCTTTTTCTGTGGGAAACATTCATCCTCACTATCCAGGTTCCTCTTACGCTGAGGTTCTATAGTACACGGACTCTTCTCTCTCACTGTCACTTCTGAAAATATTTCTTCATCTTCTTCACTACCAGTTACACAATTATTTCTATCTCTATTTTGAGCATTAAAGTTTCTTGGGTTATTTGCTGTAGTTTTGTAACATTTTTCTGAGTTTTCCATAATTGCAGATGAAGCTACTGACTTGTTAAATCTTTGTGATGGCAGTAAAAACCCATTTTTAAATCTATCCTTTTGAGAAGTAAAAGGATTGCTTTGTAAATTGTATGATGGAGGCATCATTGAGCTGTTGAAATTCTTAGTAGTGTTTCCACTATTAAAACCAATAGGAAACTTATTTCTGACAGCACTTTGTTTAAGATTTTCAGAACAATCTTTGAATGTATTATCATTGACAGTTCTTCTAAAATCAGTCAAATTCATCCTTGTTGATGCATTACTGGACATATTTTCTTTATAAGAGGTCTTAATAGACCTACAGTCATCACTGCTTATAGAGGAGTTGCTTCCTTGCTCTCCAGAGTCATATCCTGATCTTCTCCTGCCTTTGAGGAACAATCTCATATTCCTCCTTTTCTCAATTCTTTTTCGAACTCTTTGCTTCATTAGTTTGTGGTAAGCATCCTTTATAACTTTTAGATCATATCTATTAAACTTCACATTCTTGAATGCAAACGCTATATCTGCTGCACTTACACTTGCGGATGAATCTGAAAAAATATATTATTATATGTTATAATTTTAAAATGTGGCAATCATGTCATTATGGCAAAGCAATCATTGTTTTATTTAGTAAGAAGAAAACAATTTAAAGTACTTAGTGTCCATTAAAATCAACTTACCAATACTTCTGATAGACATTGGAGAGCCACCTCTTCCACTAAATACAGACTTTTGGGAGCTCATGCCAGGATATTGTTGGTAATTCCGTGGTCGTACATCACAAGCACTGCGTATTGACATCGGTGATGTCTCACGTCTATAGTACATACTTCTTTGATCGCAAACAGATTCGGCGTACCTCGACCTTTCAAAGTTTCGTGGCATACACATAGTTGAAGTCATTGGATTACGGAAACTAAAATTAGATACGTTAATATTTGGACCCTTCGCGCTGACAATCTGTAACAAACATACTAAATGTTAATTTTGTTTATCTCTCAAACAGAAAGTAACTAACTTATATCTCTGAAAAATATTCGTAGGCCTAAGTGCGGTTTAATTATATTCTTGAAAAGTTGTATCCATATTTGAATGATAAGGAACTAGGATAATATTTTAGTTTTACTTACGGTGTTCGTATTTTGGAAGGTAAAAACATTGTTTGATGTGTCGCTATCACTGTCAGACATTTTCAAGCTTTTCAATTATTTAAAATAACACACAATAGGTCGTCAAAGCACGTTTACAGTTTAATATAGACAACACTTTACATTAAATCTTTTTATTTACGCATTTCAACAAACAAATTTGAATTCATTGCTTTCGCACATTAACGGTCCATCATTTTGATTTTGTTTACGCGTTTTGTTCATAGACAATAGATCTCATTCACCGCGTGCCGGTATTTTTTTTGCTTCTAGCGCTTGTTTGGCACCTTGTCTTATGCTACTAGTTTTAGTTTAATGTTTTTTTAGCAATATCGTTTTTTCACCTTGTGACGAATGTTTAATTTTAATCTTGGGTAGCTACATCAAGTATTCGGTTCTCAAGCTCAACTCAATTGTAGCATGGAGGACATTTACCCTTATACACTTTACTCTTTTTTACCCCTTCGTCTATTTTACTCCTTAGTCATCATGGTCCTTCACTGGCCTACTGCTGTACAACTGTCAGCTGTCTTTGACTGGTATGTAGTAATCTGTGGTCAATTTGGGCAACTGTCACCTGTCAAGTGGTATAAATTTATTTTAGGTTAGAAGTCGATGAAATAAACGAGTTATTTAACGATATAATTGATTTGATATCATAATCTGTAATTATATGCAACAAAAAATGCAAAAATGATGTACCAAAAGTGCATGAAAATGTCTTCTGTATTCATAAAACAGTTTCTTCCTCAAACAAAATCAGTTTGTGCTAGGCTCAGTAGTCCAGTAGTGTACAATGTTTTTAATTACAGTACGAAAGTTACTACAACCAATAACGAAGATGTCCTTAATAACTTAACAGATTGGGAAACTTTAAGCAAAAAGAAAAAGATCAGTAAAGCCATGAAAGCTTATTTAGAAAGAGCTCAAGCACACGACGATTTTATGCACAAACAGCAGTTTGAATATAATATTGGTAAACGACATCTCGCTAACATGATGGGAGAAGATCCTGAGACATTTACGCAGAAAGACGTTGATCGTGCCATAGAATATTTGTTCCCTAGCGGTATTTACGATCCAGCAGCTAGACCCCTGATGAAACCTCCTGAAGAAGTATTCCCGGCTCGTAAAGCAGCTGAATTCGATGAAGCTGGCAGACCCCATCATTTTTTGTTCTATACTGGAAAACCCAGTTACTTTAAACTTATGTACGATGCTGCTGAAAATATTGAAGAATTGTACAACTTTCAAGATAAAGTTATTAGGAAAAAAGCTACACCTGACCCTAATGGAAAGTTAAACTTGGGTTCTAGTGTCTGGTTGACAAAAGATCAACTAGAAAATGTATTAGTAGAAGGCATAACAGACTTGGAATATGACAACTTCAAAGTGGTCATGGAGAGATTGGTATCATTGCCTCATTCTTACAGAATGAAGGACTTTATTGAAAAGTATAGGAAACCACTTGCTTCACAAAAGTTTGCATTGGAGATTCCCAAGCCAAGTTATGATGCAGAAGGTCGTGCTTTCATTACAACATATGAATGCTTAAGGAAGAAAGCTAGAGGGGATGTGACTATCAGAGCTCCAGGGACTGGCAAAATTACTATCAATGGCAAAGACTTGACATATTTTGACGATGTTCAGTCTAGAGAACAAGTCATGTTCCCCCTCATATTCACTGGAATGCAAGATCGTGTTGACATTGAATGTAATGTTGAAGGAGGTGGTCCTTCTGGTCAATCAGGAGCTATAAGATGGGGTATTGCTTGGGGCCTACGAAGTTTTGTAGAAACTGATATGCTTCAGAGAATGCAAGTAGCAGGATTGCTAACAAGAGACTTTAGGAGACGTGAACGAAAGAAGCCTGGTCAACCCGGAGCTAGGAAGAAGCCTACATGGAAGAGGCGATAGTTTGCTTACTCTTTGTTACAGATTGAATAAAATATGTTTAGTCAATATGTCTATTATTCATCTAACTAATACAATCTTAAATTATTAATTTTTTTACTAGTTAACATAAATAAGGTGAAGCCTATTCACAACACATTTTCAAATGGAAAATTTATCCCTAGGTCTTATGCTTGGAAATCAGACTCAAGTGATCAGATTTCGAAATATTCAAAAAGATTTAAATTATTTTACTTAGCGTGATGATAAGTCGACCCACATTAGTAATAAAATTAGGAATGCGGAAAACAAAATAAAAGCTACCTGGAATATTATTAATAAAGAAACAGATAAAAACAAATCACAAAACAGTAAATTTAATTTAAAAACCAAAAAGGGATAATAATATACTACTTCAAATTCGTCAGTTGCCAAAAGTTTCTTTAAAAATATTCCTCTTAAAACTACGGAAACGTTGAAAGCATCTCCAACACTGTCTGTCGAGCTTCATCGGAATATTTTGTGATCTTTCGAAGGCATTTGACTGTGTTGAGCACAAGACGCTGTTACTGAACACTACGGCATTCGGAGGGTATCCCTAGATTTATTGAAATCATACCTTCAAGAAAGAAAAATTAAAGTTGTACTTTAATTTTTCTGTCAACAAAGTAAACTCACAGGGTGCTAGTGTATTTATGGGCGTACCGCAGGGCTCAATATTAGGTCCTTTTCTATTCTTAGTTTATGTTAATGACCTGCCCGTATTGCCTGCCGGGTAGTCGGTTCGATTCCGGGCCCCCTATTGTGGTCTAATAGAAATAAATGATTTTAACTTTGACTTCAGTTAAGTTTTTTTTATTAGGGCAAGACTGATTTGTCCTTGCTAGGATATTTTTTTTTTTTTTATGTAATAGCTCGGCAAACGAGCAGACGGATTACCTGATGGTAAGCAATCAGCGCCGCCCATGGACACTCGCAACGGAGGAGTTACGAGTGCGTTGCCGACCTTTTAGGGATTAGGGATTTGGAGATTTAGGGATTGGGGAAGGGGAAGGATTGGGCCTCCGGTAACCTCACTCACACGGCGAAACACAACGCAGTGGTTATTTCACGCCGGTTTTCTGTGAGGCCGTGGTATCACTCCGGTCGAGCCGACCCGTTCGTGCCGAAGCATGGCTCTCCCACACTTACACTATATCTGTAAAAGTTGCGTGTCATGCGCAAAGGGTACCTATATCGGCCCCGTCTTGGTGCAGTGGAAAGAGCAGTATGTAGCTTTTACTTAGTAAGCCCGACCTTCAAAAACTCAACACATACTACTTAATTGTAGTTGTACTTTTTTAATTAAAACAAATATGTACTCAGTGTAAATATTTACTTCTTTATTCACTATCATTGTTAACTTTTATTTTTATATGGCTTTTTTAAAGATTTCTTTTTGCCACCTATTTTCTTTTTGAACATTTGATTCTTTCTGTCCTTGTTATAGATACGTTTTTTCATCAACGATTTCAACTCTCGTCTTTCTTTTTGAATTTCGTTGTCGGGTGCTTTGTTGAAGAATTCTAGGCCATCTGGAATAAGAAAATAAATATTTAAAACATTAGTCTCCCTTTTACGAAAAGAAAAAAAACAGAATTTATTTTTAGTAAGTGACACCAACAGAACTCTTCCGAAATCAAAATAGGAAAGCTCATTTAATACATTTTCAAGTTTATCAAAAAACAATAAGCCTGAAAGTCGTTAAAAAATGATATAGCCAAGCTACCAAGCTACTTTTGTTGATATCACAGTTGGTTCTCCCTACTGAGCTCACTTTTAACTATTACCTTTAAGACGAGAATCGAATTTGGAGAAAAACAAATTTTCTTTCCACACAGCTTTAGTTTCAGTGGCAGGTGTTGGTAAGGTCTCCTCTTTTTTTGCTTTGTCCTCTTTTTGATCCGCTTCCTCGGCTTCCGAGTCAGAAGAATCGTAAACAAAGGGATTCTTTTCTTTAGGGTCCAAAGGATTTTTCACTTTTTTTGCTTTTGGTGGTTCTAGGGGTATATAATCTGTTTCCTGTTCCTGTGGTTCTGGAAAAATAACAACATTTGATAAAGGCCACATTTAATAATATTCTTTTTACCACAATTTTTCGATCTTCGTAATAAACATACCATTATTATCATCATCATCATTATCTTTATTGCCAAATAGACTTCTTAAACTAAATTGCGTTGGTTGTGCAATAGCTTCTTTCAAAGTGTCGCTGACTTTATAAAACTGTTCTTTCGAAACTTCAATTTTCGGGCCTTCTGGTACAGGTTCCACTTCTTTGACTGCTTCTTGTTTTTCTTTATTTTTTTTCTTGGTTTTTTTAGTAAGGTCCGGTTTTGGTTCAACTGGTGCCAAGAATTTAGCATGATCGGGTTGATGAGGATCAAATCTAAGCATACCTAGTTTAGGTCTGTAAAATTAAATTATTTTATTTAAATATTAGGAAAAAGAAAAGAAAAAAAAAGACTACAAGAGAAACTGCAAAAAGTCAAACAGCTATTTTAAACCCAATAATATCATCAGTTTCGTTGTATTGCAACCAAATTAGTAATTAGTTATATTTAGTTAGTAGTTTTAACTTACTTGCTTTTTTTGCTATCAATATTTTCGGAATATTTAGGTTTGAGCGTAACACCGAGTACATCTTGTAATATATTCATTTGTTTCGCTTTTTCATCTGCTGTACCCAATTCTACTTCTTCGATAGTATTGGTTTCTTTATTGTCAGTTTCTTCATCCTCATCATCATCAATGAATCTTTCATCTAAGGTGAAACGTTTATCAGATTTGTATCTTGATTGCAAATCTAAAACCTAATATTTTATCTTACATATTATAATACACTACAATGTACAATATCATTTTCGTAATGGCTTATTTCACAGAATTTTGCATGCTGTATTAATTAGATAGCGTAAAAAGGATTGAATAAAATTTGAGAGGTGAATGGATACAGAAAAGGGGTAAATAGATTTTGGCGAATTTTACTGGTATCTATTCACCCCTCGAATTCTATTCACCCTGTTTTATCATAGCAAGTATTTATTTAGAGGTGGATTGAACCTAGTGAGTGCTCTAGGTATACCTGATAAGTGCAATTTTTTTTTCTGAGAAATCTATTTGATTCTCCACCCTGGCACCCTGGGCACTTAGGGATGCATACAAAAGTTGAATATATGTTCAATCAATCTATGAAACAGGCCATAAGATTTTGTAGATTATTTACCTTCTGTCCCTTTTTGCCTTCATATTGCTTTTTAACTTCAAAGTTCAAATCATTGTCAGATTCATCTGCATCATCATCTTCAAATAGAACAGTATGATTTTGGTTTCCTTTATTTGTATTGGTAGGTGTTTTTGTTACCCTTGGTATGTCATCTTCTGCATCCGAAAATATAAGCTTCTTATTTTGTACCTTATCCTGTAATGTTTGATAATACATTGATAATGTGAAATATTCTTATTCAAGATTAATCAAAATATCTAAATTCCTAAAAGTCAACTTACAACACCAGTTAATCCAGATTTGATGATCATTTTCTTCTCTTTAAATTCTTGTCTCTTCTTTTTCATGCTTTCCAATCGTTTCTTTTCTGCCTCATGCTTTCTTTTATCTGCTTCAGTTGCAGCAGATAAATTTTTGTTGTCAGCAGCATCACCCGCAAGTAAATTAGATCCATCTCTTTGATGTTTCTTATTTTTCTGCTTACTGTCATGAATATTATTCCAGTCATCTTGATTATTGTCAAGCTTATTAGTTCTATGATTGTGGTCCTTTACATGACTTTCGTCTGCTTTCCTTTTCCGGGGATTTAGCTTACTACTTAATTTTAAAACAGGGTTTTTCTTAGGCAAGTTTTCTTCTTCAGCAAGCTGTAAAAATAGTTGATTATTTTCAAATTTATTTGCAAGTGATTGGTACAGAAACCAGTCTTAAATTGTATAAAGTACTAAATATTATTTTGTGTTACCTTCTCAGCTTCTTTTATTTTGGCTAGTTCCCTCTCTCTTTGTAGTCTTTCTAAGAAACTTTCTCTTGCTCTAGTCACATACAGCCTGCTGCCTTTAAATTCTTCCTTGGTAAAGTGTTTAATACCTGTAATTGCACAATACATGTTAATCATACATACTTCATATACACAAATATATATATACAACTTTTGTTACGTCCCTAAGGCTACCCACTGATCTTAGTTAGCTAAGGGATAAGGAAAAAGATTAACACTTGAGACTGAGACTGGTGTTAGGGTGTTTTAGGTATATTTTTTATTACGAATAAAACGTGTAATATGCATTACAAAATTAACACAGGTCAACTTACATGATTCCACGTCTCCATTACCGGCAGATAGTGTTACAAAAGCAAACTTCTTGCTTTCTTTTGCATCGCCAGGTTTGCATTTTAAGTCCACACTAGTAATTTCACCAAAACTAGAAAAAGCTGAGTATAGTTCTTTTTCTTCTGTATTATCTGGGAGATTCCCAACAAACAAACGGGTAGCAGATATCATGGCTAAATATTTTTCAATTTTTATTGTAATATTACGAATTTATACACATTCACGCATTATTTTGACGTATAAAAGTAAGGTTATGTATGTATGGTGGAGTAATGTTACTTCAAATTCAAATTAAAATGTCAATGTCAAACTATGAAACTACTTGCCATAGCTAGTTGCGTTTTAAGTTGGTTATGAAATTGCTTCATACTTTTTAACGTGCTTTTTAAATAGCGTTTTTTAGTCAACATAATTTTGGTTAGGCGATAAATCAGATAAATATCATCCTACTATTCTACTTTCCGCTTACCTATCTTAATAATATTTTAGCCAATGGCTTGAGTAGAGATTCGCAAGAGTAGGAGTTGAAGGAGACTCGGGGGAAGGATGTGTGTCAGTAAGGCTGGTAGGGGTCTTGACCGTACTTCCGGGATTGCTCTGATAGCCGTGGGATACCTCTCCTTCCCCAAGCAGCTCAACGTATGTTGCCCCCGTGTCGCTACATGCTAGCGGCCGTTTCCGGGAGCCCATTAATTGAGTTTGCCAATCACCCCCTGCCTGTTTATCCGTATGTATCAATATTGGTCAGGGGCAGGGGCCATAGTATTTCCATAGTTTTCATCCACCCACTAGTGCATAGCAACCCATACCCATAATCATATCAATTGTTACCACATTTTACAATAGTCCTGCATCAACCGGGGATTGTCCTTGGGTGCACTTTTATAGTGCATACAGGGATAATTGCCGGCTGATGTCCCATTACATTTAGATTAAAATTGTTCAACGGGCCTCGTACGCCTTCCAAAAGTCCAGGACCCTGTGATCCTGTGAAAGGAAAGAAAAATATTTTAGCCAAAAATGGCTGGACCGATTTGGTTGCGGATTGGTATGGAGAGGTGATTGCCCTAGATTAACACATAGGTAGGCTTTCTATAGCATATCACGCCGGTCAAGGCGCTTGCCCTTGACGACACAAAAGACGAAACGGCGATCATAAGTTGAGAGTGTATTAACACTTAACAGTATATTTTCGAACTTGCGCATGCAAGCGCAATGAACGCAGCTCGATTTGGAGCAGGAGAAGTACGGGGTTGTTTTTGAGTCAGTAAGAATCTGAGAATTCCTTTAGGGTCGTGCGGGTAAGTCACTGAACACTGAATGTATCTCCCCTCTCCAAAAAATACATTTTCTGGAATGTTAGCACTGTATATCGAGAGGTGACAAAATAAAACCAGTTGTAATATGTATATAAAATCTATTGCTACTACTCTCATAACACAAAATAATTCACTTAGATAATACTGTGTCAATTACAGATAGAACACAATATACAACAGGAAGATAGTATAAATATAATCAAATATAGCTGTTAGTTTATCTATTTACATAGTTCAAATAGGAAGTATGTCAAATAGTATACAAAAAATCAAAGAAATGCTACTTCATCTTAGCAAACTTTAGATTTTTGATTGAATTGTCAGGAACCTACCGAAACAATGATGAGTTTAAACATAAAAAATTTTAGGTATAACAAAATAACACTAACAATAAATATTCCAATTCAAATTTGATCGTCAGATAAATGCAAATATAAAACGATACGAATAGCAACACGCCAATATCAATTAAGTACAATTACTACAAACAAATAAGCAAGTCTGAAATAATTTCCGCGAATTAAGCCCTTCATTGTTTTACCTCTAAAAACAGAGATCAAAGGCACAAACAGTAGTGAATAAATAAATATGTATCACTTTTATATAAGAACTAAATAGTATCTATAGGTACAGATGCATGTAATCAAACACTTTTGTTTTTATCTAATAGTTGAGTATACATCAAACAGTATTAAGATGTACATTAAACAATTTATTCACACAAAGCTAATGTTACTTTTATTATACAATTTACAACATTATACTGTATAGATATTAAAATTTTCAAGATCTTCTATACAAATATGACAATAATATTGATGATTATTTTCATAATTTTTAACACTTTTAAGATATAAATTAAGAAATTTTACACAATTTAACGATTAATACACCTAATAGATTTCTAGATTTAATTATTTAATATATATTAGACTAGGTGTAACAAGGTGTGACCACACAAATACTTGAGGGTGTATTTATAAGATAAGTTGACACCCGACTAGCTACACGCCAAACTGAGGCTTTACAAAATGGTGCCAGAAAATAATGGTAATAAAACAAGAAATGAATGAGAGCTACTGGCGTAACCAGCTTGCATACTAAAGTACGCTTCGTGTTAGTTGAAGCTCTGAAAATCTAAATATTATAATTGATCTAGATCACAGGCTTTATGAGGCCCTTGGGCCGAGGGGTTTCATAAGACGTTATGCACTTAAAATAAGGTAGCGTATACTATACGGAATGGATAAAGTCACAAGTGTTGAAGTCGTGGGACTCGGTAATGTCTATATACATGGTTGTAAAGTAACAGCCGCTACGTGGGTATGTGTGCGGCTCAGACTTTCAAGTGATTCCTCTCGTAGCAGGAGTTGCGTGTGGAGTAGCGCTACGTGGGCTCGTCCGAGGACATCAACGCTTCCGACTGCTCATCCAGGTCCGGAATGTTTCTTATCACCCTGTTAGATATTACGGTTTATATACGATACGATTATAATGTAGAAAAAGTGATAAACGTATTATGTTGTGTCATTAAAATTTCTTTGTTTGGTTTAGCTTATCTTTGTTTTTATAATGTTGATAGTGTATAATAATATAATATTGGTGTCACGACTTTATTATTTAACGTATTTGGATGAATCAAAGTAAGTTTGACTGTTTACTCACGTGAAGCCTTCAGCGGCCCGTAGTCGGTCGGTGACGCAGGTGAAGAGGGCGAAGTCTCGCGGGAGTTGCGTGGCGGCGGCCGCCCAGCCCGCGCCGGCTAGGGCTGCGGCCAGGCCTCGCCAGGCGCCGCCACTACCGGCCCCGCTACCGCGCCATGCCTCCACACACAGCGACAGAGGCACCGCTAGCCCTAAGATGCTTGTTGCCGCTTGTGGCGATGTTAATGATCGTCCCCTGGAATACAAATGACATCATTAAAAAAATAATAATTGCTAATAATTCTCTTAGCACAAATGTATGGAGTCTGGCTTACATGCGCGCTTACAATTCATCCATATTTTACTAGAATATTATGAGTTGTACTTTATCAATAAGGATTATAACAGTATACAGTAAATATGTTTGATACGATTAAAACCCACGGCCAATTCTATTAAAGTTAATACCAAACAGTTATTATTATATGGTATACTTTTAAACCAAAAATCCTCCACTTAGTCGCTTCTTTTTCAAGTACTTAACAATAAATGTAATGTAGAATATGTAGTTACCACAGCCACAGCGAGTCGATGAGCAATGGTCCGAGCGCGGCGTCGAGTAGCAGCCAGGTCCACTGTCGCGGCGGGGGCAGCTCGGCGCGCTCCACCCCCGTGGCTGCCAATACGCCGCCCACTACCCACGTCAGGCAACCACATGCACACCCCACCAGACCTGGACACAACAATAAATACGTTTACTTATTAGTATAACTTCACTTTGTAGTTTAAAGTGTGGGAGAGCCAAGCTTGGCAGGAATGGGTCGGCTCGACCGGAATGATACCACGGCCTCACAGAAAACTGGCGTGAAAAAACCAGTGTTGTGTTTCGCTGTGTGAGAGAGGTTACCGGAGAGGCCCAATCCTTTCCCTCCCCCAATCTCTATTCTCCAAATCCTTAATCCCCAAAAGGTCGGCAACGCACTCATCGATTCGACTTGGGGCCCCAATCCCCAATCTTCAAATTCACAATCAACAAATCCTTGACAAACTCCAACTTTTATTGACCTAAAAATGTACCTGTAACACCTCCGGTGTGGCAGATGTCCGTGGGCAACGCCTATTGTTTACCACTATCATCAGCCTCGTTTTCCGCCACATCCCACAAAAAAGTTCATACATAATTTCTACCAGGCTAAAGTTTCTTCTTAGAGTTTTACGTTGAACAAATTTAGATCTACATATTATTATATTCATCAGTAACCCACGAGAGTCCACACCTGTCGAATGTGGGTCTCTTCTATAAAAAAAGAGGCTTTTTATAATTTCCACGTTTCTCTAAGCAAGCAGGTTGGCGATCGCAGTTTAATTGGGTTATTGATTTACTTATCAGAGAATAAGTACTGCCCTCTCAGTTAAAGACGTAAAATTAATCAGATTTTCATTGAAACTTTACACATAATAATACGGTAGTTTCCAACTAGTCAAATTTAATACTTTTATCCGAACGTCAAAAACGATAATTTTCTATGAAATTTGTATGAAAAACTGAGCTATGACGTCATAATTTTTTTGCGTCAAATAGCTTACTTATTTCTTAATAATTAGCTAAAAAAAATCTAATTTTTAGTGTATCGATCGATCGATGAATAAAAGTATAGTTATTTTTCAATATTTGATTGTATTGAAACGTCGAAATAATTTATTTTTGACCTAGGAAACTACCCAATTTGCTTTTAGTGCAGATGGAGAGTTAACTTGTTTGTTCTTTTAATACTTAAAAAAATGATATTCTATGTCAAATATGGATTAAAGAGCCTCCAATCGCTATGTCGTAAGTATTTATTTGATAATATAGTCATAACGTGGGTTCGTAGATGATAACATTTATAAAAATTCAACACAGACAATACATACTTATTTACTGTCTAAAAGGTGACCTATGATTCATTGTTATGTCAATAAAAATAGTTTATTTTTAACTTACCAACGAGTAACGACGAGTTGATATCATCGCCGTTTCTTAAAGCTTGTCTAAATAAAAGTAAATGTACAGCGTAACATAACGCTGAACCCAAAGCTGCCAGTACCGCTATCCAATTTGTTTGGTGACTTTCTGATATGCCTAATACCACCTGGAAGGAAAAATAAATAAATACATATATATATATACTTTTTTAAGCTTCAACTTTTTGTATTATGTAGAATTTTCAACCTAGAATTTCTTAACATACAGATTCACATTTCCCGAATATGCCACCATAAGTGCGGGTCTGCGAACAGCGAGCAGGAATAGCACGCAACCTGACCAGGATCAGACCCGAGCGTAAGGCGCGTAGCATTCCACGAGGGCCTCAAATCAATAGACCACCACAGACGTGGCCCTACAGTGCCGATGTTCGGCCGGGGTTGCGAGGTTGGGTGAGCGCAATAAGATAAGTGGGCTCGGCCTAGAGCAGGAGAAGGAACGGGGAGGAGGAGGGGTACAGATACAGTAAGAGTATGACACTTTTCACCTCACCCTGGGCCAGAGAAGACATTTGATGAGTTTCCCTTCACAAAAAAAAGAATATGTATTTAGTTTTATAAACTTACCAGTCCAGCTGCAGTGAGTAAGACAGCGATACACTTGGAGAGGGTGAACCGGTCGTTGGGTACTTGCGCGAATATGGCACCGAACGAGAGCGCCAGCGCTCCCGCCGTCGAGGTGTATATAGTCGCTGAACCCGTCGACGTGTGCAACAAGCTCAGCCGGTACAGATAATTTGATATGAACCACTGGAATTGAAACGTAACCATATAACTTACTTTTAGGGGTAGTTTAGAAGAAGAAAAGAAGAAGTATTGTATGTAAAAATTGTGTAATAATTATTGTGCCGGGCGGGACATAGCTGATCAATATTTTCAAATATTTAAGAACTGTAGATACTACACATACCTATGATCCACAATAAATGTTTGACTGATTGATTGATTGATTTAGCGAATTAAGTTATTGGATTTAAATTTTCTGATAGCTTTTCGGTATTAAAACAATGGTGGAGGCCGCGCGCTCCGATAGTAAGGAGGATGGTACATAGAGTTTTGCCCAGTGTATGAAATTAAATAGTACTTTTACACGTCAAAATATGATCTTATGATGACCTCCTCCTTCATTCCTCCTTCATTCGTAGTGATTTGACTGCACAATTGATGCTTTGGCTGAGAAACTCTTTGTCTCATCCATAAATTGTTGTTCCCAGTCTAATTTTTATGTGTTTATACATACATGTGAGATCCTATGTTTGTAAATGCGTGTATTTAATTTGTCTACTATTTGAATGAAATATTACTTAAACAAGAACTTTTTGCATAAAAATTACTACAACCTGCATGTAGGTATAAAGTACAAAATAATATATCTGAGTACTAAACCTATTAAAATATTGTAAGTACCTTGGCAAATCTGGATAAAACTAGTTCTTAAAATAAAAACACTTAAATCTGAATTGTAACAAGCGCTGACCTTCGGTTTGGGACAATGCAGTCTACATACAAGTTTATCTTGTATTCATTACTTCAAGGTTAAAACTGAATACTATGTTGCTAAGATTTATTCAGAAGTCAGCATTTATTTAGCAAGATGATCTAATAAATACATTGTTTCATGTGTAAACTTGTAAGTAACCAATACAAGGAACAAATGTACATTTAGTACAGTACAAGAGTAAATTTTCATTATTATTATTTACACTTGACTGATAATTCTTAGACTAAGATTTCTTCTTAGTTTAATGTTACTGGAATTGTTTACGTCTCGTTTCCTATTTATCTCTATACAGACATGTTTGAACTTATTCAGACTGCAAGCCAATGGGTTCTTTAATAGCCGCTGATTTCACGCTATAAATATATTGACGCCATCGAGAGTAATTCTTGTTTTGTAATGAGAGGACCAATGGCCAGAGATGTCATCTGATTGTAGGCGATAAGCGCTGCCAAGAACACCCGCAGCACTAGAGAAACAACACTGCGTTGCCAGCCTTTTAAAAAGTATCGCAAGTCTGTAGGATTCTTTTACAATGTTATATTTTATATGTTTGTCTTGTTTACAAAACACGTAGGTGCATTTCCAAACATGCAATTTCACATACACGCATAGCACGCTCCTTTTGGGAATTGAACTCGCGACACGTTGCACTGCAGCCGGTTCATCAGCCACCGCGTCAGCCGTGCAAGTGTTAGTCAATGTTGATATCATTTGAGTAAACAAATAAATATGTCCTTTTTTTCTTAGGGTTACATAAGCTTTTAGTGCTCAACTCACAGGTACACAGAAGAGAAGCGCGAGTCTAAGATGTCGTCGCGTGGCGGCGGCTGCGGCGCGGCGCTGGGCGTGTTCGGTGGCGCGCACCGACGCGGCCCACGACAGCCGCGCTAACAACGCCTCGCTTGCCATAGCCGCCGACATTACACGAACCTGCATAAAGTCATAGAAATCATAAGCATTTCAGATCAGATTTACCATCATCTGAGCAGAGGCTATCTGGCTATCTTATGCTATACTTGTGTTTTTTGTATATCCACATTCGTGCTGAATCGTAGGCTGCATCATTGCTTATAGAAAGTGGCCAAACGCCGGCCAATTGCGAATGTATTTATATAAATTCCTCCTCTATCAGTTATTAGGAATTCTGAAGATATTCCATAATGATAAAATAATAAAATTAATAGAAATCATGAAGTAGGATAAAAAGTCAAATTATCTATTATTTTGAAACCAGCGAGAGAGTGACTGTTACTTATTAATTAAAAACTTTCGGATTAGTTTATTATTAATTGTGCTCTTGATTGACTATTCTTTTCTCCAAATACAGAATGAAATTTGCATGGTTTTCCTACTTACTCATATAATACTAGCTAGCCTCATTTGGATAACTTTAAGTATTTATATTTTCAGCCTTCTTACATATAATAACAAATTATGATATGTTTACCAGTCAGTCTTTCAGTAGGTTTATTTGCTGCAATACTTAATTGAAAGTTGTGTTAAGTTACATTTTTTTTTCTCGAACAGACTTTTCCTGATATTTTCGCCATTAGGTCTTGATAGCAAAATATTGAATGCAGATATTAAAGTTAAAACATGACCTTACCTCCGCCACTTTATTAAATCGAACAGCTCTTGGTGCTGCATCATCACTGTCTGTAGTCTCCCCAGCTCGGACCGGCACAAAAGTAGAATCACCCTAAAATATTATTGAACTATAGAATCCAATCTGGCAACACCACCATTTCTTTCCAAAAACTTTATTATTATTACTATTTCCAATTATAGTAAAATCTATTTAATTAATTAATTTTGTAAAATATTATGGTGCATACAGATACAGGCTGTATTTTTTATCCCAAGCAATATTGTACATGGTGAGTATTTACCTGAGTCTGAACCTAAAACAATACAAAAAGTTTGTTTTAATAAAACACATTACCCTTCAATACTATTTTTCTGCACCTATGTCAGTCAAGGACTTCATAACTTATTAATAGTTGCGATTTATTTTAGTGTGGGTAATGAATGTACTTTGTAGCAATGGAGAGTAAAGAACATTACTGAATTAAAAGTTAAAATTAGTTATTAATTTTTGATTAAATATTTATTAACATATTGCTAAGGCTTAAAAATACATCCTGGGCTAATTAAACTAAAAGAAGATAGGGATGTAAGTATATCATTAGTTTCTTTATTTTTATTTTTTGTGTTAAGTGTCAATATTTGGAATGGGATACTTACCAAACTGTTTGTGGATTCATTAAAGTAGCTTTCATCATCTGTCTCTCCGGTTTGTTCCAATAATTGCTGAAAGATTAATAAATATTAAGTATACAAATATATTTTTTTATATTATTTCTTTATGATTTTGTAAACATGCTTAGTCTACCATTAGTTTGTGGTAAAGTGTATACAAAAAAGTACTAGGCATATATCTAGAATATAATTGGCATTTTTTTTATATTCTAATAATTGAAAATTAGTTCTATTGTAAGAAATACTAAATTTATTGAAAATAATTTAATGTGAACTTATTTCAGAAATTATAATAATTTAATTTATTCCTTTGCACATTATTTTTCAATGATTAGAGTAAACTAAAATAAAATTGTACCTTTAACTAGGGTGTATGTACGCCAAAGATGCTTTTTAAACAAAGAGATGATAATAAAAGAAGTTTTTAATATTTACAAGTACTTATGTAATGTGCAATGTGTTTTTACTTTACAAAACTAGATATAAGACTTCATTAAGGAGGACCATTTTAAAACAATGTAATAGTTTACTGTAGAAACAGATAATAACAAAGTAATTTTCTGGCCATATTCTATAATTTTGTTTGCAAATCAAAGCAGGTTATCTTGAATTATTTTCTATGGCTTTTCAAGTTTGATGGTTGTTTAGGTAACCACAATCTGATTGGGAATTTGGATAAGATTGTTCATAACAATAACCTGTTTTTGTACAATTACATTATAAAACAAGCAAGTTAAAGTTATTGAGAAACATGTAATATTTTTCTTCGTTTCTTCCTCAAAGTATCTATGAATTATTCCTATTAGTATTAAGTCAATGTTGGTTATTTCCATTAAAACTTACTGTATAGTCAGCAGGTTGACAAGGATCTCTTGTTGGTGGCGTAAAACATAATACCAACAAATAAATAAACAGCAGGGAACTCCTCACATAGGTTACAAGAAATGGTCTCTCTATATGCTTCTCTATGTACAGATACTGTAAACAAAAACATTCGTAGTCATATCTTATACAGACAGAAATATTACAACATATTTAAATAGTTTAAAAGACTTACTTTCGTCATCTCAGAGGATACCACCCACAGTATAACGACCAACAACAGAATGAAAACGCCGAACGCAAACTTCCTCTTGTTAAAGCGTTGGGGCACATCTTTGCTATTCTTGTTGTTGTTAGTAACTCGAAAGTAGTTGTGGCACAAAGTCAACATGAAGACGACTGTACAAATTCGGTAACTACGTAAATTATTTGAATTACACAGAATTGGTCAAGATCATATTTTTACATAAATGTTTACGGTAACATATTCGAGCTTGCTGGTTACAGAAGTAAATCTCAGTTAACCTTGATTGTTTTATTATTCAATAAAACGTTAATGTCTTGACTTTAACAATAAAAATCCAATACGATGTATGAAGATCCAACAATCAAATTCAGCATCAACAACTTTTTCAATGGCTGATTACAGATTGTATAGATAGTGTTACCAGCTGTTAAAATTAGTGTTGTACTGCATTGCTCTGACTTTTTAATAAACTAAACTTTCTTTACAACAAAGACAACATTGTGAATGTCATGAATGAATAAATAAATAAAAAAAGGAATAAGAAATATAACAAGCAATTAATTGAAGATAATTTTTTCACAAGGCATTTTGGATTTTGGACCTAGAATTTAAACTGAACATTTCACAATTCAGTTTACATTTTACATGTCAATAAACTGTCAACGTAATGGTAACCTCCAATCCGTGGCTGTAGTTGTAATTTCAAACTGCTATCTTTACAAAACAATAAATTGCTGAAACGTGCTCATAGTCGAAACGCAAAGTAATTTTCAATTTTATTACGAGTATGAGCGCCTGTAACGTTGAAGTAATTAAACGAGTGGGGAGATACTACAATGTATCTGTGGGGACAGTGTGTTTTAATACGGATAAGGTAATATTTCTATACATGATTGTTTTAAGACAGATATTTGTAAACCAGCAGTTTAGTATAATATCTGAAATATTCACATTCTTTGCTTTCAGGTACTCACAACAGTAATTAATAAACAAAGTATAGAGGGGTTTGCAACCATTGTTTTGAAGTTGGCTTCTCTTAGTGGGCTTCAGCTGAGCCAGGAAGAGAGGTTGCTTAGTTATCAGTGGCTGGAACACATTGCTATGTATGCGAACCAGGCTGCAGCCAACCCTGTGTTTGCACTGGGATTTTTGAAGGTAAAATTTATTAATGATCAGACAAATATTATCAGGTCTATAACCTGACTGCACAGTAAATACCTGATAATTATCTTTAGCTTCAAAGTATCTTTGATTTCTGCTTCGCATTGGTTGGTTAATATAATAAGTTTATGTCATTATAAAATACTTATTCACCTTCTTAATAATAGACAAGCTACTCTCGCTTGGGTTCACCTGCTCCATCTGCATCCTTACATGGTGTTTTCTAGCCTATAGCCTTCCTCAATAAATGGACTAACAACCACAAAAGGAATGAATTCTTGAATTTGAAACAGTAGTTTTGGAGTTTACTCTTTACATACAAATTTTAAAATTTCCTCCTTCATTTAAAGAAACCTCTTTACAATTATATAGTATACAAAATTATAGTATAGCTAAATTCAACAATGAATACTTTTTTTTTGCAGGACATAAACAAGGCACTAGAAAAGACCACCTACCTAACTGGACAGAAATTAAATGTTACAGATGTAGCAGCATACTATGTCTTATATCCATTGATAGTAAGTATATTGTTGCCTGTATGACTGCACGGTTGGTGCGGTGGCTGGGCAACTGGCTGCCGTGCAACGTGTCGCGGGTTCGATTCCCGCACGGAACAATTCTTTGTGTGACCCACAAATTGCTGTTCCGGGTCTGGGTGTCATGTGCATGTGAAATTGTATGTTTGTAACCGCACCCACGACACAGGAGAAAATCCTAGTGTGGGGCAAAGTTAATTTTAAAGAGAAAGAGAGAGATGTATACTTTGTAGAAGACCCATATATAGATACCCAAGTTATAAGTTATAAAAAGTTTTTTACCTGTGTTTGAGTAAAGAGTAGACAATTGGGTAGTTTCCTAGGTCAACAATAAATTAATTTGATATTTCAGTACTATAAAAAAATTGAAAAATAACTATACTTTTATTCATCAATTGATCGATCAATACACCAAGTTTTAGTTTTTTTTTAGCTATTGGGAAATAAGTAAGCTATTTGACGCAAAAATATTATGACGTCATAGCTCAGTTTTTCATACAAATTTCATAGCAAAGTATCGTTTTTGACGTTTGGACAAAAGTATTGAATTTGACTAGTTGGAAACTACCATATTTAAGAAACCAAAACTTTTTTAGACTGTTTCTGTTGTTACAATAACTAAAAGGTTTCAGTTGTAATTGTAGAAGGTGTACAATGAAGAATTTAATATTTGTTTTATAATATAGAAATAATATAATAAACAAGATTTCTGTCTCAGTAGTAAAATTTATAAAAAAATGTATTTTATGCATATTCTTGATGTACCTCTTTGAATAAAAAAAAATATATAGAAAAAGCATGTACATACACATGCTTTTTCTATATTTTATTTTTGCCACATACTTGCTTTTTCAAAAGGTATAATTTTTTTTTAAGGCATAGCTTGAGTTAAATGGATTAGTTAGCCAAATGACCACCAAGGTTGACTATAAACCTTTAATGGGCTAACCAGCCAGTCTCAGCCCTAAACAAAAGGCCTCCTTTTTTTTGGTTGTTGTCTATAGTAGTCAAAAGGTTAAAGACTATGATTAAGTTTATTAACAAAATTATAACATTTATAACACAGTATTGTTTATTTATTTCAGGAGCGGCTATCAGTGTCAGAACGTGAATCATTCATGCATGTATGCAGGTGGATAAAGCACATACAAGCTCAACCAAAAATTTGTACCAGCCAGCCTCTCCCACTGAACACTCTGAATCTCACAATTTTAGCCCCAGCAGTACATTGATTGCAAATAGTTTAAGCTTTTATGAGCATTTCAATACCAAAACAATTAAGTTTTTAATTATTGAACAGTTATTGCCAACATAAAAAATTAAGACTGTAAAAGTATTAATAGTAGTTGTGAGACCTTTCATTATGATTGTGTTCAATAAGTTGGGAATATTAATTATTTATATTTATATGGCTAGTTACTTTGTTTTGAATGGTGTAAGTACACAGATCGTGTATTACTTATCAATGATAATATAATTTTTTATATATCTTATTTTGTGGTTTTCCTATAAACATGTAACTAATTATTTAAAATAGATAAGTACAAACATGAGTCTTGAGCTTAACTTTCGGGTTGACTCAATTATTTATTATATACATAATTGGAATTTATATTTTCGAAATTCTGTGTTTCGAAAAAATAATTTAATGTGGGAAATTCAAATGACTATGCTGAACTTATAATTGAATAGATCACAATACAGTACAACGATAAATTGTTCATTGTTGACAACACAGATGGCAGTACTGGTCACACCACCATAATTTTTCGATCGATTTTATCGATATTTCGAAAAATAGTTAAGATTTTTTATCTAGTCTGGCTTGCGTCCCGAAAATCCTTACAGATACTAATAAGTATCCAAAAGTATTTTCAGCCTGGGTCCATTACAAATCCCTAATTGATGCCTATAATTCATTATTGTTGCATTTTTCTTTCAGAACTCAAATCCAATAACAGGATTGCCTCCATTGCCCCAACAAATATTGCCACATCAGTTGAAAAACATAAGTTTGGATAAGGCTATTGTGTATCATCCACAGCCTTTCGCTTTCCCCGGCTATCCGGTTGTAGTCTATTTATGACTACCTATTAAACTATTAATCCATGACCATCAGAGGCAGATAAAACCTAGTGAGCATTCAAGGCAAATATCCCTTAGGCTTCTGCGCCCACGTTCAGCACCTTACTCACACACCGCAGACGTCGCCAATCTTTGGTGGCACAACCTGGCGTCCTAGGCTTTTGTCTAGTTTGCTTTAGGGATAGTTTATGCTCTACTGGCGATATACTTATGTACCTACTTATACTTACCTAAGAAATTATTTAGGTTCTTGAATAAACGTTTTTACTAAGTATTTACTAATTTACTTACTATCTACTTCTATTTTTTGGTAGGTTCCTAATTAGTCATTTGTTTTATGTTAAATAAGTACTTAATTTTTTAAGTGTTGGAGATGGGTTTGAAATAAAAGTGCGAAAATTGTGGTCAGATTTTATTCTGAATTGCTTTTTTCTAATCTGTATAGGTATACGCATTTAGGTGCCTACCTACATAAGTAAAACTATTTGTCATCGGTTTATCCTTAAGCTCATGCAGTTCGTCGTAATTTGTTTTCTGAAACAAATTTCTTTTTTAAGGATATGATACGGCGGCAAACGGACACGTGGTACTTGATGGTAAGTAATCAGCATTGCCCATGGACATTTGTAACACCAGAGGAGTCAGGGGTTAAGGGAATTCTGTTTTTAATAGGACTAAGCCAGCTTTGTCAGCGTTATCATCGGCCTACGAGTGCCCACGGCTAAGCAAAAGCCTCTTATAACACGGAGAAGGAACGAGTACCTACGTAGTACGAGAACAGTGATTTCAAATTTAAAATTAGAAACTATAAGTACAATTGGGTAGTTTCCTAGGTCAAAAATAAATTATTTCGTCGTTTCAATACAATAAAATATTGAAAAATAACTATAGGTACTTTTATTCATCGATCGATCGATACACTAATTTTTAGTTTTTTTTCTTAGCTAATAATCAAGAAATAAGTAATCTATTTGACGCAGTTTTTCATACAAATTTCATAGAAAAGTATCGTTTTTGACGTTTGGATAAAAGTATTGAATTTGACTAGTTGGAAACTACCGTATTCATTATTAAACTTAAAAAAAATAGAACATCGGTAGGTACGGGAAGTCAATTATGTAGTTACGTAGGTACATTGGTTACTATAGGATAATGCCTAACGCCCAACTTCGTAACATTGGTCACAATTACCTACGATAATAATAAACTAAGTACTTTCCGGGATTGCTCTGATAGCCGTGGGATGCCTCTCCTTCCCCAAGCAGCTCAACGTATGTTGCCTCCGTGTCGCTTCATGCTAGCGGCCGTTTCCGGGGGCCCATTAATTGAGTTTGCCAGTCACCCCCTGCCTGTTTATCCGTATGTATCAATATTGGTCAGGGGCAGGGGCCATAGTAGTTCCATAGTTATCACATACACCAGTCCATAGCAACTCATACCCATAACCCTTTGAATGATTACCACATTTCGCAATAGTCCTGCATCAACCGGATTATCCTTGGGTGCTCTTTCATAGTGCATACAGAGATAATTGCCGGCTGATGTCCCATTTCACTTATATTAAAGTTGTTCAAAGGGCCTCTGCGAGTTGGCTTCGGCCCCTCGTACGCCTTCCAAAGGTCCGGGATCCTGTGATTCCGTGAACGGAAACTAACTAAGTACTTACAAATTAATTGCTTCGAAAAGAAAAAAAGTTCGCCAATGTACTTTTGGCATGCCAGAACATAGGAATCGATCAGTCTTGAAGTCATAAAAAGTAAAGGCAGCTAAGTACCTACCATCAGTCTATCCTATGTCTGTTCGGTAGAAGACTTTTTAGGATTCCCTTTACCGTCAACCTTACGATCAGAGAACCGTAACATCAGGCAGCGCTCCAGCTTATTAGAGTATGAGCAACCGTTGTCTTCAGCCTCTGCAAAAATAAGTTTTTTTATCATATGAATATTTCATTATCTTATTCTTATTTATTAAGGTAATTGTGGTAGTACCTATAGTAGTTGTGTCAAGCGTAATCAGGTACTGCGGACTCAGCCGAGAACAGGAGAAGGAACGGGGCGTTATAGTACTTATAGTTAGTAAGAGTCGAATTGGCTTAAAGAACTTGTATTCAGGCCATAAACTCCAAAAAAAAAGTAAGAGTCGAACACTCCTTCTCGCCTCACCCTGGGCGGGAGAAATCAATTCGACGATTTACCTACGCCACAAAAAAAGTGTAAGTAGGTAGTTCTAATAGGTTTTGGAATGTGGGCGATTTTTCGCTATGAAAAGTATTTTTGTAAATATTCGGGCACAAAGAAGAGAACTCTATATGGCAAGAATTGTATAATAATAGGTATGTCCTTGTAAAAGAACATCAAAATGAGTCGGATTTAAAAAAAGTAGTTACTTAGTCCTAAGTAAAAATTTATTTTATGATGATCACTCAAAAATACCTGATTGTAGCTCCTGGAAGCAAGCTCTTATCTGATCATGCAGTGCAGAACGTGATTGTTGTGACGTCACAGAAGTTTGGACTTTGTTCCATAATTCTGCCTCACGGGGGATACCTCTGCTGTCCACCTAGCAAACGGTTCACAGAGTTAGTTAGTTCTCAGATGGAAAGCGCTGACCATATCATAAGGTCATTTTGGTCCCCGATACCATAAAAAAGTTTTTTTTATATGATAGGACGGAATATCTGTAGACGGATTACCTGATGGTAATGGCACCGGCACCGTCCATGGACATCCGCTACACCAGAGGAGGTACGAGTGCATTGCCAGCCGTATAGGGTTTCGAAGGTTTCGGGATTGGGGAGAGGAAGAAGGATTGGGTGTCCGGTAATCTCACTCAGATAGCGAAACACACCATTGTTGTTGTTTCACGCCAGTTTTCTGTGAGGGTATGGATCACTGCGGTCGAGCCGACCCATGTAGTGCCAAACCATGGCTCTCCCAAAATTTAAGTTAAAAATTATCTATTCATAGATATACTTAAGTTTATTAAAAAGTATCGATTTATCTCTAAGTTAGTCTAGAAAGGTTAATTTAAATTTTTCCTACCTATCTATATGTATAGATATTATTCTTTTAAGACATAGTCGAGTAGATTACTTACCACTTGTAAATTGGCGAATACACATTGACTGAGACACTGCAACAAATTCCGAGTAATTTAGTTAATTCAGAAATAAAAGGTAGAAAGAACGGTAGAAATTAAAATGACCTTGACATTTTAGGATCATTTTGAAGATACAGATATCTAATAAACACATAGGTAAGTATACCTACATAATGAAACTATAATACATATCAGAAAAAGTTTAAAAAATACTGCCATCTACAAAAAAGAGGCTTACTGTATTTAAATGGACTTGAATGATACATGACATAAGTAAGTTCAAATGTTATTTACGCCTCGACGGGGATTTACTCGATCAATGGTAGGTAGGTACTCGACGTAACAACCACTTATCAAGATCATAAATTTAATAAGAGATGACTCAATAATCCAGCTCTACAGGTTTTTTAGATAGTCATCTACTCAATATTTAATTACATAATTTTATGATGTTACCTACCTGATCTGAATCGGGACGGTTTAGAAGAGGTTCATTTCGCCTGGTTCTTCTAGTATTATTCTTGTTTATGTTGTTATTAGAAGACGCGGGGCGTGGCACTGACGTTAACAGTTTTTCTCCCATATTTCCAGATCCATAACCACTATAATCGTCGTCAGTTGCGTTAATGACCATTAGTTGGTCGCCGCTGTCGTTAGTTATCCGTCGCTCATGGCTGTATCGATTACCTTCTTTCATGTTATCGTCTATTCTAGGAGAAGCATCGTAAGAGTCCTCAGATCGACGATGACGTTCCTTACTTGCCGGTTCTTTTGAGTTAGTAACGTCGTCAGGATACGAGCACGATTTCAAAGCTACTGCTACTTCATCTTCTAATAATTTGATGTTGCCTTCTCCAGCACCCGCGACTAAAGCCGGCAAGAGCGCGAGGAGTACGACGGCACCTACCATCGTACGATAGTAAAATGTTGCATTACCTACTGTCCTGCATTTAAATAGATTTATACAGGAAACTCGAACATTATAGTTGACAAGTGCCTGTCAAAATCGTTGATATTCCTGTGAACTCTTTTTACTGCAATGATTACAATGCGGACATCTGCAATTATGTATTGCTGTAATTCATTGTTGAATGAGCGTATTATCACGTATTATTATGCCTGTATGTATGGGACCTGCTTGTGGACTTTTATTGCATAATAATCTATTAACATGTCTAAAACTTAACATGATTGGTAGGTATACCTACTGATACCGTATAATGGAGTATCAGATAATTAAATGGATGGGTTATCCTTAAGACGGGTCACATTAAATGGTACTCGTCTGAGATGTTGTTTCGTCTGACCTCTGTTTGTTATCTGATATCTTAATTGGTAATAAAATGTTTAAGTGTTTTTCTTTGTGTAAGTAGGTACCTATAATTATGTACTGAGAAAATGAAAAACACTTGTATCTAAATATTTTTTTAATTTTCATTTTCAATTGTGCTCTTATCCTTTGCCGTAGTGTCCCCACTTGCCGTTGCCCCAGCCGCTCCACGCTGGTCCATTTTCTCCCCCATAAATTCTTAATCCGGAATAGGTTCTATATTTTCCATAACTAGTACCAGCTAGGCCTGAGGAAATGGGTGCTCCGATATCTGTAATTGTTCCATAGGAGCTGCCAATAACTCCTGAAGATCCAATAGTTCCTGGAGAGTACCTCCCGTAAAGACCAGACACGCTGAACGTCAGTGGAACTTGAACGTTGCCTGTGCCAACGCTGTAGTGCGCTGAACGAAGTGATGGCCAGAAGAACTTCGCCTTTTCCATAGGTTGTGGTTTTCGTTTTGACACCGGTTCTGAAATTAAGTTTTGTTTCTTTAATCACTAGATCGACTTTAACAAGATTATTCATCTAGGTATTCATTTCTGATAAGGAAATTTTAATAGATTTTATTGTTTTGGATTGATCGTATATGCAGCTAGGTATTAAGTGTGATGATATCCTGGATTCGGTAATGTTAATTGATTCTTTCGACCTTTAAAGTTGTTTGTAGCAATAAGTTAGTTTCAAATTGTCCTTGAAATAAGATAAGTTACTAAGCAAAAGCAAAGTTACTAATGGAATCAAAGTAGGTACCATTGACGAGTTGGAATATCTATTTTGTAGCCTAAGATAGATATTTCACGTTTTTAGTTATGTGGTGAACTTTTTTTTAAGTTTGGTTCGAAATTATTGTTCTTGGAATATGGTAAGTTTGTGAAGACTCGCACGGTCGATCAAATCAAAGAAACATTGACGTGTAAGACTTCTATTTTGTAGCCTTTGTAATATATTTCACATCTACTTTAACTATTTACATAGTTACATAATGATTTTTTTTGTGAATTTAGGTAATTACATCATAACCGAGCTATTACAGGTTATTTCAAATAAATATAAATTTATAATTTTTACCCTTTCGGGGACATGTAAAAAGGTGTAAGGTAAAGATATTTTGTTACTAAACTGCTCATTCTTAATCTCACGTGACAAAATCCTGCTAAAGGTAATGATGATAATAAATAATCCTAAACTCGAAAGTAGTGTCCGACCGAAGCTTCGGCTTCGGCCACCTTCAACCAAAAAAAAAAACACCTTCGGCCAAAATTTTGCCGAAGGTTTGGCCTTGTTAAAATTTTAAATTTACTGAATGACGCTGGAGCGAGAGATCTATTTTTAATTAAGACTAGTCGAAAAAAGTGAGTTTATTTTTTAATGTTAAGTTGTTAAGTTTTTATTTTCTGTAATTGTTACCAAAAATGTTTATCTTAATTATCCTAAGAAATTACTTATACTTCAGTACTATGTATTTAGTTTTCTCAAAATTTCCAAAAAAAAAAATATTTGTAAAAAATAGGTAATGAAAAAGCATTAAACTTTGCTCATTTATTTTATAGAAATATTTTGTGTTAGTCTGATAATTAAAAACTTTTATTTTAGACAATATTTGATTACCTACTTGTATAGGTTGGTCACTCGGTCATTATTGGGCTAAGTCTTTATTAAAGCTCTCACAATATGTATCTAGTATATTCTGAGATTAAAGTAGGTAACTATCTATTTTTCATGGTCAATGACACCTTCGGCTTCGGTATCGGCCGAAGGTTTTGGTGAATACCGATTAATCGGCTTCGGCTTCGGCCAGAATTGCACATTCGGTCGGACACTACTCGAAAGTAAGTTAGTAAGGATTATAATAATAAATTATTTTTATAAGGTTGTTTTTGTACGTAAATCAAATGAAGGTAGATTCAAAGGTAAACGAGATTGTAAAAAGGATCCACAGGGGATGCGGTTTTATGCTTATCATTGATTGCAATTTGGGTAATAAATGGTGATACTTATAAAATACTCGTTTGGGTAGGTATCATTTTTTATCGATACTAATTTCTTAAATCTGAAGTGGTTGTTGTAGCCCGCCTGTTGTAGTTATGTATGACATTTACTTATGTGGAATAAATTGTAGGTACTAAATTAAGGTGTAATTTAGGAAATTGATGGCAGTGACTTGTTTGTAATAAATAAGAATATAGGTACTTGTTTGATTATCCTAAAATCCACAGAAAACTTATTGTTTTCGTTTTAGATCAAGTTACAGAACATATAGGTACCTAGTGCTTGACAGATATAAGTACTTATCTACGTAGCTACTAATCCGTTGAAACTAACAAAATAATACCTACCTCAAACACTATTCATACTTCTATCCCGATAAAAATTGCTCTTTTAGGTATAGAATAAGCAAACATTACGATTGTAAAATAATGATAAATACATTATTAAATAATAAAGAAATACTGGCCGGATAGTTAGTGACCGGATAGCATAGAATGACAAAAACTATAAAAATATTTCCATGAGAGTGACGCGTTCCAAATACGAACAAACCTTTTTGTAAAATAAAGAAGGAAAATCAAATGACGATTTCTGCTGAAAATAATAGAAAAAGAAAAAGATAGTGAATAAGGACAAGTATAGACAGACTAAGAATTTAAACAGTAAAATATTAACTTAATTTTAATTGGGTAGTCTCCTAGGTCAAAAATAAATTAATTCGACGTTTCAAAACAATAAGATATTGAAAAATAACTATACTTTTATTCATCGATCGATTAATACACTAAATTTTAGATATTTTTTAGCAAATTTTTAAGAAATAAGTACCTAAGCTATTTGACGTCGTAACTCAGTGTTTCATACAAATTTCATAGAAAAGTATCGTTTTTGAAATTTGGATAAAAGTATTGAATTTGACTAATTGGAAACTACCGTATTATCTACTCACTTTCTTCAATAACACTAGGCAATGACAATGTATCTGCAGCGTTGCGTGCCATTCTCTCTACCGGCTTGGTCCACAGCTCTCCAGGAGTGAGACTTCCACTCACGTCAGTTAGTGGTGGACTCGGAGACAAGTAGAGTGAAGGGTCGAGTACTGCACTCTCCACTGACCAGATGCAAACGCAGCATAGTGCTGCGATCTGAAACTGGAAAAATTACTGCTTATACTATCTTCAAGAAGTATGGGTACATGTACATCCGAGGTTGCGTGTCAAGCGCATTTAGGTATCGCGGCGTCCTCCTCGGCAGGAGAAGGAACAGGGGGCTTCTAGTCAGTTAGACTCTGACTCTCCTTCTCGCCATACTCTAGGCGAGAGAAGACATATCATATTTACCTCCTCAAAAAAAAAAAAAAACGAAAAAACGCCGTACCTGTTGTACATAATCGTGGTGTCCTGGCGCTTTTTATGTATGAGGAGCCGTGTTCGACAGAATGTGAAGGTGAACATCGCAAGGAAACCTCGACCTATTATTTCCAGTTAAAAGTTCAAACCTTTGAAAAAATCGCCAATATGTGATGATTAATGTTCAAACCTTCTCCGGTTGAGACGCTTTGCTAGGCAGTGGTTATCTTTAATGAAGTTACGTAAGCATTGTTTTAAACCCAAGAGGCTTTATTATAAAACAAGGTTTCTCTTTAGTCTAGGATTAAACGATTGCGTCAGTTTTTGTATTCCGAATTGAAGATAAGTGAGAATAAGATTCAAAATTCTTGTTTTTTAATAAGGGGAGGTAGTTTTTTAATGCTACCTTAACTTGTATTTTAAGTAATTAAAATTATTAAGTATTAAGTATTAAGTATTTTAAGTAATGAAAAAAAATATATATATATAATTCTAGTCAAAATGCCATTAGATGAGTACCTCATCGTTCTGCACAATTCAAGAATTTTATAGAACCAGTTATAATTGTTGTTTACATTCTGATTTCAAAAACTTACTTTTGTTTTTTTTATGTGTCACAATATTTTGATTTCGTCCTGGCCAAAAAGGAAAACCTAATACTTTAAAAACAAATAAAAGCGATCATTGTTTATGTCTACTAGGTACCTATGTCCAGTTTTTATGATAATTATGTGGTTTGAATAATTTAATAAATTAACATTAAATAAGTAGGTTGTTTATTTAATTAGATATGAGTAATGTAGTGTTTTTTTTAAATAAAAAATTGCCTTAGGTACACTCGTACTTTCTTCAGTGGTTTTTTTATTAAGGAAATTCTCATTTAATATGCGTACATGTACCCAATGTAGGTATGTTGCTCTATTCATTCTTTTAAAGAAGATTTTTACTCTTTCACGTGTGGCACAACAACATTCAGAGTGCATAGAGAGTGCTCTTAAAACATACATACATACATTTTTTAAACATTGCCTCGCCGTATGATTTTCAAGTACAAATCACACCCAGACCCGCAACAACTAATTGTGGATCACACAAAGATTTGTTCGGTGCGGTAATCGAACTTGCGATACGTTGCGTGGCAGCCAGTTTTTCGGCCATCGCGCTCTAACCGTGCAGACAAAATATATTATGTAGGTATCTACTGAAGTACATAATATGTTATGTACTGAAGTACCTCAACTATTTCAGTACATACTACTTCAGTACATAATATATTTTGTCTACTACATTAAGCATTTTTGTGTGGTTGAAATTCATCAAATGATTACCTACAGCTGCCTTGGTTGGGGCTGGAGAGGCTTAAACAATAAACCACAACGTTCCCTCGATGGCCTGTTGCTTAAGTGTGTGCCTCAATATGGCGACCAACCCGCAAACTACAATGCCTATTTATTTCTGAAGCAGTACAAAGTATGGAGTTCCAAATTCCATAAAACCACCAGGTAGCTAATTTTTACTTATTAAATATTAAAATTATATGCAGAAAGAACATGTTCGAATTTCAAATTCAACGTCCGAAAAAACTACCGAGAATTCGACCTGCATATTCTTGTCTAATGTTTACCCTTACTAATAGGTACAGATACTATAAGAAGTCTTGTTTGATCATAACAATGAAAATAGGTAAATTATGGATTACCTATTTTAAGTAATCTATAATTTATCTATTTTTTCAATTATTTAAATCACTTTTTTACATTATCTAAGTGCAAACCCGTATTTTAAATATCAATTCCGAATACTGGTATTTTATGTTGTTTAGTAGACCAGAGATTTAATTGAACTAGTATTGTTGTGGTCACGAGATTAATATACGAAACCTACAACAGGCGAATTAACATTCGCGCACGTGTTTCACGTGTTCCGATTTAGGCATGGATAGTAGGCCAAAAGACGTTTTTCTATACTAATATTATAAAGAGGTGAAAATTTAAAGTTTTTATCTAGCGGGTCTCTAGAACTGCTGGTCGGATTTCCAAAATTCTGTCACTGGTAGATAGCTACAATGTTCCAGTGTGCTATAGGCTATAAATTATACTTGATTAGCGTATTTTAGTCAAGCTATAGCTTTAAACACTGCTGTTTTTAAAATCCCAGGATACGATATTACTCTATAATACTCTATATGCATGTGAAGCAGCGGGAGAAAGCTAGTTTGAGAATAAAATTATTAAAAAATACTCACAATCATCTCGATGTCTTCCGGGATACGAGAAATGATGTAACTGCACTGCTTAAATGCACCAAACTAACATTTTTCGAGGGATTCTCCGGTTATGTAACTGGAAAGGCTTTCTCCCACTCTCCATACGGAGTTAATAAATTACCTTTGTCAAGGTCCAAGGACGCCGGCTTAGGAAAGTGATAGCGGTGCCAACGACCGATCTTAACATATCATTATGAATATGAAAGTTTAAAATAACGAGTCTCTATACACGTTGGAATATAAACATTTTAAACGTGTTATGAGCCTAAGTTTTTGAATACGTTGGTAGGTACAAATAAATCGTTTTTCATACCTAATCGGCCTTATTACAAAACAAGGTTTTACTTTAGTCTAGGACTAAAACATTGAGCCATATTTCGTATTTCGAATTGAAGGTAGATGACAATAAGATTCAAAATTCAAAACCCGACTCAATGGTTTAAACCTGGACTAAAGATAAACCTTGTTTTGTAATAAGGGGCAATGAGTTTTAAACCGAAAACACGCTTACAAACGTGTTACGTTGAGAATTAGAAGAAATAATTCGCTAATTATGTTAATTTTTGGCAATGATAAAGGATGAAGGTCAAGGAAAATATTGGTGTTGTTGAATCGTACATTATAAATGACGTCGATGACCGGAATCAAATGGCATAAAATGTTGTGCGCAAATTGCGAAAAACTCGTCTCAAGTAGTCGCGTTTAGTACCCTTAATTAAATTCGTGAAGATCGTATTTTTTGTATAAAGCCCGCCATTTTTTATACCACATAACAGGTTTGAAAGGGGATTTTTAAGTGCCTAAGGGTTTACTTACATACCTACATCCGTTTTGTAAGTGTCGTTTTGGTTTATGAGGGATCCCTTCTCATGACCTTGACATTCAGTCGGTAGGTACACTTAAGAAATTATTTTATTTGAACAAAACTTTCGACTGTTTGGCGCCATAATCCAAAATAATATTATAAATGCGAAAGTAACTCTGTCTGCCTGTTTTTTCTTCACGCCTAAACTTCTGAACCTATTTGGTACATACTTAGTTTGGAACTCGAGAAAGGACATAGGATAGTTTTTAAACTCTCAACTAACTCTGACCTAAAAATCGTTGGTCTATAACATAAAAGAAAGTGAGTCAAACAAATACACTTTTGTAATATTTATATTAGCAACTTTGTAAATGGACACACGATAGAAAATACATATGTAGTTGTAAAACTACCTATAATGGTCCAAACATTAAACATACAATCATTTGTAAGAATCCCTTTCCAAGTACTTAGGTAAAGACTCAATTTATAGCTAGTAGTATCTTTATACTAAAATTGGTTACGCTAGAAAAATGAGTTCACTAAATAAATAGGTAGGTACTCGTTTAATTAAGTCAAAAGACGTTGTTAAGTTAAGCTCACTGCGGTTTTTGTCAGTGTTTTTCTTATAGTGTTCATATCAAGGAACTCACCTACATATATTAACGTTTAGCATAGATAAAAAAGTGACTTAGATAGGTACTTTATCTTGGTGCGTTCTGGTGATAAATAGGTACCAACAATATCTTATAATATCTTCACTCTACAACTACTTAAACGTCTTCTGCAATGTCCCGCTCACTCACTCATTCCTTGCATTCTTCATTATTTTTCTAGACTGTCCTTCTTTGGTATGAAATGCCTCAGAAGGTCAGGGTGGCAGTAATAGGTTCCATAATTCTAGGAAAAGTGACAGGTAGATGACACCTAGATGCTGATTTATCGAGCTGCTAGTAGTCAGGGTTTCGTTGTTAAGGAATGAATTAATACAGATCAGTCTATACCTAGGAATACATAAGTTCTAAGTCCTGTGTGCCTAAGGCATTAGTTCCACCTATGTACTGTTATGTGCAATAGTATTAATTAAAATACGGAACCAGGGAATTTGCTCAGTACTGCAGTAGGTACGGTCTTATAGTGATCGCTAATTTAATTAATTAATTTTTAAAATTAATGTTCTCACATTTTCATTTTAAAACTTTGTGATCTTTAATTTTTCCTCATTATTATATCCTATCGTGACATTCTGTAGAGGGCATCAATAAAATATGTGTACAGGAAAAAAAACGAAGAATAATACTTAAATATCAATTTCGATAATACGCAGCGTAATTTAGCTATTGAAAAAAGACACGCATTTTTTGAAAATACTTTAATTTAGGTTATTAAGTATACCATATAGCATATAGCCAATATACAGAAATCGAATACTTAAGTAAGAAAACAAATTAGGTACCAAAACACTTTTAATAGCTCGGTAAAAACAAAAGATCTTTGAATGTAGTTCACTTATATCATTTGAAATATGTACTGATAATACTGATTACTTATTAAATTAACAATAGGTACCTAAAAATTGCAGCAATCTGAAAATAATAAAATTGAAAAATATCTATTAGGTGTAGGTATGTAGGTACCATAGCGTGATATGAAAACAGTAAATACATTACCTACATACATAGAAAAAACTCAAAATTTTAGTTTGTATTCTTGTCTATTTGCATA